TAAAACAGATCTACCCTTTCTAGACCAACGCTCTCAGCGTCCCTCCTGCCTGTAGCCAGAATTTTTTCAATAGGTTAATTTTTCATTTGCGGCCCAGTAGAATAATAGGTGACTACAGATACCTATATAAATTTGCTGAGTTCTCAGATCGCAGCCCTCGTTTGATTTTATGAGTAGCCAGAGCTTAGATCTGAGCGCGAAGGATCCGCTAAGCCCATTATTTGATTCAACCAGCCCAAGCAGGCAAGGGGACCTTAGAATAGAAGTGTCCCAGCCGGAACACTTGTGCTCAATAAATCCACCATAGCTTGGTCTCACGTGGAGACCGTGGCGCACGTGGCGCGACTTTGCTCGGGCGCACAGTGTGAGCAGGTTCACTTTCTTTTAACGTGCTTTTTGGTTTTTCCAGGCAACGAAGCGGCAGAGGCGCGCTTCATCACCCCGGCTCCCGTCGCTGCCACGCCGGACTTGGGTTCGCCTCGCGTCTTTCGGTTCGCCCTCAAGCCCGTCGTGGAATCGGACGCCGCCAGTTTTCTGCGCAGCGGTGCCGCTTTTTTCCGGGGAGGCAGCGCGTCTACTTCGTCTGGGCGCGGCGTTGCCGCCTTCATAGGGATTACTTTTCGTGCTTTAGGTACGAAGGTATCCTTCCCCCTTTGTGTGACGCTGCCCTTCGCCAGCAGCGCGTTCTGAGACATATAGAATCCGTTTTGATCCTGCTGTAGTGCTGCTTTACGTGTGAGGATAGCGTCGATGGTGTCACTTTCCTCTTTTTCGGTGGCTTGCCTCGCCGCGTCGTGCAGCGTCTCCAGTTGCTTTTTGCTCTTGGGGAATTGGATGTTGGCAGAGGACGTATCGTCTCGTTTGAGGCTTGCATCGGCGGGTAACAGTTTGGTCGCATCATAATCCTTGAAGTCCACGCAGTAGGCGAAGAAGGTGGCCAGCGTTACCCATCCTCTATCCGCCATATAACTCGCGAAGTTGAAGTGCTTTCCTTGCTGGATATGGTGCCTGGCCATAATGGCATTTGTCCGCCGTGGGGAATGAAAAGTTGCACGGATCGCTCGTAGTGCCATCTTCATTCTCGTCTCGTCCACTGGATAGTCTGGCGGGACCGCGTTGCAGCACATCGGGCAGTGCTGCTTGTTGGTGGTGGCATCCGTGCATGTGCATGCGATCGTGATGTATCGATCCCGAGCATCTAGTATCTTGTCCGCCGTGATCTTGAATGTAGCGGTACCAGTTTTCCACTGCACGTCGCAATCGCGAATTTCGGAGTAGCTGCTCCACCGTACTCCTAAATGGGTCCATACTACGATGTGTTGCCGGTCGCTGGTATGCAGTTTGGCGGTTTCTTGTAGCTGGATGGGCGGCGCCTTGTGCTGCTCCTCTTTCTTGACGGTTCGTTTCACATCGTCATGTGCTATTGCTAGTGCTTTTATGGCGCACGGGTGTGACGCTAGCCATTGGTATGTTCGGCCTGTCTTCGGGTTGATGGGCGGCATGATGCATTGGTATGTAACCGCGGTAAAAGCGGTCAGCGCCAGCTTGGAGTGGTCGCTGACCGCGGCTATGTGCAGGCAGTACAGCCTGATGTGCTCGATCTCGTACGGCTCATAGATAGGGATTGGCCGCGCGGCGCACCAGTCTCTGAAAACTTGGAAGCGGTAGTACCTGTTGATCAGCGTCCCTTCTGTGTGCGCTTGTAGCATCAGTGCCAAGTCCGGTGCGCTACAGTAGCGTAGGAGTGCTTGATGATATGACTGCTTCTTGAAGGTGGACGGCTCGAGGTGCATGGGTGGCTCGGGTGCAGGGAATCGCGTGACGATTTCGGAAGTGGCCGCGGCTGCAGTTGTCGCTGCGCTGCTGCTACTTGACGACGATGACGGCACTCCAGCCGCTTGTCTACCTGGTGGCGGTAGGAGCATGGGAGCCTTCATTTTTGCGTACATTTCTTTTCTCTCACTTTTGTTCTCTCGTCGATCTCCCACTGCTACTCTGTTTTGACTTAGTACTACCTACGAGGATCTCGCCGGAACCTCTTGGGTTCTCGTCGTGGTTACTTATCTATTTACTGTTAATTCATCTTAATTTCGTTCCCTGCAGAACACCCGCTGGTCCCGCAGTCTGCAGCTCCGATTATATATTTTTTTATTTTCTGCGCTTGGTGGTCACAAAGTGTCCTTCGTAAATTCAGTGGTAGGCCACGTGGACCTTTCTTAAATAATAGCAGCGTAGCTGCTGTGGTGGCCAGGCCTTCATAAATTTATACTTCTAGGTAGCTCGGTGGCCTTTTTGTGTACTTGCTTTGATAATGTAGTTACTTTTTTACTTTTTTGCCTCTAGTTATGCACTCCTGTTTTCTCACTTCTTGTTTCTTCTGTGTATTTTACTGCAAGTCTTTCTGTCTAGGCAGTTGTTGCTACTTATTTGTTTACTTGTTCTTATGTATTACTTCATACTTACTTACTACCTTACTCACTTACTTCTACTTTTTTACTTTCCCTTTTTTCCGCGGCCTTTGCGTTGGGCCTTATTTTGTAGTTGGATCACCTCTTTCCAGGTTTTCTCACCGCCCCTCGCCCACATGTGGGTGAAGCTGCACGCGTTTCCGAAGGCGCATTTGCCCGTTAAGTGGAATGGGGCGCAGTCCCGTGCTTGTAGTCCGAAATTTAGTTGCGCGCGCTCTGCAAGGATGCATGGTTCGATGCGGCCGCTATTTTTGTCTACGACCCAGCCGTTCATGGTGACGTCAACTTTTTGGCCGTAGTCGCGCCCCATGACCGGGTCGCTTCCGGTGAAGCTCTGATCCAGGTCGGCATACTTCACGACTTTCTTCGGTCGTGCGTCCCAGGCAGCTCTTGCTGCTTCGCGGTTCGCTTGTGCCTTCTTGGCGGCATCGGTTTGCGCCGCTAATGTGTCTGTAGTGGCACCGGCGTCTGCTCCTCCTGGGCGAGTCCTAGGCGTGTCAGCGTGATTTGCACCGGGAGATGCTGCCGGTGGGGTCTCGTCTTCGTGTGCGGCTTTGCGTTGCTTCAGCGGCGGGGGAGCAGACCCGTCGTTCCGTGACAGCGTTGCGCGCTTTGCTGCTCCGTAGCGTTTCTTGCGGTTCTCGACCTCGGTGGTGAAGACGGAATGGTTCGTGGCTAAGTACTGGATCACGTCCTTGTTTTGCTGCGCCGTGTGGCCCTTGATCTTGAAATACATGAGGAGGGGCACGATGTGGAACACAGTTTCGGTTTTATCAAGGCCATTCAGAAGAAAATTATAGGAGGCCGTGATGCGCATAGCTTCCGTTTCTGACGTCGCTTCGCCGACGTAGATCAGGAGCTTCTCTAGGATAGTCTTGCTCGTTTCTTGTGCGAATGCGTTCGCGTCCAGGTAAGAGACGGCGACCTCGACCTGCTCGTGTCCTGCGAACTCGTTTTGTATCTGCGCCTCCAGTTTCCACAGCTTGTCCACCTCCCAGCCTTTCCAAAATGACATAGGCAGGTTGGGTAACACTTTGCTGCGGGCGGCCTTGTAAAGATTTTGGTAGAATTTTTCCATCATGCGCATGGTTGGACCTGCGACTTCCTTGTAGGCGATGAAGTTCTTCAAGTCCTTTTGCAGTTCGTCGTAGGTCACGTAGCGGAGGAAGAGAGATTTTTCCGCTTCAAGGCCGTTGATCATGAGAAACACGAGTGCTTGGCGGCCTAGAGCGAGATCCGTCTCGACCTTGGTTAGCAAGAAGTAAGCCATGGTCGCTTGGCTAACATGCATGTATTTTGCGACCACTTCGAATTTCTGCCTCTGCAGCGCCTGCGGCGCGATGCCCAGTTGCGCGATGGTTATCGACTTAGCCAGGTGGCATTGCCAGTCCGTATCGCGCATCATGTTAGCATACATCTGGACAGCACCTCCTCGCGCCATCCAGGTGATGATGTAGTTGTGCTCCGTGTGCGGTGGTGCGGCTTGCCCAAGAAGGGCTACTTGAGCCGGCGTCTGAGGGTCCGAGTACAGGCCGTAAACCGTTTCGTATGCTTCATTCGGGTGTCCCGGTGGGTGGTTCCCGTTTGGGTTCCTCGCGCTGTACCACTGGTTTGGCTGAATAGGTCCCGGCTGATCATGGTCCATAAAGCCATCCATACCCAATATACCAAATAAATTCTGGGTCGGTCGGTTGTGTACAGTTGCCGGGTCGGCCGCAATACCGTTAACCACCGGCGGCGCGTTCATGGCGGTAGAGCCTTGTCCGAACAGGTTCTTCAACATGTCCATCAACTGCTGTTGTGTGAGCGCTGGCTGTTGCACCACTACCGGCGGCAGTGGCGGGGGCAGCATAGGAGGTGGTTGCGCCGGGCCCACTGGTACTGGCATCTGTCCTACTGGCCCCGGAAGTAGTTGTCCCGGCCAAATGAACTGGTCATTTCCGCACGAGTACAGGCCGGCGTTCGCAGTAAATACTGGCGGGACGGCTGGTGGATTGTTTGCCGCATGGGTGAGAATTCTGGCATACTTCTGGCCCTTCGTCCCGTAGGCGGGCACCCCAAGCGCGCCACAAATTTGGCCCAACTCGTTCGTGCTCCACGCGTCCTGCCACGGGATGTTACCAAAGGTTTCCCATACTGCGTGGGTGGCAATGTACGCAGTGACCCATTCACGCAGCGTTTGGTCCATCGGCACAGCAGCTCCACCTTGAATATCAACTTGTGGGATGGTGGTTACATAGTTGGTAAGCTCCTGGCTCGTGACGCCGTAGTTCGCAAATCCCAGGACAAGGTCTTCATTTCCTTTGATAATAGATATCATGTCCAGCATGCTCTGTTGCGTAAGTGCTTCGATTGGGCCAAACTGCGGGTCGGCATAACGATGCCAGAAGATCCCACGTGGGGCGGCCATCCTTTATTTGTGCTATGGTTAGCTTGTTGCTTTGTAGTGCCTCTAGGCTTGTTAGGTGTGTTGCCAGTAGGCTTATTAAGTGATTGATATCCTTATTTCTGGATTTCTTTTCTTTTTAGTGGCATACGCCTTTGTAAAAAAGCGCTGTTCCTGCGCTAACCTTTCCTTCCTGCTGGGAGTTTTTTATAATTACCAAGATGTTCTCATGTCAGGGAGAGCCCTAAGGGTCCTATAACAAGAGCGCGTCTCTGTAGTCACATTTATATTATAATTGGGTCTCGCGGGTGTCTTGTTCCCCAGCCCGCTCTTTCTTAGTGGTTTCTAACCTTTTTAGGTGGACCTCTGGTCCTTGTTATTTTTAGAGCAGTAAGTAAGGATCTCTGCCACTTTCATTTTACCATTTCGGGATCTCTCAGCGGGTACGGCTTCGCTCTCTTTTTCTCTTACTCAGGGAACAGCAGGAGGCGGACCTTGTGGGGGATCTCTCTATTTGATGTTTCGGTTTCTTTTGATGTTACTATTCCAATGTTACGATCTTGATAATACCACCTAGAACAAAGATCCATTTCGCGAACTCCGTTCTTTAAAATGATTTTGGTATCTCTCTAAAGATAAATTAATATGAATATCCTGTTGCGGACAGAAATTCTATTCACAAACCTTGTAGAGGGTGATAGATCGATGCTGGACAAGAATCCAATGAATCAAAGCAGATTTTCTTCTGCCATTTCGAGTTTGCAAATAGGCAACTGACGTACTAGCTACTTCTGAAAAGATAATTTCCTCTCGAGTCTCAATCTCAAACAACATGAAAAGAATTCTGAGAGGGAAGGCTGCAGAAGGCTTTCGCAACTGAAGCCAAATGTCGACTCTGCTTCGCATTAGCGCTCTTCGGCGAGGCGCGCGAAACACTAGCACGCGCAAGTCGTATCCGAGCGGCGCGGACAACAAGGCAGTCGATTACGAAAGTTTTGTCAAATTCGTCAGGCCTCTCGGGTTGGCTTCGTCTGGGGAATATATCCGCTGGTCCAAGACTCCGGCAAGGCCGCGTGGACGGATCCCTTGCCGTCCCGACCTGGTGTATCGCGATGCGGGATGGACGAGCTGGCCCGATGCGCTGGGAAATGATAGAACGCACGGAAGCGTGCATACCTTGGAGGAGCTTGTTCAGATCGAAGCCGATCGCGAAATAGCGGATTCCAGCATCAAGATTCGAAAGCCGATGACCGTGCAGTATGAGCAAGCTCTTTGTTGGTTTCGAAAGGAAGCAGCGACGTTGGCACCGGAATATGAATTTCTCCGTATTGAGGCGAGAACGATTCCGAGCCTTTTTTTTCGCAAAAGAGGTGAGCCCACACAAGATTGGGCTGCTTTGCAGCTCAAGGCAACGAGTGCAGCATCGAAGGCCTGGTGCCCAGGAGAGCATATTTTCTCCGGCGTAACTACTTCTTCCGACATAGGCAAAATCTTCGTTCATTTTCCGACCGAAAAGGTGAAAGTTTGTCATCAATCCGAGATTGTAACAAAGTCCCGGTCAGCACAGTGTCGGGAACTGCAGCGTTCATACGTTCGCATAGGAATCGAAAATGACAGCGCTTTGTCCGATGACCCTGCTGGTTCTCTTGATGCACTACATTATGGCAATTACTACCCCAGTATTTTTTCACACTCATTCAGTTTTTCCTCACTTTCTTCAGTACAAAAGTGAAGCGGTCTGGTTGGAGTCGTCACGTCGACTCAATGTTTGACTCTAAAAACACCATTCGTTTCGTCGTCTCGATGACCTATGGGCAGTTCTTCCAAGGCGGCCGGTGTCGGACTGGTGCGAATCCTTAGCGCCGCGCTACAGTCATGCGAATATTCATCATCGGTTAAGCTCTGCGATCGGCGAAAAGCTCTACGAGCCAGCTGGCTTTGATTTGAAGTGGCATGCAGCGACGAACGACGCACCCTCTGCTTTTGGTCAGCGCCATAATCTTTTACTTGGGCACTATCGCTGCCTGCAGAAGGTTGCATACGTGACCACAACGCCAAAGGGGAAAACCATTTACGCGAAAGTTAAACTCGCTCGCGCGTTCACTGCTTCCACCGGGAGGCAGCTGTGCACATTTTACGACGCAGAGGACGCAATCGATTATTTTCCATGCCTAATATCAGAGAATGGGGGACTCACTGGGGTGTTTTTTTTCCCACACAGCTTTTTACTTGAGCACGGGTATCTCTCTAGAAAATCTGCGGGAAGACGCGGACGCAAGGCAGTCGTTCTCTATGTTCCGGGGAGCTCACCGGCGCCGCACAAGATCGCCTTAGCCAAGGCTCAGCAAAAGTTTTTTATTGACTTGTCTCAAGGTGACTCTTCAGATATACATGAGCACGAGCATGCTCGGCAACTCAAAGCAATAATCTCTGAATACGGAAGGTCGTCAACAAACAGCATGCTGAGTAACACAATCAGGACTACAACTGCAGTGCGCGCATCTGCTAGCGCATAAGCGCTTTCGGCTTGAGAGAACAGGTCTTTCTCTCGAGTGCGCACGCATTTTTGTTCGTCGATTGCAAGCTTTGCAGGGTAAACGAACACGGCGAACACTTTTAATCTACATGCGACAGACAGAAAACTTCCCGAACATTAATAGCATCCATTGAACGCAAACAAGAATTATAGTGTTCTTATCGCGGATCTCCCCGATGGAAAAGTTTGAAAGTATGCCAGAAAGTTAGGACCTCAATTGTTCTTATTGGCAAAGAGTTGGAAATGCACGGCTGTATCTTATTCACCGTCGAAACAGAGGTCTCGTAAGCATCTAGAATACGAAAATGCATACAGGAATACAAGTGTGTAAGACTTTGTCTTTGCCACATTCTTCGCAGTGGGGACAAATATGGCGTTCGGGATTTCTCGGACTGCGCGGCAAGTAGTTGGTCATCGCTTTGTGGTGAGCTATGAAGAATTCGTCGAGTTTGTCCGACCACTCGGTTTTCGCTGCGCAAAAGACTATATGACCTGGGCAAAAACGAATCAGCGCCCCACCGGTATCATTCCGACTCGGCCAGATTGTGTCTATCGCGACAAAGGATGGATCTCATGGAGAGCTGCTCTAGGGAGTGCATCACTGCCCTATCAGGGTAGCGGATATTCGGTTGAGGAGCTGGCTGCAATCGAGTCTGCGACAGAGGGTGACTTCGACAAGCGCAACCGCTCTGCCCTCTCTTACGAGGAGTCGCTAAAGTGGTTCGCGCGGAAAGCACAAGAATTGGCGCCCGAATACGAATTTTATCGCGAGCAGGGACAGGTGCTCCCCAACTTGTTCTTCCGCAAGCGTGACGGTAGATGTCAGGAGCCGAATGGTCAATGGGCGGCGCTCCAGTTTAAGTCTTCCGCTCGGCCTCGCGGTCACGGGGACATGAGCGTTGTATTCTCTAACGTGCACATGTCTCCGAGTGTCGGAAAAATTTTCGTCTGCAATCTCGGAGAGAAAATCAGAATTTGTCACCAGTCGGACCTTCTGGCCACCGTAAACTGTGCCAAAATTCTGCAGGCCAATGCTCGCGTGCATTCTCTGTATGTGAGGCTGAGCGACGAGAACTCCGACATTGATGGCGCATTCCAAAATCTACGCTACTTGTGGGAGGTGCTGCCGAAAAGGACGATATCTGGCTGGATGAATAATCCTCTGGTTTCCAACAATTCGCACATGATTAACAAGAAGCTTGCAAGTAGAGTCAACGAGATCCTGTATTGGCCGGCAGGATTAAGAAGAGAGTGGAGCGGTGCAGATGAAGATACTGTCTGGGGTGAGAAACATAACTTAGGGCTAGGGCCGTACCGCTGTGTTCAAAAAATTGCTTCGAAATGTGATTTCGAGAATAGCGCAAGGGCAAATCCCAGTATACGCCTCTCTCGGGCAATAAAATCTGTCGATGGAGACACAAGACAGATTTACACTTATTACGACGTTGCTGACGGCATAGATTTTTTTAGTTGTATACTTCGTGCGGAGGACAATAGTTCCAGTCTAGCGGGCTTGTTTTTCTTTCCTCGGGCCTTCCTAGAAGCACATGGTTATCTGTCAGATAGGATGCAAGAAAGAAGCGGAATGAAGGCACTGCCGTTATATGTTTCAGGTAGTCAAGCGGCGGTACGCAGACAAGTATTTGCTAAAGAGCAAGAGAGATTTTTCATCGATTTACGCAGAGTACAGGAAAACGATTCTCATATTAGAAACCTTCACGAGATTCTCCGCACCTACGGCGGCGACAAGACAAAACAGCTGACTAAACCGATTTTGCAGTGCTCCACGACAGTGTCAAGCGGAGCTTGATGTACTTCAGCAAAACATCAGCAGACCATGTGTCTCACGCGTCACGCGTCACGCATGAAAGAAGAGCAAGAAGATCACCCTTGTAATCGGGGGGTTACGCGATGGGACTAATGTGGACAGCTCTACGGCGTTCGGTCCACCTTGCGGCCTGTTCCCAGCGAAGTCTCTCCTAGTGATCCACGAAAGAGCGGGCCCACCTTTCTGAACTCAGGACCTCACTCGAGGGAGACAACGCTTGTGGAGACTTCTGTCCGCATCACAGGCAGGCATGCGACGACAATTAGCAACAGTGATACCTTAGAGAGATTTGGGTCGCGTGCACGATGCTCCAGCATCTCTGAAAAAATGTTGATTTGTTAGGAGCAACAGACTGAGACTGACGTCACAGGTAAAATACAAATATTGCGTTTAGAATTTTGTTGAGCTCCGTAAGGAGTAGAAGGTGGAGTAAGCACAATTATTAAGCGGATTGCAAGCAACTCTCAAGTTCACGAGTCAAAATGTGAGTAAGTATTGATTGAGACGCCGAAAAGATGCCGGTAGCTTGCGCGAACTTCGCCCGCATAAATGGCCTAGTTCAAAAACCGGAACTGAATGGAAAATATGCAGCGGTCCTCGGCAAGATCGATAATGGAAGGTATCCGGTGAGTGTTCGAGACACGGCAAGCAACGAGGTCAAGAGTTTCAAAATAAAGCCTCACAATCTGACGGTTCAGTCCTTGCATGAGGTGTGCGAAGGGTTGCCTCATGTGATCCAGATTAACGACGAAGAAGTAACAGCCAAAAGCGTAGAAGAATTCGTTCCACTTCTGAGCGCGGTGCAGAAGCGGCTGCGGAGCATGCCACAGGATGACGGGTTCCACCAGCCCGTGAAAGACATTGCCTGCTATGTCGAATTGAGCCTAGCGAAGTGCGCAAGCTTCAGCTCGGCGGGTTTCCCAGCTGCGAAGGTTGAGGAGTTGCATAAGTACTTCTTCGAACGTCATCAACATGTGACACCGCAAACAAGCTGGCTCGGGGCGGTAATGGACGCAGGACCGGAGTGTCTTTACTACCTGTGTTACGTCAATGCGACGCAGGATCTGCTTAATTTCAGCTACAGAAAAACGGGTGCATTCGAAAAGGCGGCAAAGTTCTGCTCGGAGTGGCTGGCGCATGATGAGAAGCGTGTTTCGGAAAGGACTCTTCGTTGCAAACACGTGCCTGAGATGCTTTCACGAACGTCCAAGTGAACAGGCGGGAAGAGCAGACCTCCTATAACTAATTTATAAATATGAATAAATATATTTATCAATATCCTCCACATCCTTTTCCTTATAAATCCCCCACTTATTTTTTACTAGGGTGCAAGGAATTGAATTTTGTCTCTTGCTAATTGGGAATAGAGAAATATAAATAGTGCTCACTTGCTAGCCGATCAACATTCATGTAGCCAAAATTCTAATAACATCCTACCGCAAAGCAATTCTCAAACAGCAGGGCCTTGTCATGCAAGGCCTCGGGAAGTGCACAGAGGCTATCAAGTCCTTCGAAAAAGTACTCGAGTATCTCGAAAAGGAGAAGGCGCAGCAGTGGGCCTGGGGGATCAAAGAATGCCCCCTGTGGCATGGCGAACGAGCAAGTGCGGACTACGGCATAGCGAATTGTAGCCGGGATATCAGCACAAATGCCCGCATATCGGTGGCCGAACACAAGAGCCTCCTTGAAGAGATACGGGCACGCTGCCCAGTCAATACGGACACGTACAAGAACATAACCTCTGTCCTAGTGAACAACCACGGCTATAAACTGACCGCGAAGGAAAACGCCTGTGCGTGTCGCGACACTGAGTGTGCGATCTGTCTCAAGTCTCTGGTTAAGGATGTCCACGTGTTGGGTTGCTTTCACGGCTTTCATAACCGATGTTTCCAGAAGTATCTGACAGAGCAGGCGGCGAAAGGTATGGAGGCATTAGCAACGGGAGCGGAAACGAGAAGAGCGTTCTGTCCAGTGTGTCGGGACGAGGGATGGAGTCAAATGACACTGCTGGGTTCTTGACGAACTTTGTCGAGGAACAACGCCGGACATAACAAATATGGCGAAGGGTGTCCCTTTGCGGATAGTGTGCGAACGTGAAGTGCAAAAGAGCGCATGCAGTGCTGGTCGTGTTTCCTAGAAAATTCAAAGGCGATGTGAATACCCCATTTGTATCAAGAGCCTTCCTGCTCCTTCCTCGGTATTTTCGTTTAGACATTGATTCCGGTATATGTAAATTTTTCACGTGAGGTATGGAGTAACACTATGCCAAAAGCGAACATAGAAAAGCTGCCTTGTAGCCAAAAAACGCACATAAAATTCAGGGATCAGCGGCGCAGTATTCGTCTCAAAAAGGAAAACTTTCACGAAGAATGTACAAGAAACGCAACTTAATGCGCGTTTTTTGGCTAAAAAACCACTTTTCTATGTTCGCTTCTGGCACAGTGTTACTCCATAGCGTGAGGAGCAGCTCCGTATCCTCCGAGCTTCATAGACAAACATGAAACAGGCAGAAAAATATAGATCCAGATCGAAAGACGTACGCATACACACATAAAAATCTAGAGCCGTCCATCTCCGTTATCAGGAGGGCTAGGGCAGGAACATGACGTCTCTACCCTTGTTGGCCCGACAATAGTGGTGCTACAATACTTTGTAAGTGCGGTCTTGATCGGAGTTGCTTCTGTTCATCTCGTGTTTCATCTCGAAGTCTGCTGTGGACCTCGTTCCTCGGTACTCAAGCACAAGTCGGAGTGTGGCTGTTTCGTCGTCGAAAGATTGCTCGATTCATGTTGACGCTCAACTGTAGAATGTATGAGAAGAAGCTTTCTGTGGGTAAAAGGTGTTGTATCGAAAAATTCTCTGGTGTGGCAAAAGTCGATATCGGCCCGTATCAAACCGAGACAATCTGTTTCAAAACTGCACATCTCGACCCCAACATCGACTCCTTTTTCGTCCCTGTAAGCGCGAGCATATTCGTAGTTTTGGATTCAAGTATTGTGCTTGTGTTGCTAGGAGCTTGGTTGACCTTGACGCAACATGAATATATTTAACCATCTCACTCTTCCATACTAGCTATTTCTGTATGAATGTGTCATGTTCCTGCAAAATAACAAGATATTCGACACGTAGATTATAGAGACAAAACGAGATTTCAAAACCTTAGGAAACAGCGCTTGCAATTGTTCTCTCTTATCGGGGTTGAATAAAAAGGGTAGTAGCATCAACAGCAGATAAGCGATAAAAGTACAATTGATTTTCAAGTTCACGTTGACAGCTAAGACTAGATAGTGCCTCGACCAGTTGACAACAGTGATTGTCTAGGAAGCCACGGCCTGTGAGTGCCTAGTGAACTAAGAAGACAATCGTCCACCAAAAGTACTAGCGCTGGCTTCCTCCTTCTCACTCCAGAACTCCACCTAAATGGTGTTTTGTCACTAATTTATCGCAGATCTAAAAGTGAATTCGACAAAGAAGCACTTTCATTTTCCTCCCATCAATTATACCGTGTAAATTTGAAACCAGCCTTGTTCTTGATATTTTAGATCCCTTTGCTCCTCCCGTTTTCAACGTCTAACCCATAGACCCATCTCATAATCAACCCTCGTCGTCCCACAACTAGCAGCCCTAGCAGAGTAGTACCAGTATCGTCAACGACTGCCCTTTGCGCATCAGCAAACGACCGTACGGACCAGCGTCCAGCAAAACCTCAATTCAACATCACTACAACAAAGCCTTGAGTAGTCAGTACTTTTTTACGCGAAGGAGTAGTAGGAAAAGGAGTTCCTTCCCCCATATTGAGTTTGCTGGAAGCCAGGGTGACGAGGCCGATGCCGATGACAGAAGCGTATCGTCCTTTCCTCAGCGACCCACATCGTATTGAGGATGACCCGGATCGCCACAAAGAACCAGAACTCCCTAGTCCACATAAAACACTGAAGCATGGCGGGGGCTCCTCTTCTTCAGCAAGCTCAAGCGAAAATGAGAACGGTATTTTTGAAATCGTTGAGTTTGAATTTGTTGTTCTGGTTCGAGCAGATGGATTTACAACGTCTGCTCTCGTTTGTTGTTGTGCTAGCAATATGAATCCGTTTGAGGTTTGATAGAAGATGAATGAAGAAGTACGTTGTTCGTATCGACGATACATGGACGATGTAAGGGGACTCTCCTTCGTGAAACCATATTGAACAGCCATCAGCCGCTACATCGGGACGGGCACGGACGGCTATTTCAAGCTGTATCGAACTAGCTCATTCTCATCCGATTTGGAGAATGAGTACGAGGAAGTTGATGAGCCCGATGTCGAGTCCTGGTTAAGGCCAGCTTTTATCCATCTTCCTCGGCATCTTGATACCATTTTGTTTCCTTGTATTTGTTCATGGGAAGCAAAGGGGGCAAGACTAGGGAACCGAGATGAATAAAAGCCGACTCTAACTTGGGTTGGAAGACTAGTTTTAGACGAAGTCGCACAGGAAAAGTGGAATCTTTTGAGCTACGCTGACAAAAAGCGACTCGTGGGACATGGTGCTTCTTTTCGTTTGTAGCTTAGCCTAGTACTAGATTTCTGACATCAGTAACAACAATGCACCAAATATCCCTGGTTGTAATGCTTTTGCTAAGTAGAGCAATCTACACCTCGTTGTCTAGTTGATCCAACATGCTGCCCCGCCATGCTCTCACCAGGTACCCTCAAGGGCGACAACCACTCCGCCAACCTTGTGGCGCGCATCAATCAGCTGAATAAGAAGAAGGTGGCAAAGCATCGCAGTAGGCTTCTTCCGCACAGAATAGGCATTAACGGCAGGACAGTAGCGGCACATCTAGGCCCCTACAGCAGAGAAAAGAGTGGCGGCCATGGCATCAACAGATGGAACTTGCCAATCGGATACAAAGGTTTTTTTGAGAGCGTTTCGATGACGCAATACCTTGTTGTGCTATAGTTGAATGGTGGCCTGTCAATTTCATTGTCACGTGGAGTGCGCCTAGCTACACGTAAATTATGATTATCAATCTGAAAAACTTTAGCTGGCACAGCGGGTGGCGCATGGTCTTGGGGAAGTGAAGGAGACTGGCCGGGCGATGAATTGCCGATTTTAAAACTAAAAAATATTCCATTTCATATCAACGGAGACCAGATAGCTGATTGGTTCGGGACACATTCAAGAAATATCACTGGAAAGGTATTAAATTTCGTTAGGGGAAAGAGTTTGTTCCGAGCAATGTTGAACCTTCTCCGCGATCAATTCTTAACAAGCTGGTCTCAGTGTCAGTCGTGCCCGAGAAAGATTTTGAACTAGCCATAGTGTCCTTTCTTTTCTACGACAAGTGTTTTCCGCACACAAATCAGATCACAATTGATCGCTCTGCTGGGCTTGCTTTGGTGGAATTCAGAAATTTGGGGTTTGCCTATGCTGCGAAATCAGCAAAGGAAGCCGCGCCACTCCGCGGACACCTCGTTGATATCATCGGCCCACTTAAACAGCAACCAGATAGTACTACTATCCCAAATTTTATTCCGGGCTTGTCTTCGGTTTGTGAATATTGATTCTGCTGGTGATCTGCATCTTGTTCACCAGGGAAATGTTGCATTTTTCTGTTGTGATCTCGTTTACCAGGGAAAGCATGACTACCACCAGTATGTAAGCTGCTAACTATAAAGTAAATTTCGGTTTAATTCAAAAAGTGATTGGAACATCAATTGCAAAGCCTCTTCTAGTTCTACCTGAAGGATAAAAATGCAATTCAAAAAACAACCCATGCATCAGGCGCAGCATCCGCGGGAGGCGAAATCAAGGAGTTTATGGCTGAGCTCAAGGCTAGGGAGAATAGCGGCGACCTTGGAGTTGAGGATATCATGCAGAAGTATGAAGAGTGGAAGCTCGAGAAGCGTCGAGCGCGATCACAACCCGCAATTTTCTTTGCCGGCGCAAACGATTTGGCGCTTGCCAGCATGTTTGGAATTTATGAAAAGCAATCGAAAATTTGTGTGAGTGTCTTCCTTTGTTCTGTCCATTTATTATCTCGATTGCAAAAAAATGAATCAGATTTCGATGGGCTGTAGGAGTTCCCTGTATTTCATCCCAGATCCATCATCATCCACATTTCTTCTTCATATATTGCAAACCGGAGAGCGTCCTGCATGGCGTCGTTCAGAGAATAAGGGTGGTGATAATGCTGCCACGAATTGGACGAAGCCTGATGGAAAGGCAAGTGGGGTTGGAGTGGTAGAGCCACCACCTGCAGGCGTTAACGTGAGGCCGCTTGGTTCAGGTAGCAGTTCAGGTTTGAGCTCCGCATCTGCAGGTGCACGGAATGGATGGCGAGGTCCATGGGACAAGCGTGACGAAATGATGGAAGGAAAGGGCAAGTCGCACATGAAAGGCGGCTACTTCAACAGCTACCATGAGTATTCTATTATTCCTAACGTACCTACAATTCTTGCTTTTACTATAAAAACAATTTTTGGAGTTGTACTTATTCATTTCATAAAAGATGTTCGTGTTGTTCATGTGTGAAGATTCGTAGAGGACCTCTAGAGGTATCTATTACATCAAGGTCTGGATGATTTATTGAGGAAACAAAGTAAATTTTGGACTACGTACGTTCGCCGTTTTGCGTCCTTGCTTGTATTGACCTAGTACGGAAAATCTGAAATCCACACTCTTTCTCAGGGAATCCAGTAATGACGCAGATTGGTTTGGTAAATATGGTGGCGACAGGGGCAAGTTTGGTGGAAAGTCAACACTCGGCAGCATACTATCAAACCTGCAGGGAAAAGGGGGCACCAACTACCACATGCCAGATGCGCTTGCAGCATTGAAGTTATGGATTCTGGAATTTGGTCTTTCGAGCAGCATAAGAAGAAAAAATTCAAATTCTCTTTGGGGCACTCTAGTGTAGACTGCAAAGCAAGTTATTCTCGAGTTCATTTTAGTTTTTTCTATCGTTCTTTATCTCTCAGGAAGGATGATCCCACCCTACAATATATGTCTTTAGGCATTATGTAAGTACACTACCTAGCTTTATTTGTTCCTTGATCGATGTTGGGTGCATCATCATACTAACTTGATAGATAATAGTCATAAGGAAACAGGCCAACGCCTAAACCACTTTGGGTCTGCTCCATTCTCGCGATCTCCGTGGCTAGGCTCCCCCCTTCTTGGGTGGTTTAGGCGTTGACATGTACGCGTATCAATCAAACTGCCGGGGTGGGTTCGAGTCCCGGCAATATCAAAAATAGTTGCAGAGTCTAGAATACGCATCGAGGCCAAGGGGTGGGAGGCGTCAGATTGAGCGCGCTCCAGTGCACACACCCGCCACGGAATGAGCCAAGTGGAAGACGCAGCCACCGACGAGCCCGACATCGGCAAACTCAACCGGTCCCACCCGATGAGGGGGGAGCCTGGCCACTGAGATCGCGGGAAGGAGAATGGCGTAAGTCCAGACCCCAATGAACCTGGCAGCCTAGTGATACCGGCCGCCGCAAGCATGGCGGTGACCCACCTAGCAACGGCAGGGGGTGCCTAGCGACAGAGATCGCGAGAAAGGCAGCCGAGCCCACCCCGGTAGTTTGGTTGATAAGTGAACAGGCCAACGCAGTTGGCATGGTGGTTTAGGCGTTGGCCTGTTCCCTTATCCTATATGTTGCAAAAACAAAAACAAAACGTAAGATCTCATCTAATGCTTGGTTCAGCTTCAGGGAAGTTCAACAAGTCCTTCTATGAGGGTGGAAGTGCGCGCAGAGGTCTCGACCAAATGATGGGCGGTTCCCGCGTCAATGCACCTCCAAAACGCGCGGGTGGTCCGCCTAACGACGTAGCATCTTCTTATGGCAACGCCTAGCGAGGAAGCATTGACTTCTAATAGTGATTATTTTCGGCGTACTACGGTTCAGTAGATGAACATCAAGTTCTTTGACGGGGTTAGAGTCTGCTCCTACATTTCACCTTGTCTTTGCACGCAGCTAGGGAAAGAAGATGTTGCATATTCTTGCAAGTTAGTAGCTCTAATTTGTGCTTGCTGCGGCATTGGTCAGTGCACAAGGTGAACAGTGGCACGGACAGGAGGGATCATCTTCTAGTTCGCGCGACGATGGAGGTTTGAACGAGCTGCTAGGATCACTCATGGGTCCTGCGTCTAGCGCATCAGCACCAGCAGCAAAAGCCGATCCGTGGGCAGAACTCTTCCAGTCGAGTAGTGCTTCAAACGACTATCACAACAGCAACGAAGCGCACAGTCGCGTGGGTGGTGGTAATTCTTGTTTGTTTCTTCTATGTGAGTTTGTAAGCGATCAAGAGAAATCATCATGTTTTGTTCACCTTTTTACGACCTCATGGTGAAGCAGAAACATCAAGGAACTTAACAAGTCAGTAACATTGCTCGGAGATGGATCTCAAACTAAGGCTCATTTTTTTTCCCATTCTTGCAACACAGCAAAATCCAATGGCAATGGTGGAGATTTTCTAGGCTGGTTTAACGATGGCAGCAATAAGAACGACTCATGGAACAACTGGGACATGGGTGCAGGAAACGGCTCGTCGTCAACGTATTCACATGAGACTGTCAAGACTGCACTCACAATATTTCTGAGTAGATGTTGATCCTTCTAGCACTGGGTGCTTTTTTGTACTGAATGCTGAGTGAAGATTCTGAGTACAACATAGTATCAGCATATTGATGTTGGTCTTTCATATGAATGTTAGCATGTTGTCGTGCAACAAATTTGTATACAACTATAGAAAGGATGGCTCAACTTAGACTTACTACAAAACTACAGGAACAACAGCGCCACTGACGACCTGTTGAAGAACATCATCGGCGGCTTTTCCTAAAGTGGCTGCAGAGGCCACGAGGAGATCGCTGAGCTAGTAGCAGAACACAGAAACGCATGATAGCTGATCGTTTAAGAGTTCTTGCACAACTACAATTTTCGAAGAAATGCACAAGTCAGAGAGACTGACAGAAAAAAAATTGATTTCGTAACAGAAAAATGTTAAACAATTCGTCGCAACATCAAGAAGAAGATGGTTTTTGGAAACACCAACCACCTTCACAAAAGCAAAAGCCTTACAACAACAAAAATAGTTGTCTTACTTTCAAAGAAACATCAAAGAATGAACTACGAGTACTAACAAACCTCATTAGAAAATGACGTAAAACAGTTTTGTCCTTGGGCTAGGCGATCTTAAATGAACTAAATGCCAGTGTTTTCTCAAGCTCAACAGTCTGGATCGTGTTACGATGGATTTGTTTGAAGCATATAAATGAATAAATCGCGATTATTTTGCAGATCTTGACAAGATGCATCTATTGCAAATGTACAACGTCCTACCAGTATCCGATGTTTTCCTAGGTATTTTCTTATCGATATTCGTTATGTGTTTGCTTCGTCCAGTCCCTGCTGGTAGTTGTGACGTCACCCAGGGCTTAGTTGACAGCATTTTATCATAAACGGATTTCAATGTAGTAAAGGTTTTAAACAAAGACCGAAAGCCAGAACCGCAGAACTGAATATTATAGGTGTTTCCTAAATGAAGTGAGCTCTTCTTCGTTCTTGATACCAAGTAGTAAGAAACAAGTAGCCTACTAGAAAGCACATCACAGATTGACTTACCTCATCGTTGTTGTCCGTTGAGCTGCAGTTGTATGCCTTCTCTCGTATTATGTAATGAACTAGAACTCCAAATTTAGTTGTGAACAAGCTTAATTATAGTCTACAACGTATTTTCTTGAGTGAGTGTTGTCAGGGAAAGAGGCGTCTTTGAGGTGCATTTTCGGCCTCACCATCGCTTATTGAAGATAACATGCTCATTCATCAGAGTTTTTAATGATAGTAGGACCTGTTGCAGAACTGGACGTGGTAGTAACAAGCAGGTAGTCTAGTGTAAATACATCTTGATGCTTTTGCTGTGGTTCTTGTCATGGTTGATGTAGTAGTATGATCGTTATTGCATTTCTTTGATGAAGAGCAAATCTCAATTTCGAAGAAAGTAAAGAGAGTGCTCGTGTCTATTGATCTTGATTTTCTTGACAATTCGGCATAGGAGCAGGCTGGCAAAGATCATGGGGGGCCGTGAAGATTCAGACGTTGCGTCGGTGATTCGCGTCTCTGTAATTTCCTCGCCTGCTTCTTTGTCGTGTGAACAGATTTGAAAATTTCTTCGCCTGATATAGCGCCGAAGATTGAATAGGCTCCACCACACTGTCGCTGTCCAGGCTGATAAGGCAGACAGCGCTGGGAGACGAATGGTCGATGTCACATCACAACTTTCTCTAAGTATTATTAAAAAATAATGCATCATCGCCGATTCTGTGGTATGAAAGACTTTTTTCATGATGATACAAAGAAACGGGAGGCAAACTTGGAGGTGGACTGAAGAAGTGTTTACACTGATCATCAGTGATTTACTATCCCGCATATCTCGTTAGTAATTTCCTTTCTACTTTGATGTGTAAGTAGGATGTCGATCCGGAAAGGTCGTCGTAAGACGTTGTTGCAAGTGATTATAATGCATAACATATACTTCGGAATCGAACGGCGACGAATGTCCAACACATTACTATTATGAGTACATGCCCAGAAAGCGGGCCCATCAAGGGCCCGTTGCGCTGGGCATAGGTTCGCAACTAGACAGATAAGACTACGACACAAGCCGGCTACGGGTAAGCTAGGAAGCTGGGAATAGCTAAGCACCTGCCGAGCTAGGTCTCCTCAAGCAGCTACCAAGCTAGCTATCGCGAAGCAGCTAATAGCAAGCTACCTATGGCCAAGCAGGTAGCAAGCTAGCTGTGGCCAAGCAAGGAAGTAGCTAGCTGGCTAGGTAGAGCAGGGCAGCTAGCTAATAAGCCCCCCAGATACCACAACGTATGCATTTTGTCACTGTCATTGTCATTGAAAAACACTGCTGCAGATATTAGTATTTAGAGTGTTAGCAATTTTTTTAAGACCAAGACTTCTCCTTAAGGGGGCTTCCTGAAGGAGCTTCCTTAAGGAGATTGCATTCCTTAAAGAATTTCTATTATATATAGAAATCTATTACAGGGCTTCCTTAAGGGCAAAAGATGAGCCTTAAGGGAGCGCCTTAACGGGGCCCTTGTAATAAAATTGGGTTAATGTTAGGCCCTTTCTTAAGAGCCACCTCTTTCTTAAGGGCCTCCACTTGCTAACTTAGCCATGGCTAGCCTGCTCGCTGCTTAGCCATAGCTAGGAAGCTCGCTAGCGGCTTAGCCATAGCTAGCCTGCTAGCTGCTTGGCCCTAGCCAGCTTGCTTGCTGCTTGGCCATAGCTTTAGTCAGCTTGCTACTGGCTGCCTAACCATAGCTGGAGCGCTAGCGGCTTGGCCATAGCTAGCTCGCTAGCTGCTTGGCCTTGTCTAGCTTTCTTCTATCTGTTTAGCCATAGCCTGCAAGCGCGCCGGCTTGGCGCTAGCTTAGCCATTGCCAGCTTGCTAGCCTAGTCACGGCCACCCTGCTGGCTTAGCCCGGCATGGCTAGCCTGTCCCAGTCGTGACCAGCTTGCTACCTAGCAGCCTCGCCAAAGCTAACCTGCTAGCTTAGCCATAGCCACTCCAGCTTGTTAGCTTAGCAATAGCTAGCCAGCTGGCTGAGCAATGGCCAGCGTCCATGCCGGCTTATTCTAAGCCAGCCGCGCGTCTTAGCGGCTTGCGTCGTTTGTCTTATCTGTCTAGTTTCTAAGTGCTAACCTCTGCCCAGCGCAGCGGGCCCTTGATGGGCCCGCTTTCTGGGCATGTATACAAATGATATAGATGAAAATGCTAAAAATGAATATCATTAGAAGAATAAGCATACTACACGGATCACAAGATTTATCGAATGATATCATCACTATCAAAAGCTAAATAAATCGCTTGATATATCGCCTGGATATGTCTATGTCCTCTGTAACGCATGGAAATATTCATTCCTTTTCCTTCTTGACGTAATTCGTAGTGACCTCACGTGTGACCGTGCATAGAAATCAACATAGACAATCTTCTTCAATGTCTTTCAGCGGCCACAGGAATTAAAGGTGGGCTTTTTCGAATGGTGTAGGAGTAAGGATGCGGTGCATGAGGGGACTTCGTTCAGAGATCAAGAACTCTCGGTGCGCATGCGAAAGCTTGTCAGTCGTGTAATTACAGTCCAAGTCCATGTCCAACTCGTATGGTCCTTTTAGTTCTGTGTGTCTGCGATAGGAGTCTGAATTTCGTCCTCTGATGAAGAAAAATAACACCAGTGTCGAAAAAATGTCGGGACACGAGAATCGGTACGTTCGTTCTACAGTTCAGCAGAGGAAAAGTACTCGCATCTCTCGGAAGAGCTAATCCGGTCTAACGTAAGGTATTTTTAATGACGAGAGTCAACGACAACGAAAGTATCTCGAGCCCATATAAATCCTCCCAGCCCCAAAAAGTTGTACACGTGCATTTAGCTTTAAGCTGCGTTATTGTTATTTCAATCGCAATTCATGTGATCTGCGTAATTGCAGTAATGTAAAAAAATTGAAAAAATCTGAAAGAAGTAAAGTACTTGTAAAACGGAAGTAAAAAAAGTGTTTTTTTTATTACAGGAAAGAAACAAGGAAAAATGCTTAATTTGGTGGAGCACTTTCTCCACGACCTTTTCTCAACGTCTGGAGGTGGAGATGAAAGTCAACTGGCGAATGGGGGGAATCCTGTAGTTGGGCGGCAGCGTGGCGCTTCTTCCTTTTTGGAGACCTTTTTCGACGTCTCGATTGGAGGTAAGCCCTCAGGTCGAATCGTCTTCGATCTGTTCGACAAGACAGTGCCGAAAACATCGGAGAACTTTCGTTCCTTGTGCACGGGTGAGCATGGCGCTTCACCGCGATCCGGTGTGCCTCTGACTTACAAGGGCAGCAAGTTTCATCGGGTGATTCCGAATTTTATGTTGCAGGGCGGCGACTTCACGCACGGCACGGGCGTGGGCGGAGAATCAATTTATGAGGGTGGAAAGTTTGATGACGAAAATTTCACGCACACACACACCGGACCGGGTATGCTTTCGATGGCGAATTCGGGGGCAAACACCAATGGGAGTCAATTCTTTATCACGACGGTATTGCTTTGTTACAAATACTTAGTTATTTCTGGCGTTCTCATACACAGAGACACATGGAAACAATGAATCGATGATACAAGAAGAGGCACCGATAGTTTTTTTTTTCCGTATCTGTCATGTTTGAATTTTTCCGTTGAATTCTACTGCTCTTGTTACTTCTATCAGAACTAAGCTGTATTTTTATCACGCACTCACGAATATCTATTCACCTACCAGGCTGAGACGCCGTGGCTCGATGGGCATCACGTTGTTTTTGGAAAAGTCAAGAGCGGTATGGACGTGGTGCGCTCTATTGAGGCCGAAGGCTCTGAGAGTGGCGCGACGAGCAATGAGATCGAAATTACAAATTCCGGTGAATTGGGCACAGGGACCAAGGGATCAAAAGAAAGTGGTCTGGCGCTGGCTGCAGCAAGCAACTTCCTGCAGGTAGCACCAAATGACGACTTCTACAAATTTGGCGGTCATGAGAACACCTTGATGTACAGCAGGAGTAGTAGTTTTAGAGGCAGTTGGAGAGAGCATCATCATCATGTGATGTCCACCTCCACACGTTCCAGGTATAATCCTGCCGGTGCTACTTCCTTTCAACTCAGACGAAAAGCAGTAGGAGGGGAAAGCGATAATATTGATGGACGGCCAAGAATGGAACACGCCGCAGAGCATCACACGACTTGGCAGGAAAATGTTTCGAAGGGAGCACGAGCTACGTCGCCGTCGAGGACGGTCGAAGGAAGAAAGAGTATGAGTAGCAGAGCTTTGATGGAGGTGATAGCTAGAATAGCAAGAGATGGCAGAACTATTTTTCATGAGAATTTGATTTCAGATCCTTCACAACGCCGAGGTTATAGAAACCCTGTAAATTCACAAATGGCTCCTGGAATTCTTAGAACTGAAGCTGATTCCCAGGTAGCGTTCGCTATTCGTAGCAGTAGTAGTAGTGCAGTCACGAGAATGAAGCACCAAGTAAGATGTATACCCTATTACAATCTCCAAGAGCATGCGCATGGTTCCTCTGGACTGAGAAATGAACCGACAGCTTTCTTTATCAATATCGATGCTTGGTTTCATCGAGAAAAACAAGAAGTAGTTCCTTTTGAGTACCGCCAGCCAGCAGAGTTGTCCTATTTTGACTCGCACGAGCGCATCTGGCCCCCTCCTGGCGAAGATAGTGATGATAAACCTCCTGAATTAAAAAGTGACTGGTGAAAGCTGTAGTGGAATCACGGATGAATGAGTTCTTTGTGTACCAAATATAATGTGTCAGTTTACAACAAAGTTTTCGCGTGATTCGATGACGCTTTACACCTAGGGAGTGAAAGCTCGCACTTGGCTTGTTGCCTCTACTTGTCTTTCAAATTTTGTCGAGTGTTCGCCAATGCACAGCAGATTAAGGATTCTCTCTAAAATAAAGATTCGCAGTGCGCACAATCCTGAACACGTCGGACAAGGAGTCGCGAGCTTCTTGCGGTGGTAGGCACTCTAGTAGAAGAGTCTCAGCGCATTGTTTGTACGTCATTTCTTGAAATTTTCGCATGCCAGTTTGGTCTGATGTTGTCCGTTCTCTACAAAGTTGTCGCTTTCGTATTTAAAGTGTTATTTATCTATCACCACGAGATGCAAAATTGTTTATGCCTTACGGACGTGCACGATTCATTGTGAAGAGACTTGTACAGTTGTCTTCAAATCGCCCGGGGCACATCAATCAAATGAACGCGCGAAGACAAGGGTGCTATAGATACGATCAAACCTTTCTTGCCTGCAGAATAGTTCACCTCCCTCCGCGCGCGCGTTTTTCCTATCTCAGTGCTAATACGTGCACATTCTTTCGTTGCCATGTCTTCTAGTTCACAACTGCACCATTAACTAGCTATTATTTTACGAAACAAGGTCTGTGCGTCAAAGACGCCAGCACACAACGCTGTATCGAGTATTCACGTGCGAAAAATAAACCGAGTATTCAATGTCTAGAAAGAAAAGTTGTCGACTATTCAGGTATCGGAAAGAAGGGAAGAAGATTTCTTTTTAGGATTTAAAAGCGATAACATTGTTGATAGACAGATTTCTCCTTGCGTTTGTTGTAATTAGAAGACATGTAGGAGGTCGACGTGTCGCGGAAAATCAACGTCGCAATAAATTTCAATGAGACACAAGCTAGAGATGAACAAATTAATACAAATTGAGTCACTCAGTATCAATTTCAAGTGTACAATGTTTGTTGACACAACATTTTGAGGGAAATCCAAGCCAGTGAAAAATCCTGCTCAATTACGAGAATACATTGCGCGCAAATATCAACAGTGTCAGCATTGCTCACTTTTTCTTGTGCTTCTTCTGCGATGCCGCGTCGAACAGCATCACCTCATCGGGACTTACGAATCCCAGCTCCGATCCTGAAGCTACGGACGTAGAAGAAGCAGTCTCGCCCTCTTTGCGCCCTCCTCCAGGGCCGTGAACGTTCGTTAGAGAAGATCTTCATCTTGTTCGTTCTTGTACGTAAACGTAAGCGTCGTACAACAGTAGTTTGAATTCCTTTTACTTCTAGTACACAATAGGCAAACCTACAAAAAAGTCGAAACAATGACCTCCCAGACTGCGTAGTCAATCCTTTACAATGCTTTATTCACAGTACCTAGTGGTCATAACTCTATCAGCGGTACAATGGCACTCCCTTCTGCTGGAGTCCTTCCTCCTGAAAAGGGCGCCGTTTCGTCGTGTTCTTTGAAAGTTGTAGTTCCTGCAGCTGATCCCATCGTGCTCGTAGCGAGAGCCATATTGTGCACTGTGCTAGCATCCTCTCCGGGTGCGGCACTTCCATAGTGCAACGCATTAGAAAGTGCCTGGTTTCGGATAGACGTAGAGGTAGCTAGTTGCATGCTGAATAATCTCGTCGGACCCAAAAAAGTTATAAGTGTTGACCGCCTAGCAGGGGAAACGAAAAGAGAGCAAACTTGACAAGCAAGAACCTATGTACTTACTTATAGATACATACTACCTTGATGCGAGAATGACAATCTGTCTGTTGCTACGGCTAGTATAACAGAAAAATATTGATGCCAACAATCTATTTCGGCCGAACTATTCTTAACGGTGGAAGGAGATGGTCTGATTATGTCCGCTTCCATGGAACTGCGGTGGCATCTGCTCGCTATGGTTAGTCGCTCCAGTGTGCTGTCCTGTATGGTCCGCTCGTTCGTGAAACGCTCAACATCCTGGTTAACCTCAGCAGGTACAGACGCTCGCACACCTCGTCCAAACACAAGAAATGATTAGACTTTTACGTCTAGCCTACAAGACCTGGCACAGAAGAAGACCTGTTTCTTTATTCTGTGATCATGCACGTAGATACTCCTCCTAAAGCGATTTACAAGGAGGCCCTTCTTCATCAGACACCTCTACGACTTACGTAAAATGCAAGAGGTGAGGCCCATGAAATGGATCGCCGAAAGTTTCCGGAAGTTTTTTCCATGAATCTCATCCAAAAAAAAAACGCCTGCCGAAAGTTTCCGAAAATTCATTGCTGAAAGTTTCTGCCTTTTCGGAAACTTGCCTGGCGGTCTCATCTTGCAAACTTACAAGATGCAGGTCGGAGGTACAGACATTAATTCCGGAATTATTCAAATTCTAAATCTAAACTCTTTGGCTAAAATCGTGATATATATTAAGTTCTAAAAAATAACGTTATATATTAAATGCTAAATACTAACAACGTTGCATTTCTTGCAGTTGTAGGCTTCCTCTACTTGGTGAACAACGTAGCAGTTCATCTAGAAGTTGGTGAACATAGTCAGACTCTGGTCGCATCATCTCTGCTCTTCTGTCCATGCTATTGTACACCTCTTCTAGTGCCTCCTTCGCCTGCCCGATCCTTACATCCAGAAGACGCGGGTCATATCGAAGTTTCTTCACTTCGTTAAGGGCTTTCTCCAAAACCGTCTTTGTAATGCTGGAAGATAGGTGTTTGCCTGTGATCTTTCGATGAGCATATTTACTAGGAATCAATATGGGGAAAAAAGAAGGATGCTGTCGTATTTTGTATTAGGAGTATCGATCATGTGTAAGCCTTAGCAGTTTTACCATGAAATTCAACAACATAAATCTAAACCGAGTGTGTGTGAGTGATTCAATATCGAATAGATACTTGTGTTGAATTCTCTCGTCACTACACAAAGGTCAGCAATCGGTGGCGGATCAAGATCAGAAAGAGCGAAGAAACATCAAATCGAATATAGTACTAGAGATCTCTGTCGGAGCACGTCTGGGAGTCGGTTTCTCTCGTCTTCTCGTGGATTTCGCAGAATCGTTCAGTCAGATGCGACAAACGGATGCTTAAAACGTGATATTGTTTCACCAACGCTACTACGAGGAAAATGACACCGAGGATGGCCCAGCAGAACAGCAAGGACATTCCGCCGCGTAATCGGTCTCGAAAAGTTCCACTAAGAAAACTCATGAAGAGACCCGGGGCTAATGTTCCAGCCGCAAAACCCAATACATTGAAAAGACCGTTCGCGACCGCGCTCGCAGTTGCGCGAAAGTCGTTGCGAACCTGCGTATTTCAACATAATATGGTGACACGACGCCGAGCAAACACCACCTAGCCTCCGTGCCTTTAAATTGTAATTTGGATGTAGAGGGTTCAAGCGCAAGAAAGTTGCAATTCAAATTCTTGGTTACCACGCTGAGCATCATGCCTGTCAGCGCTGGAACCATCGCTCCGCCGAAGAACAACAGGAGCCACAGCAGAACGACGACCGCATAAAACTCACCCATACTATTTCCTGCGGGTAAAATCTGGTGTACGGTGGGCTTCTTTGGAAAAAGGAGAAGCATCGCATGGACAAGTTCTATCCGTCGCTTTGGAGAAGGACTGTTGAAAAACAAAGTAACTCGCCTAAAACATGCTATTCGATTCGTGGTTTTAAAACAACAACTACATCGACACTCACAAATCACACGGTTGCAAAATCAAACACGCCAACTTACTGATGCGACAACGCCGCAGGCGGTCGCAAAGCATGCGCTTCCGAGCAGCATCCGAAAGGTCGTTATTCTTGCTCTTACACCTCCATAACCACCCATCCAGTCGACTACGAGTCCGCCTGTGACTACACCAAAAGCAGGTCCTGTCGCCGCAACTATCGAGAATGTCACGATGACTGTAACCCTGAAATGTAGCACCAAAATATAAACATCATTTCACAACAGGTTTGTAAACTATGCTTGTTTAGTTGCACTAACGAAGGCTCGGTGGAATTTCTGCCTCAATTGTATCTAGTACCGATACAGTTCCCAAGTAGGAACTACTTACTTGTTACTTGTTGCTACCGTTACTCGTTCTATATATAAATATTAGCATATCAAGTAGTTGGGTCAAGATATTACCTGAAACTATCTATGCTGACGCTTTTCGGTCGGAATACTTCTACGAGGTAAATGGTTGCCCAGTACTGCACGCCGGTCACCACAAAATAAAGCGTTGACAACGTAAGCATTTTATGAATGGTGTTGGCATGCCTATAATTTCACAAAGGGGGAACGCCACAAAGGAACGTTGTGCGTCAGTCTTGTAAATTATAGTAGCGCAAGCTTATAAATATATATAATTATATTTATAGATCCTGTTGTTTCTGTACTATCTAAGTAACTTCTAGCTTCTGTTTCTAAAGAATCGATGTAAGATATGTAGTGCTGATGGCTTGGGCTCCATCCGCACAGACACCGACATTGCTTGCTGGACCACTAATTCAGAACAGTAAATTATGCTTTCTTGGTGTTTACAGTCATACACACTGAGGACAAAGATGCTGTTGTTTCGCAGACGGAACATGCGTACTAAAGTTGAGGGCTTTCTGGATACGGGTAGGTTGTCGCCACTCCCGTCTGCGCTGTTTGTGCTGCTGCGGACGCTGTCTGCACTTGCGCTCGAAAAGCGCATGCCTCCAGCATCAGTCTCGATTGATTCCATACTACCGCGAAGGCCCCCACCACTCTCTGTGCTGTCGCGACCTTGGATCCCGCCGCGGCCGTCTGGCGCTTCTCCTCGGTGGCTTCCGTCGCGATGCTGCAAAAGCCCTCTGCTTCCACAACTCCGATGACACGGATCCCCTTCCACGTCGTCAATCGCAACAATGGCTTGACTACTTTGATGTTGATCCTGGTCTATTGATATGGCTCCATCGTTGAGGTCGTCTAGATCGCGTTCCCGCTCTACCATATGATAATGATCATCATCATCATCATTTTCAGGGATGTGACCTCCTCGTCCAACCTGAACCTGCTCCGTTTGTTTTCTACAACTAAGTCTCGGCACTATGCTTTTGTGCTTGCCTTCGCTTAGAATATTCTCCTTGACCACTGGAAGACGCGAACTATCGTGATCCTCTTCGTGGTCTCGGTCTGACAGGTTGCTGCCGATATTGCTTTCACTACCAGTCTGCATCCTCCACAGGTTCTTTACGTCACAAAACTCAAAGGACATACTGGTTTCGAAAAGACTTGGTGATGGAGCAGCGCGATGCCCTCGGTGCGCGTCGAGATGAGTGTCCACGCTGAGGTGATTCCCGGTCCTGAGTGGTTCAATCGGCGACGGAAGTGCGTCGGGTGCTTCATGCTCTTAGACGAGTCATAGCGGTGCTAGCAGTGGTACGTGATAGTAGCAGTCGATGTCGACGTAGTGTACTCAATCTCAATGATCTAAGAATGCATCTTGAATAAGTAATCACATACTTGTCTTAAGTTGCAGGTGCACCGGTCACGTCTTTTATTGGACGCCGCGGTTGCTGTGGCTGCCGTCCTGTGCTAGCTCGGCCATCGTCCGCTGTCGTGGGTGGATCGATGCCAGATCCCGCAGATCTCCCTGGCGCGCTATCGGCTACCAGGCCATCTCCAAGATTCTGGGAGGTTGCGTTCGTGCCTCGGGGCAAAGCAGTCGTCCTTGAATTGTATTCTTTAGAGCTTCCCGCCCCTACGTAGCGTATGCGGACACTATGAATATCAATATATATAATTACCATTCAGCTTTAAAAAGCGTATCTTCACCTTTCTCGTCAACACCGGTTATTTTCCAGTTTCCAACGAAGAAGGGCGAATGGGAATGAAAAGAAGTGGATAAGAACCACTATTACCTATTGAGATTAACATTTTTTGGAATTGCTTTCAAAATGGAATAAAACACTCAAGAATGTATCACTTCTTCGCATTTTAGGTGATCCCTACGCCTTAACTACTCTCATTGTTGGGAACGAGCGCGTGAGCCTGCTTGACGGAAGAGAAAACTTCTCTCGTAGCGATGTTGTAGAACCCACTAGGTACCTGGTAGCTCCAGTCATCTTTCTACTTGCAGCCGCCATGCTTTTTCGCGTTGCGCGCGCTTGTTCCCTGAACTTTTGTCGCCATCCCTCCATTGCTGGCGACGACCATGGGTTGTCGATGTGCTCTACTTTCACGCCGAGCGAAAGCAAGATGAGCAGTCCAGCGATGGAAAATGTTTGCACCGCCATCGCGGCACTCCAGTGCACGTTATTCGCAACCAGAAGACCAGCCACCACAGATTAGAAGTATCCTATTGCCTATATTCGAACTACAACAACAAACGATGCAAAACAAATACTAGAAGTACTACATGGATGTTGCTAAGTAGCTCTTAGTGCAACGAAAGCTCCACTGAGGCTCTTTGTAGAAATTGAGTATGCATAAGATGAAGATTTATCTTCTGCCAAAGAATAAAAATCTTGAATAAGATCATTTCATAGAAGTATCCCAGCATGACCCCAAGGGGAACTCCGACCTGCAATAAGGCAACCCACAGCGTTTTGCTTTGGATCGGCGCAAATTCCTCCACCCATACAGTTGAATAGATCACAAACGGCGCTTGTGTAAACTGGTCAATAGTGTGGGATTAAAAAGAACGTAAACTTCATTCTTTCGCGGTCTGTCTATTGATAAATTTTGGTATGCTGAAATCTTTTCAGTCTGCAAGAACTGGATCATAAGGAAGTTGATTAAGTATTGATAAAAACAACTTAAACTTACTATCGATTTCTATCAATATGGATGATGCATGTACATAGAACAGTTTATAGGGGTGTCGGGTTCAGGATGGGACGGATCGGATGGATCGGATGGACTTCCCAGGTCCGCTAAGTTTTTCGAGTAGAGCCCGAAGATTTAGGTAGGTCCATCCGATCCATCCAAGTCCATCCTACGTCCGTTCTATAAATTATTCTAGCTATGAGAGTACGCCGATGACGCACCGCGCGACCACTAGCTGCCAGTAGTACGAGGACCACGCTAGAAGTGCACAGAAGGCTGCGTTGCCTGTGAGAGCCACCAGAAGAACTTTTTTCTGCGACTGCGTGCCCACAAAATTAGAATCCCTATCCAGTACCAGAAAGAGAAGTGAAAGCCCTTGGAGTTGCACTCCCCTGTCTAGATTCCAGGGGCGGCTCGCGCTAGTGCTTTTCTGAGGTGAGAAGGTAATTATCAAGTTCTCACTCCTGAATATACCATGTCGAGTTGCAACATGTTAAGAGATTGATATCTGAGCGTCACTTGCCTTAAATAAGACACCGAAAACGGGCGCCGCCAGTGTTATTCCAAGGTACGGCACCGAACCGAGAAAACCAAGCTGCGACTCACTCGCCTTAAATTCCTCTCTTATCTTCTCGGACAATGAAGAGAAAAAAACAAGTATGACGAAGGACTAGATTGTAGCCTGATAGAGTTATCGCCTTAGTACTAGATGTATGAGAGTATATTTCTCATAATAGAGCTAGGCTGTTTTCGACCATATCGGGCTGAGTTTCTCGGGTTGCTCGAGTTGCCCATGCGATTTTTTTCGCTGCGCCCTGCGGGTGCAGCCTTGGCGAGGCGTTGAAGTAGAGAACAAGAGCACTGCGGGCCGGCAGGAGGGGCATCCGCCAGGGGAAGACAGCCAAGGGGTGGCAGTCAGATGACCGCAAAGGGCCCAACGCGGGGGCCCTGGGGGGTGTGGCGTGTACCGGACCAGCATACCCAGCTGCCCACCAACGTGAAACCACGCCTACCGCTACCCGCCCACACATTAGCCCCCGCAGCTTTTCCCCCAATGTCACAGCGGCACCCTCCGGCCGCAAGCCGGCGCTGACCCCACCCCGGCGGGAACCCCTCACACCGCAACGCAGCGCGACGAAAACCCAAACCCACCTTGACACCCCTCCAACGAAACCACAGAGGCGGGCGAGGCACTTGCTCCCCGCCACCGAGTGGGGGGCGGCGAGCCGCTATCGATCGCAAACGGAAGGAGGTAACGCCTTGCCGGCCTTCTTTTGCGAAGGAGGTCGCGCAGACGGCGCCCAGCATGCCGAGCAAGCACTTCCGCGCCCGCACCGCCCTGCTTCGCCCCATTTGGATGCGCCAGCCTTCTGTTCTTCTGGCAACTCGTTGCGATCCAGATTTGGAACCCTTCGCTTCAGCAACTCGAGCAACTCCTTGCAACTCGAAGCCCGTCACTTGCCTTACTCTATACATATTTATATAATACGACTGCGTTGGTCCAGTTGTAGCTTGGAGGCGTGACTGCTTCATGAAATTTCAAGTATGAGCATGATAAAGACCACTGTCTGCCGCACCTGCAACTGCATTCAAGAATACAAGATATTCATATTTAAGGCTCAGCTTTCAATGGTCATTGGGGTTGGTCACTGAGATCGAAGAAGCGACCGCTTTAGAGAACAGGGGAAAACGAAGGGAAAGGGGAGAGCTTTGAAGGGGGTCGCCTCCGTTCAGCATCAGTGACCATTGAAGGCTGAGCTTTAACATATTCTATCGAACCATGGCCATCACGTGCACGTCTTCTCAGAAACGGATACAAAAGGTGCTGCACAAACACAAAATCATCTGTGTCATAACAGAACGGAGGGAATCGCACCAGAGTCGTAGTTGACCATCATCTGGATAAACATGAGAAGTTTAAAGGTTCGTGCGACAGCCACTGTGTCTTCTCGTGGGTGACCCGTTTCTGCTCTGCCGATGGCGGGTCGCGCTGGCGCCAAGGGCTCCTCGCCCTGTGTAGGTGTACATAGAAAATAATAATTCGACCGCGAAAAACTGGCTAAATGGTGCGAGCTACTTACTCCTATGACCTGGGTAGCCGTGTTGTCGCCGCCTACTAGAAGTTTACTTATGTGCGATAGTTCGTCATCGTGTGAAGACACACCGCCTCGATAACGAGATTGCACAGTATTAGCAACAGCAAGTGCAGCAAAGACCAAGTCTATGTTATGACTACTTTTACCAACTGGCTCGAGTACTGAATCTACTGTAACACCTTCGCCAACATCATAGTTCAAATGTTTGTGTACCACAGAGGCACTTTTTTTGGGCGACGGTGGTTGCGGTGGCGGGTCATTCGGCGGTTTTGAGGCCTCGACAAAGACTGCCGGCGCGCTGTGAAAGACTTCCGTCGCGTTTTCCGGAGTTCCGCCATTTGCTCCTGCTTTCATAGATGGAGGGTAAACCTCGCCAAGCTCCACAACTACATCGCTTACGTCCGCAGGGGCCATTTTTCCAAAGACCCAATGATCAGTGGGTCCCAATGCGACCGCTTCTGCATACTACTTGTAATTCTTGTCGTACAGCTCGACGTGATGGGTGTTTGGTAGGATATTCATTATCATCTTGCGTTCAAGACAAGCGGACGGGCGGTTTACCTTCAGAATTCCTATCTGTTGTACACTAACGTAAAAAATGGTCGCGTTGTACACGACAAGCCAAAATCTGCAGGTGGCAGGCGTCTCCCTCCAGCATACTAGGTATCTTCTGGATTTGACGGTATGGCCTGCTTAACAATATACTACACCAGTAATAGTCCGCGCTTTGGAGGAAGGCATTCGGAATTCTGACTTTCTGTAAAGCAGGGGAAATCATGGATCTTCAACTTCATTTTAGATTTCCATGATGTAGCATAATGAGATTACTGTGAAAGCGCGGCTTTCATACGAATGAACTATCCTTATCTTTTAATGCGCAGTCAGTAATGAGCAAGCCGATTCCGTCAACTAGGCGTCGAAAGACCATCTTATAATATATCTCCTACCCAACAGTTACGTTTGAATAACTTGATGATGCTTTCGAAATACTCCGTGCATGCCATTTTCATTGCGTGTCTTGTCCAATGACCATTCTGAATGCGTCAATGACAGAGTGATTTAGCCAAGCGCGCACTCTTTCTCTTTCTTCATTAAGGAAGTTCAGTTGTTTCCTTCATGACTCTCTGCAACTTCGCAACTCGCAGTCTCAGTTGTACATACACGGTTTTTTCAGAAACTGTAGTACAGTAGGCCTAGGGGAGGACTCTTGAAGAAATGTAAGTAAGTAAACAGATGTTGCACCAAAATCTGGTCTCTCATCTTCAGATGACTTAAACAGTGGCTTTGCAGGCACGAGTCTCTTTCTTCACTTGTTAAGAAGTAACTTTCCATTGCGTAACGCTATAGTACAAGAAGCACCATGACATGACATGACATGACATGACAGAAAGTCTATTATTCGAAGGAGATGCCGAACACAAATTCTCAAGAGCACACTGCTGTCAATGTGCCACTAAAGTTTATTGAGGACAACGGCGCCGACATCGATTAATTTACGTGTTGAGCCTCTGAGAGGAGACCTCACAACTATTTTTTTGAGTTCTCTCTGGAGGCGCAAAGAACGTATTCACCTTGACCTCGCTGCGAGCGAGCTGAGGTCTTCGCATCTCCCGTGCTAGGCGATAGCTCGTTAGCGTTTTTTCCACATCAGGTCGCTGCAGCGTATCACAAATAGCATCACTTGTTCCACGCGTCATTTTAGTTGTGGTCGACGTGTAGGCACTTTCTAATGCATCCGCGAGTCCTCCTAGGCTCGCGTTCTTCATTTTTCTTCGAACGCCTTCACGGTCCACAGATATGGAATAAAGATCTGACGACCAGGAAGATGCACTCGAAGTCGAACCGCCCGACCCCTGTCGTCCTCCTTGTGATTCTCCAGGTCTGATAGAAGTACTAGCTGTCAGTCTTTCACGCCGTGCGATTGCGAGAAATGGGGGCACGTCGTGCGTCAGAGCCACGTGCATGCCTATGAAACACTTGGGCCCGACAATGACGCCCTGATGCAGCGAGCAGCTGATGGACAGCGTGGAGTCGTCAAGCACTTGCGAGAAGCCCGATAGGTAGCAGTTCATGTTTAGGTTCACACGATCCCCGAGAACGCAATCGTGTCCGACATTGCAGTGACTGTGCACCATGCTGCCCCGTCCGATCCTGGTTCCTTCCTCTCGCGTCGGCATGTTTACGCTGACGTACTCCCGGAAGACACAATTTTCGCCAATGAAAATCTTGCCGTTTTTTGCGGAAGACGAACCAAAAAAATCTTGTGGCGGATTGCCAATTGATACATTGTCGTAGAAGACGCAGCCGCGCCCGGCGCGCACGCGCCCCTGCAAACGCGTGTAGTTGCCCACAAAACACTGGTCGCCGAGCTCGACCTGTGGCCCGATCACGGCGAAGTCCTCCACGACACAGCCCCGTCCCACTTTACCTCGAAGAATTGCAGTGGGTGCGATGCGGGTCTCGGTGCAGGAAGCTGGAACGCAGTTTTCATCCAAGGGTGGCTCGGTCGCTGCTAACCCTGAGCTCTCCTCCGACCGACTTCCAAACGCTTTTTTCGTCGAAGGGGATGATGATATTCTCGGATCTGGAGACGTCTTCAGCACCACGCCAGATTTTGCTGCCGCAGCATCCACCTGCTGCTTCTCGTCGATGTCACCCGAATACCGTCTAACGCCCCTTATTGTCCCAATATCGATCCCTTCGTCATTATTGCGATTCTCCTGCGAATAAAGGGGCGATGACGATCGTGCTCGTACGTGCGCGGAAGAGGGCAATGCGGGGTCTGAGGCTTGCTGATAGAGTGATACTCCTGCCCCCTGACGAGTTGTTGGAGATGAAGATTGTTTGTTATGTCCAGTAGCCCGCTGCTCGATTTCTGCGAGGCTTCGCTGTGTGAGCACGTGCAGCGGCCATTCTACGTGGGTAAAGGTCTCTGCAAGCACCGCACGTAGCTGAATGATGGAGATGCTGTCCAAAATATTCGGCAGATGCAAATCTGCAAGTTCTCCTTGGTTACTTGCGGCCACGACCTCCTTCAGACCAAAACGGGTCATCACACTCGAGAACTGTGACGATGACTCTGGGCTTCCTTCTGATATGGGCGCGGGAGAAACCACTGCGGGAGGGCTTGTTTGTGTCCCTATGATTGCAGTTCTTGGTACGATGTGCTGCCCTTCGTTATTACCGTTGACTTCTCCCCGTCGGAGAGGGACGAGACCGAGAGTGAAGTTACCATCTTCTTCTGCCTCCACGCTTCTCCAAAAGAATTCTCGAGTACCACTGTGCTCTACTGTAGTAGCCTCAAGTCCAATTCGCTTTGCCAGGCCGATTCTTTGTGGCTTTCCAGTATGCGCCCTTGGAATCTTCAACATGAGGACCAGCACTTCTGGAAAGTATTGCACTCCCATGCCATGCTGTCGCATGAACTCCCGCAAGGTTTCCGTGGTGAGTTGCCTTTTTGGATCATCCTCCGAAACCACTACAAATCCGACAGCCTCGCCAAAGACGGCGTGTGGTGCTGAAAAAGCTAGCACTTCTCGAACTTGCGGATGCTGAATCGCAACGCTTTCGGCAAGAAACGGCGATAGCTTTTCACCACCCCAGTTGATGACTTCTTTGTAACGACCAAGCAAGACGATGTGCCCGTTTTGGTCGCGGTAGCCCTTGTCCCCTGTACGCAGGAAGCCGTCGGACGTGTAATCATTGACGCAATCGCGCCAGTCCTCAAGGTTTCGCTCGTAGCCAAGAGTGACCATGGGACCTTTGACGCAAACTTCCCCCTCGATCCGTTCCCCAGACGCTGTTGCAGATTCTTGTTCCGTACTCTCGTCTTCAATTAGGGTAAAGTCTTGTCCCCTTGCGCGGCGTCTCGTGACGAAGTCGACTATCTTTTCGACACTCCAAGTGGCTTTTTCGACATCAGTCACTTCTGGCGTGTTATCGCGAATCACGAGACGCGGGCCACGCTCCGGACCAACGGAGTCTAGACGGCGCCTTGCCTTAGGTTCACTAGGATTCGAGCAGATCGGCATGCTCTCCGTCATGGCGTAAGTACCGAGTACATCGCAATCGAAAACTTCTGCTAGCTCAGCGGCTACCGGTGGTAGCAATGCAGCCGAGCAATTTCGCAGGAATCGCAGTGATGACGGGAGAAGGTTGTATTTATTTGTTGTATTCCGGTCTGATTGATGCGTTTTTGAAACATACCTCGCCTTGAATCTCGTTCGCGTCAGACGTGAGTGCTGCAGCAGTTGCTCGTGGATAGCGGGCACGGCAGAATAATAAGTAGGATGTGCCGGACCCACCACAGCGGCGAAAAACGCGTCAGGCGTGAATACGGGTAGAGGGAGGATCGAAGCTTCTGCTAAAACCGGGACAAGCATGTTGACCGCGAGTCCATGGATGTGGAAGAGGGGCATGGCATTGAGCGCGGTGTCATGATCGACGACATTAAGCGTGTCACGGATGGCGCGCGCACCCGCAAGTAAGTTGGCGTGCGTCAGAGGGACCGTCTTCGGTCGCTTCGTCGTGCCACTCGTGTGCAAGCGCAACGCAACATCGCTCACCCGAGATTTGCGAATGCTCTTATTATTTGCTGTTTCCACTCCTGGAGGTGTTTTTCCCAATGCTTGTTCTCGCTGCCCGCCATCATTGCTCGCCAATTCCAGCGAGAACCAACCAACATCTTCGTGATCTTTATCTGACATTTTTGCGCCGGCAGACAGATCAGTTGTACTCGAGCAGTAACGAGAAGGACTCAGTTCCAGAAGCGGGATGTGATTTTCATTAGCGTAGGCTTTGAAAACTGCCGCTAACTGTGCGGTTGCGCCATTCCGTACACGTCGATCCAGAATCAGGGCATGAAAATTGCTTAGATCCTCGAGCTCGTCTTGCAGATTCGCGGGTCCCAGCTTGGGACTGAAAGGACAAAGAGCGTAAGGAAACTGCAATAGACTGAGGAATAGCGTGACACAAGTGGGGCCGTTGTCCAAGCACAAAATCCCGATGTTGTGTCTCGAAAGCGGAGGAGAGCCGGGATGAGTGTAGGCCCGATGCACCCCCTGCTCTCTGGCAATCGTACTTGAAACAACAGCTTGTTCGATGTGCGCACCAGATGAGTCATTTTCTTGCGGCAGAGGCAGAGCATAGGCTTCTACACATGGTCGTACCACTGAGTCTGAGAGGCGGTGAAAGTCCGCATAGGTTAGACACAGGCCTGCTTCACTGGTAGGCGACTTGATGAGTGGCTTGTCAGATGCATGACTGATGCAGCTGTAAAGAGAACCATTCTCATCTCCGTTGTTCCTAGAGGCGCCCGGTCCCCCAAAGACGACACTCGTTCCGCCATCCATGACTCCAAAAGAGACGGCAAGAGCGCTCTAGAAGGACTACCGCAGCGACGAAGACAAAGAAATTTGCATCATTAATTTGATTTTTTGCGAAGTCTAATATAATGCCTCTCAAATTGTTGGTCAATGGTCATTACTGGCTCAAGATCCAATGAATGAACCTGATTTCAATGCCAAATGACTGCCCTCACTCGTCACCTTGATCATGATCAATACCGTTCCTTGTCTTGAACTCAGGTTAGTTCCTCGTATGATCATCGTTTGAACTCAATGAGTTCCAACATGAATTAGCAGCAAGATCTCCCAGATCTTTAACTGCACTATGACCCTTCATGATATCCCAATGACATTGAACCCATTTTGATACCATCTCAGGGCCTTAAACAGTCAGTGATCATTCGGCACGTCCGTTCTGATCGTCTTTCTGTTACATTGCAACGATAATCATTCCATTTACTCTCAAGAGCCTCGTAGTGTGCTTGGACGTGTTCGGGTGTTCCAACACTGTTTCAAGCCCTTGAGCCTTACCTTATTAAAGAAATAGCTAGTCAATTCTTTGTAGAAGTAGAGAAAACAAAGTCGCACTACTTGCGCCACAAAATGCCTGATATGAGTCTCGGAGAGATTTCACCCAAACTGGGGCAGAAATCTGACTGGCGTGACTGGCTTCGAGCGGTAACGCAAGAAGCAGATCGCCTGGACCTAGTCCAATACCTCAACAACGTGCTGAACGGCAATGCGGCAGGGGTTCCGAACCAACCCAACAACAACGACCGCAAGCTCCAGCAGAATTGGCGAGATTTGAAGAGCGTGATCATCAAGTCGCTCAAAGGTGCAGCCGAAGCACATATGAAGGATCAGGATACCACTGTAATGAACGCTGGTGAAGTGGTAACAAACCTCCGTGACGCTGGTTTCAGTCAAAATGACCGCACAGAGCAGCGAATCTCTGCTAAAGCGTTGGAAGGGATGCATTTCACGAACAGTGATTCTCCTCCAGACGTTCCAACATTCTTGGCGAAGGTTAGAGATGTCATGAACCAATCTCCGACCGTATACCCGCCGGAAGTTGGTGTGGCTGTTGCTGATCAACAAAACGGAGCAATCCTCGACATTCTGCCAAAAATGTTTTCCAAAGCATTTCGACAGACAATCGAGAGGATGCAAGAAGATGAACATCTAACGTTCGTCCAAATCGGTGACAGACTCACGAAACGGCTTCAAAGTTTGATTGACTCTGGTGAGTACAAGATCGAGAATCCATCTTTCGGCAAAGCTTTTCCAGCTGTCGAAGATTCCGATGATGAAAACCAGAACAATAACAAAACCAAGAAGCGTAAACGTCAAGATGAGAGTGATGACGATGGTAACGCGTTTGCCGCTCTCAAGAAAACAACGATCAAACGACTTCGCAAGAAGATTCGCAAAGAAATCAAGAACGAGGTCTACGCAACAAAAGGAAGTGGAAAGAGTAGTAGTAGTAGTTCTAGTAGTAAGAAGAACAAAGGAAATGGCAAAGGTAAAGGTGCTAAGAACTCAAATCCTAATGAGGGCATCCAGTGCAACTATTGTCACAAATATGGACATAAGGCGCACAAATGCTGGCTAAACCCGATGAGTCAAAGCTACCAACCTAACAAAGCCATGGGCAGCAACTTCTTCAACAATTCATACAACTGTTGGCCGCAAGGTAACACTATCCCTCCGTGGCACCAGAACAACTATCCACCGCAACAAAGTGGAGGAAAAGGATTCGACAACGGTAACCCACAGCAGCAATGGGGTGGACAACAACCACAACGCTGAGTCGAAACCAATCCGGAATGGAATGGATATGGGAGACGAGATGGACAGTCCCAAGATGAAGAAGAATTGGAAGAAGATTTCCAAAATGAGGATGGAAAATGTTCGCTGAACTTGGAAGAAAACTTTGAGAATAAAGAATATAGAAGTGAACTGCTTAGGGATGAAAGCTATATGATTGACAATCACTCAGGTTGCTATCTTAGTGCAAATCAAAGCAAAACAGTTTCACTTGTTGACAGTTGTGCAAATAAGTATTTGTCTAGCCATCGTTCCGATTTCAAGAAAATTAGCCACCGGCTTTGTCATATTAGTGGCACTGCTGGAAAGCGAAGTGGGAACCTAGGTAGACTAAAAGAAAACAAACTAGGATTAAAATATGGCGTACACTTTGAACACTTACCAAAAGCCATAGATCGCATTATACCGTGGTTAGGTGAAGGAAACTGTCATGAAAAGGGTTGGCAAATGAATTTCACAGAAAGTGGCGGAACGTTGTACAATACTCGCTCCGGCCGCTCTCTACCCATAACAAATTGCCCCCAGATGCAGTTACCTATTCTAGGCTGTGACATGTTTAGCAAAGAAGAAAATGAAACTGAGGAGGATATAGTATGCACTAGTATAGAAGAAGCTAGACTTCATTCACAAGCTTCAAGATTAGACATACATCGTAGACTTGGTCACTTTCACGTTGATGGCCTTAGTGTATCTTGTCCAGAATGTGATCGAACCAAAGGTCAAAGACGCTCTCATGCAAAAGTGAGACCCCCTGGACATATACCTTCTCCATTGAAAACACTTGCAATTGATTTCGCAGTTGGTATTAGACCAGTATCTATAAGAAGCAAAAGATGTGCTTTAGTCATTATTTGTGATTCGATTAAAATGTGTTTCGTTCGTCCTCTTTGCCTCAAGTCGGACTGCGTAGAGGTGATTGAAGAAGTAATAAAAGGCATTCGCCAGGACTACTCATTGTCACTCGACGACAAGGTGGTGTGGTTCATCCGTAGAGATAACGAACCCGTCCTAAGTAGTGACCATATGACCAAAGTCATGCAATCGCTACTGGTTTCGGAAATTCCTGGAGTTCCTTACAACCCAGAAATGAACGGAACTTGCGAACGTTTCATGCGGACCATTTTCGGTGCTGTACGTACCATGTTGGTCAAAGTCGACCGACGTCTTTGGTGTTACTGCTTACAGTATGCCGGAGATTGTTGGAATCGCTTACCGCATCGTTATGCAAAAATGCCAGAACGTGATGGAATGAGTCCTGTCGAGATACTAGAAAAGAGGATAGGAAAGAAGTCCTCGAAAAGTGGTCTAGGTATGTTAAGAAGATTTGGTTGCTTGGTGTACTTTCGTGAACAGGTCGTAGACACCACCAACAAGAAAGAAGCAAAGCTTGCGTCACCTTATCGGCGTGGTGTGTTTCTCGGTCTGTGTCCAGTTTCGTCTGGTTGGCTAGTAGGTACATATCACAACGATGGGAGAACGAAAGCTGGCTTCAAGTGGAGTGAGTATTCCACACTAGACGTAAAATTTCGAGAGTCGATATTAGTCAAGAACATTGATTGGCTATTGCCTACGTCGAAGGGCATTTATGTTGATTATGACCCGCTGGAAAACCTGCAGTCTGGCACGCCGTCGCTGGGTCCCGTCCTGCACAGACATGCGCTGCAACGTATGGCCTGTCAGCCGCGCTTCTCTGGCACGGAGTACAGCTCAGGCGATCCAACCGGCATGGAAATGATACTAGATAACAATGACATTGGTGAGTTTTTCTGTGAATCTTTGGACAAAGAGGAAGATCCAAAGACCGGTGATGATTCCAACTCTGACGCGCAACGCGTTGAGGAGGGGAATATCTCATCGGAGCGTGTGTCGCCTGACTCTAATCCTGAAGCAAGGGATCCGAGGACCTTACCCATTCCACCATCTCAACCAGGCAAAGTTGAGGAGGGGAAGAAAGGCCGAGGAAGACCTAAAGGGAGCAAGGATAAGAATCCAGGACAACGCAAAAGAAGAACAAAAGCCGAGCTAGAAGCATTAAGAAAAGACATGCATAAATTTGCCATGCTAGCAGGCGGGCATGAGCTGGAAGAAGGGGAGACCTTTCTCGAAGCACATGTCATGCTGTCAGTTTCCCAAGCCTTGAAAAGCCCTGACGCCGAGAAATGGCGTGCAGCTATCACCAAGGAGGAAGCTAGACTACTTGCCTTTGAGACTTGGGCGCCAGCTACTGACGAGGAGCTGCGAACCTCTTCTCAGGTAATGCCTATAGCAATCGTTCTCACGGTAAAACGTGATGGAACTTTCAAAGCTCGTGCTTGTGTGCTCGGGAATCTTGATCGTTCGGGGAATATCGACACCTACGCCCCTGTAGTGTCACATGCTGCGAATAGACTTTTACTCGTTTCAGCAGCGACGGACTCTGACTTCGTCATCCCATTCGACCTTGATTCTGCGTTCCTTAATGCTGAACTCGATCGTGACGTCTTCTGCCGTCTTCCACCAGTGTGGGCGGAGAAGCATGGAGCGGATATCGTCAAGCTTAAGAAAGCTCTCTATGGGCTCAAGGACGCTCCACGAGCCTGGTTCAAGAAGTATTGCGTGCTATTGTCCGAACTCGGATGGGAGCCGTGTCCTTCTGCTCCAGGATTGTGGCGGAAAAAGAGCAAAACGCACCCAGGAAAGTATATGAAGATGTCAGTCTATGTTGATGATAACTTAGCTACTGGACCTGACTATCACGAGTTACGGTCTGAGCTCGACCGGATCTTTAGTCGCGCCCCTGGCCGACCTATTGAGATGGCAAAGCGAGTCGATTCTCTTACGGGTTTCGAATGGCTAGAGTTCGACTTTCTTGGTGCGATTGTGCACTATTGTCGGGAAGCACGTTCAGTGAAAATCCTGATGAATGTGTACATAGAGAAGACTATACAGAAGTATAAAATAACATTAGGTAAGCCGGTGTGGTCTCCAAATTTCGACGAGTCTGCTTTGCTTGAGGAGGGGCTTAAGCTAGCAGCCGGGTTTCCATTGCGTGAGATTGTTGGCGCACTGCTTTGGATATCGACAACCGCAAGGCCAGATATTTGCGTCCCTGTGGCGACATTGGCTCGGTATGTCAGTAAGCCCGTTACAGAAAGAATTGCAAAAGCCTGTAGAAAAGTATTAAAGTATCTAGCTACGACAAAAGACCAAGGACTCTATTATTCTCCAGAAAGTGAGGAAGAATTCAACGGAATTTACAAGAAGCTCCTACCAGAAGGAAGAGAGCTACCGTATACTAACTGGTTCTCAGATGCAGGATTCGCAAACTGCATAAAGAGCATGCGCTCGGCCAGTGGTTCGATTATGTACTATCGGGGTTTTCCAATCTGTTGGAAACGCAATACACAAACCGTGCGTGCATATTCAACTGCAGAGCCAGAGTATATAGCCGCGTCGGACACTATTGTCATGAGCGAGCTGCATGATTTTACAGATTTCCTCAATCCCTTACCCACTCAACTAGTGGAAACGCGGTTTGGTATATCGCCATCCCTCGATGATGCCATATTGTGGATAGACAACCAGTCTGCAATCTCGACAGCAAAGAGTGAAGACACGAAGCCTAAAAGTAGACACTATGCGCTACGTTATTTAAGGGTTAGGGATGCCGCTGAGAAAGTAGTTTTCTGCCCTACTCACCTTATGAAAGCTGATGGACTAACGAAACTTTCATGCTCATCTACTCAACGCAGATTATTATTACATCACATAGAGAATCCAGTAATTTATTAGCCGTAACCATATTGAAGATGATAGTGACTCGGAAACGGAAGATGATGAGTCTGGTTCAAGTTCTGCTTCTTTGGCGGTGCTTACCTATTCTATCTTCTTAGGGTGTTAGGTCGTTGGTCAGAGGTGACGTCAGTGGCTATACAACGAATCGTGATGGTTCTGGGTCAGGGCAGGTAACGCCAGACCGTTTGTGACTTTCATCATTTCCTCACCTAGCGATTGAGGAGGGGTGTTGGTCAATGGTCATTACTGGCTCAAGATCCAATGAATGAACCTGATTTCAATGCCAAATGACTGCTCTCACTCGTCACCTTGATCATGATCAATACCGTTCCTTGTCTTGACCTCAGGTTAGTTCCTCGCATGATCATCGTTTGAACTCAATGAATTCCAACATGAATTAGCAGCAAGATCTCCCAGATCTTTAGCTGCACTATGACCCTTCATGATATCCCAATGACATTGAACCCATTTTGATACCATCTCAGGGCCTTAAACAGTCAGTGACCATTCGGCACGTCCGTTCTGATCGTCTTTCTGTTACATTGCAACGATAATCATTCCATTTACTCTCAAGAGCCTCGTAGTGTGCTTGGACGTGTTCGGGTGTTCCAACACAAATAGTTAATGTACATTTGCTTGATGAGGCATCTCAAGCGTCGATTCTCATGGCTGTTAATTTGACTATGCAGATTCAACTAAATCATGGAGCAAGTGTATCACTACATAGGAGCACCTTGGCGAAAGGAGGATGAAAAGATCTGATCCTCTCTTGCTCGCGGTGGAGGTCCTTGATCTTACTCAAAGCACACTCTCTATTACTCTCTGCTTTTCTAGATACGACAAATGGAAGCCATGAGTTGCACCCATCTCTTCTAATGCAGACTGCCCACCTCTCTTTTTACTTTTTATGACAAGACTTCAAGTGATAAATACGACTATTTTGGCAACCAATTAATAAGCATCATTCATCTTACCTCCCGCACTGCTGCGTTACTTACATCGAAACAGGTGTTGTTCATCCTTCAGGAATAACTCAACAGATCGATCCATGTCACATCTTCAGGCTCTATTGTACAACAAGAAGAACAAGCGAAAATCCATGCTTTTAATTACTCTGCTAGTGAGTTAATGCTCATCGCCATTTCATTACGCTGGTCGTCGTCCTCTGCTTCACGCATTAGTAGCGGATCAATGTCTAAGTCTGGGCTCAAAATACTTGGCGAATGCCTCCTTTCGCGGCCGAAGAAGCAGGTTTGCCCGCTTTCCGTATCTACTGGTCGCTCTCTTCTGTCGTAGTAGTGCCAGTCAGGGTCGTAACGATCCAAATAGAGGAAGTTCCCCCCAATGCTCACGCCAGCCACCGTGCAGCGGACGGCGTCCCCCACACGCACGTCGCGAAAACGACCCAGGGCCGAGGGAGTGCAACAAATGCCAGTGCGACCGAGATTTAGCTTGAAATACATTCCACGACTGGTAACGGCACAGCACAGCCCCCATAAATGTGTTCCAATTTTAGCGGCATCGGCTGCCTTGGCAAACTCCAGGTTCATACCTCCGTAATGGATATGGTGTTCGGACCGTCTGATCACAGCATCAACAAATTCTGCTCGTGACAATGCTGTCCGTTCACGCTTTTGGTTCACTTTCTCGTCGACGTCCCCTCGAAAGAGGTGTCCGCAATTGATATTCAGACTTTTCATCTGTTCGTCGTGATCAAAAACAGTATGGTCCTCATTTTTGGCATTGAAGTCTTTACGCGTCGCCTCTTCGTCTAGAGCGAAGCTCTTATCGTCAGGGCTCCGGCTCGCAGCGCACTCTAATTGCCGGTAAAATAGGTCGCGGAGGCGATGACACCCGTGCATTGCATAGCGTATCAGCTCCGTTGTCAAGGGACGTCGTCTCCACAGGTGGTCGTCGTTGCTCATTTTTTCTTTCACTTCGCGCAGGTAATTCGGTTCCGAATCGGTACTCGTGCGAGATTCAATTTTATCTCGCTCTCCCTCTCTGGAGTAAAGTTCCAACGCATCCTGGAATCCTGCATGCAAATCATCTGGTTTCAGAAGGCTGTGAGCTACTTGGGTATCAAAAACAGAGTGCATTTTTTCGAAACCAAATTGATTCCGAAGCGCAGCCGCATCCTCCCGAGAGTCGTGCAACACTTTAATCACGCTCTTATCCGCAAACAGGCCAACGAAGGCTCTCATCACCTCTTGCCCCCCGAGCGCGTCGACCAAATAAGAACAAGGCTGCTGTAGCGCAGTCTCGGAGGAGGTCTTGGGTGCTGACAGCTTTGAAGGATTGGTGATGGATGCGGGCGAAATGACAAAGAGTTGTAAGGTGCACAATTGTCCAAACCGGCCCAGAGCGACACCTTCGCAGTCGACGCCAACAACCTTTGCGCACTTCTGCAGTTGCTGCGCAGTGGCCCATGCTTGCGCTGGGTTTGTTATCATGCGGACCGGAATGCGCGGCATTTTTGTGCAGCTGTCTACTAATCTATCTTTATACATTACCCAAGATGAACCTGAACCAACAACAACGCTATTAATAGCATTTTTGTGACTGTATAATTAACTTAGATTTAGATTTAGCCCCAGCCCTGCGCGTGAAGCACCGGATCAGCAGGAATTATGATAGAGTCTCGCCGCAGACACTACTAACGTCGCTAAGTCACTTGTGCTTGCATCCTCTGGCATGAGAGCAGGCATGTGAAAAGCTTGTACGACGTGATCTGCTTTCCGCTTGTTTCGAGCATACAAGATCCCTGTTCTTTTTTTTCTAAACTTGATCCACAACCATTTTTCCAAAGAACACGCGCTACCAGCACCACCAATCATGATGAAAAGTACTCCTTACAGTTACAACTCTTTATGGCGGAAGGTTGTTATTTTTATCACAGCATCGACGCGTTGAATTCGACGATGATTTTTACGGTACACTGCGAGTTTGCATATAGAGAAGGCACTAGAAAAACCTGTCATAGCAATTCATTCGCTGGCAGGAAACCAGAACGATGGGTTTGATGTTCAACATCTTCATCCAGTCCTGTGTGTTGTCGACAACCACATCGCATGCCAAAATCATTTTCATTGGGTTTTTCACAAGCATCAAACAGAGAGGCTCTGAATGAATCAATCCTCTCCAACATAAAGAATAAATTATTTCTACCGCCTCACACACCACAACTATGTATACATAGTGCTGGAAATATCTGCTTTTGTGTTTGTGGGGAATAAATAGCTGAGCATTGTTCACGTTTTACCACGCAGTTGACAGTAAGGATACCATGCATAGTTAGTGCGTTATTGCGCATTACAATAAATGTAGATGAACAAATGATTTTTTGTTGAAGATGCTAGTAATATTCACCGCTGTCATTCGTTGTTATCTAATTCAATTATTGGGTCCTGTTTATCTTCATGATACGAAAATCACAATCTGACACACAATCTCGGAGGCGCCTAATGAGGATCATTCAAAATGGACAGCATACGGATTATTCGATAATGTCGGGTTTAGGAGGGCAAGAGGGGCGGGTCAAAAAGAAGTCATTCAAAAACAAAGACTGTTCTTCATTTCACGGCCGCTTAGGTTAAATCCCTCTAGATTCATAAGCAAAAACAACGATAATAACCACGCGCGAGGTCAATCAACTTGGGGGATGAATAATGAAAAGAGACGAGCAAATACGGCTGCTGAAACATAATCGCAAAAACAATCTTCAGATTTTTGTGCTTTCAGATACTGACGTTATGGAATGAATGAATATGCACGGACAAGCATCAAGATTGTAAGTATGCGGTGTACTCTTGTAGAAGACCAAGGCCGTCAACAAAGAGTCAAATGTGAGCTGATTATGGAGCAGTAGTACTTTCAACTTTCGCTGTCCGTCGTGTTTGAATAAAGACGAAGTACACGTTGTTTGATATTTTTATTTTAGCTATGAGAGACAAGACAAAAACCATGCTTCTGTATAAGTCGAAAACAAGCATATCGTTTACGAGTATCATTCTGCGTGACCACTGTGTTTTGCATGATTATCATACAGTGTCTTGAATTTTCGTGTGAGTTTTAGATAGCGTTATAGCTGCGATACCGAAACCAATCTCGGTGCAGCCGTCGGCTTATCTTATATCTTACTAGCCCATTTCGCCGGTAGTCGAGGAATAAGTCGTGTTTTTGTTTGTTTCGTTTTTTAGAGTCATTACCGATCGTTATTTAGATCAGCGCGAGGTAGTTTTCCGAATTATACAACAGGATCAATCTGGGCTGCAGGATAGATGGACAAGAATATAAAGCACTTCGCTGTTCGGCATTCTCAGGATGGTGGCGGCGGTGGCGGCATAGGTGGTGGTGGGGGTGCAAGCGCTGGCATTCCAGGTGCCTGCAGTGGCACAGTAGCTGGCGCTGGCGGGCCGCCTCCCAGCGCAGCGCCGGGTATCACGTGCCCAGGAACAGCATGTTGGGAAAGCACCTGGTGGACTTGCGCGGCAACTGGCGCTAAAATTCTCGCTAGTTCTTGGTTTACGACTGATAATACGGCGTTTGGAACCCCACGCTGGTCTTGGTGCAAATACCCAAAAGCCGGCTGTGCTAGTAACTGGAAAAGACGAGGAGATGGAGACTGATTTCCTCCCTTCTGAAAGGTATGATTGTAAATACCCAAGTACTTCTTACCACTTGGGATTCTGGACATAAATCAATGTGCACATGTATAATGTCACTCAGTACCTCAAGTTGTTTAGATCCGAACAGCTGGTGAAATTTCTGCTTCAGCCGTTGCGCCAGATCTTCCGCGGAATGGCAGAAATTAGAGCTGGAAATTGCTAATCAATGGGCAACAAGGATGAGTATTCTTGTGGAGGCTGTACATTTGCGAGTAAGTACCTGCGGTATTGTTGTTGCAACAATGATATTGCTTAGGCGTATATCTCAATGCCTTAACGAGAATCCGGATTTGATTCGGCTCTGAGCGATCACGATGTTGTGGAAAGGAGAATTAGAGGAATAAATATGCTACTTTTAGAATAGAACTGGTCCATCTGCGATTCTTGTGTGATCCAGCAGTGAAAAATGTATGTAATGAACGTTGTGAAGCAAACCTAGATCGTCTTGTGCACGAAGAGGATGTTGACCTTGAGTGGAAGAACAGACAGTTGACCTTGAGTGGATGGCCCGGAACAACCATAGCGCGCAACGCAAAGAGAGAGCAAAGTATAAAGACGAAAGCACGATTGTTCTCTCGTAGAGACTCTCGTTCCAGACCTACCTCGTCGCTAAACTCTCGTCGAGCTTTCACGACACACAATCACAATGACCGAGTAGTATGTGACAGAGAGATCCACGTCAATTCCGAAAAACAACAGCAACGTCTCAACAGAGGGTTATCCACTTGACAGACAAGTATACAGGCCGAGCTCCCTCAACGAAATCATCTCGACAAACGAATCCTTCTACTGACCAACACAGAAACAGCAAGGGCCTCAAAACTCTCAGACCCGAAGCAATAGAGAGAGTAAGCAAACAGCAACATCCTGTTGATTTTAGTTCAAGGTGAAGAAAATAATTGTAACAATACAGGTTACTCTCCTGTATTGTGGGAAACGAGGACGCTTAACTACTAGCTACCGTGGCCAGGTTGACCAAGCTAAGCTAGTTACCTAACTAACGTCTGCTCCTTGCCAAAAGTGTGCAAGACGTGGAATAGTTAAACTTAAGATAAGTGAAGCACCTGAGAACGACTTAATTACGAGTACCTGTGAGAAATAGAAATACAACTATGGCCCGATCAACGAAACGAAAGACCTATATAACTTGGTTCATCTTTGACGAGGAAGTACTACAATTACTTCCTTGACATCAAGGAAACCTCCTGCCGTCCGTAACTCAAAAGACCTGCTCGCTGCCTAAATCGCGGCCCCGGAACATGGACGCTGTTTGATTTGTCATTTGCGATCTGCCGGAGGCGCTCGATCATTGGTTTTAGCGCGTCTGATATCCCCTGGTCAACAACACGCCTCCACATTTCCGGAGACAAATCGATCACGGCACCTTGATAGTGTAATGTGATACGAGCAGATTCAGGGAGTTTAACCCAGAGCGGCTGATCCACCACCACCTACGATGTCAAATAAGTATACAGTGCCTACAATAGATCTACAACATGTCGATAAGACTGAAGCGAACAGTGTTGGAAGAGAAAGAGGTGTCAACTTAATGCCAAAATAAGACGAGTCATTAATCAATAAGCATAGGCCTCATTTATGTATGTCAGAATACCATCGTTAACCAATAGGTTCCTCCCAGACTTGAAATAGAGCTCGGCGGCGCAGTTTGCGTGTGGTCTTTGCGCTAACCGGTCAGACAGGCCCGCATTTGGCTTGGGGTCGGTTTCGCGTCTGCTGACGAAATCAACACTTAAAACTTCGAGCTGTTAGATGCAGCAGGTATTAAGCAAAAAAACATCCACGGTTAGAATTTAAGATGAAGTTAACTTTTCAATGAGTGAATTATGATATGTGAAGTTCATGTACTACAACTTACGAAGACCAAGACTCCGAGTACCAAAGAAATACAAATAGGGGCGTACTTGTGTAGTTCGTGGACAAAAACAAAAAGTTAGTTCATCATAAAGGATCGTCGTATCCCAAAGAGAAAGCCGCAATTCGGGCATCGCAAGTAAAAACGAAAGATCCACTGATGAGAGATGAGTTGCACAAGATGAGTAAGTATTTGACTTATTTTTCTTTTTGCTATAAAAACAGGGACAACGACAACATTGTTCGTGAGAAAAATGAATCTCGATCTAGCTTCCTTAGTGCTATAAAACGTGATAGATTTTTAACGATGAATGCGGAATGTCGCAGCACCAGATACAGAAGAAGGTCGAAACTCATGGAAGTACCAGTGCCTCCATCGTCTTCGAGTCCAGCGGAGAGCAGATCTTGTATCTGTCGCTGTAAGGGTTGGGTTTTGTCGAGAGGTCCAAGAAGACCACGACTCGGCATTCGAGCTGGTGGCTTTGGTGGAGTTTTTGCTAAAAAGGGCAAAAACTGTCGAGAATTAGAGAAGCCGGCGGTGTTGACGCTACTGCTTCACGACTTATGAAATAACGCTGTAGAAGTCTCTGTTTCTATTTCTGTGCTAAAAAAAGTTCTGCTTTTTTGACGCTTATGCCAACACGTACTTAATTTAGCACAGAGTTTGCTACTGACGCCTTAGCAACACCACGTGCCCCTGCTGATGCTTGTTCCTGCTGGGCACGAATATCGTGCCCTCTCTCCGGTGCCAGGGGGTCGGTCGGCTCCTCGTCTTTCACTTCGAAAATTTGAGCTGTAATATATTTCGAAGATGATCTCTTTTGCTATATTTTTTCTATCTTGTGACAACAACTCCAAGAACCCCCAGCGGCGATTGAACTAATAAACGGCACAAGTAGATACATCGTGTAGTTATCTTAACAGAAAAGCGACGATCTGATCGGGCGTGCGGGGTCTTGGAAATGCGTCCTCCGCAAGTAATTTGGTAAGCCAGTTCGCGTCATTTACTTCTACCTGGAAGTACAGGTTGTTTTTCTGTGTTTGTAGCAGGAGCTTTTATAACTTCCTCTAGTCCGTGCCTTCTTGCAGTTCGGATTACACATTTTTCTGCTTACATCATAATCTGTGATTGGTACCTCATCATGCCACATGACTTGTTTTTCCTCAGATGCGGTCTCGAGAAAGTTATAACGTATCCTCGCTCGCCTTCTTGCTGGCGTCTCTACTGGCCTACGTTGTGCTTTGATCCAGGCGCAGCCAGCAACGATAATCAGGATAACGAAAACGGGAGTTATTAGAGCAGGTTCTTTCTCGCAGGCTTTCACCTCTTTGAACCCCCACTGTAGGTCTAGGAGATGTAGGGCAGATGAATTTCCATTTCCACTCAGAGGCCATAAAAAAAGCACGAGACAGCAGAGGGTTCGTTGACGGTTTCCCGTCCCCGAGTGTTTCTTACTCCCTCGCCCACCTTTGTTTCGCCCAACACCACGCTGTATTTCGCTCCGCCGGACGTCGCTCGCGCGATGACCGTAAAAAGCATCCTCACGATCGTCATCGGGTAAAAATCTATGATCCCGGTCCTTTTCATACAACAGCGCCGAGGTGGACTCCTCATCGTCCGAGGACAGAAACAATCTGTCTAACGATGTTCGTGAGACTTTGCTCCCTCCAAGCTCCGTATCCCACAAACCAGTTCTTGTGTCCTCGCCGCGTCGTCGTGACCGCCCCCTTCCACTTCGCATGGAATGAAAGAAATCAGATGTTGGATCGTAATTTAAAAATCTGTTTCTTCTTGGTGCAACTGTTGAAGTTCTGCTTGTCCAATCAAAAATTTATTGCGAAGAATACCTGCTTGCAACGGCCAGCTCATTCACTGAAATAGAATTTCTAAAATAAACTGTTGCTGCTGGTCTGTCCTGTCATAAAAGGGCCTGTGCGACGTCTGAGGGAGCCCGCTACGCGAGGACACGCTACTGACGCTTCTAGGACTTCTGTCACTTTCATCGAGGTCCGAGTCGAAGTCGCTACTGCTATCGGCCAACACATGGCTCCGGTAGCACCACGGAAGCAACAGCCGGCAACACAAGCACGAACTTCGGCCAGCACTGCTACAGAAAATGAAGGAAAAACTTTTGTCATGAGGTACAGGGGTCAGGAGGGTGGCAGATTGATCTACCTCTCTGTGGAATAGGTGTACCGGACACTACACGAGTCTAACCAACGAAATGCGAAAGTGGCTTAAGCAAAGCCTGTTCTTGCTCTTGCACTTCTACTTGACAAACCATAGGGTCGTCTTATGCACTACTTATATATATATAATTATAGGTAAACACTGGTTATATATGACTCGCCATATTAGTCGGTTTGCTACCTGCAGCAGCTTCGCCGGCCCTTTGCGACGATATCAACTGTGGAACAGGTGGGCACAGTCTTTTCGATGGAAAACTCTCACATTTGTCCAACAAGCATCCAATATTTCTGACATGCTTTCGGGCTTTAGATGGACGCTGCTCATCGTAGCAACGACTGGGCTTATTTGCCCCTGGAGCAACCCAGTGCGGCTTACGCGCGGATCTGTGTCTGTGATTTTCTTGCGATTAGAAATAGAATCTTCAGGTTAAGGTTTTTTGTAAGTAGCCAAATACGTAGACTCATCATGGTAAAAAAGGCGGTATCGGTAGTCAATCATGATGGTAATGAATCAATACTAATGATAATATGAATATTCGTAATACTTAATCTCAGGACTAGATACAGAGCAACTAAAAGTGAAAGAAATTAAATGGTATGTATCCCTGTGGCGAAAATCGTCCTTAAACAAAATTTCGGCACGGAAGTCGTTCCGTTTCGCAAGGCGCGCTCGCGGGTTGCATTTCGAATCGCTGTGGTTGATCTAGTTGCCCGAAGGGAGTCATGCTAACATCCGGCCAGCTTTCGTCATCCGACGACGACCACATTGCTTGTGGCGCTCTTACCTCTGTGGAAAAAGAAGACAGAACGGAGGAACTGTGGGACACGGCGGACAAGAGGTGCTAGAATGAACATGCAAAATCATTGCGAGAATAACGTCGAAGACGAAGTGAAAGGGATGGATTTGGATATAATGTCAAAACTAGATAAACCACAACTCATCGTGAAGGATAATCATACTAGTTCCAGCAATGAAGATAACCGATGCACACCTAGATGAGTTTGCCTCCAAAACAACGTCGAATCTTTTTGGAAGAAATTTTAATAAAGGATCCATACTCTAGAAAGACAGTGGCACTACCGAGATTTTCAGCCTCCGCAAAACTTAGGTTAAAGTATGTGCGTTCTCTCTCTTACTCTTTGATCCAGTACGATAGCTCCATGGAGATCCGGCTCTTGCTATTCGCAAAAAAGATCGCGGAAGGCACTTCCACTTCACTGATCGAGGGGCACAGGCCTTTCAACGTCCTCTAGAACACAGAACTTAATAAAATCAACGGCTGCGAGATGCAGTGACAGTGTTTGATCTCTTCTGCAGTGCGCATAGTGCGGACATAAAAGGAAAGCACACAACTTTCTCGAAAAATGGAATGTTTGTTCATCACGACAAGCGAAACTGCAGACGCAAAATCAGCTACGGTTTTCACTGTCTGCTGCCCGCTTCCATTTTTCCAGCTCCGCCAACACCTGCCTACCCTGCTTCGTGTTCGTTGCGCGCTCTAAAGTTGCCGCGTCAATCCGGTCTCCATGACGCAGTACCCCTCTGTCAGCTCCAATGAAGTGGGAGAACCGAGGCTCTCGCTGCGAACTTCCCGGTGGCAACAGTCCGGGATACCGCAGAATGGCGAGTGCCACCAGGTTTTCGGCACCCTCGGCTTCTGCTTCTGGTAGCTGCATAGGAGGAAAACAGTAATCACGCGCGCGCTGCAGCGGAAAATAGATGAGGTCCACGCGCCAACAGGTATCGTCTGCCTCGTTCAGGAAGTAATATCGGTCAAACTCAACTAAACCGGGGACCCGGCTGAACTTTTTTCCAGCAGTTGTAGCAGGGTGAAGGTGAAGAAGCTCACCAAGTGGAGAGCTGGAGTTAGAGCCAGCGCTTTATTTATGCTGATGCCCCTGACACACTTCTGTCTGCTGTGCTTTCTCCTCGACCGTGCTTTCAACATCTTGATCTTTGCTAGTGCGCGTTGCGGCAGAAGCTGCTGCGCGGTCTTCCCCACCGCGAGCTGTAGCAGGAACAACAGCGCCACCCTGGATGATCCGCCGACGCGCTGGTTCGAGGAGGTAAGCGTTACAATTCCAGTTCCTCTCTGCGCTTGGAGTTTTGTGACTACCTTCCGGCAATCCAATTATCCTTCGCGCGAGCATGGATGCGAAGTCGTTGTCCTGAACCCAACAAGCGCGGCGCAATGCGACCGTGAACCAGGTGCCATAATTGGGTTCGTACCCAATTCCGAGCGGTGGAAGTGATTGATTCACCTCCGCACATCGATAGTGCATCATGCACTCTTGGTAGGGTGACGTTCCAGTCGAGGGGTCCACATCAACATATCCGGTCAGCCAGTCGGCAGCCACGTTCTCAAAGGAAAGACGCAGCCTCGGGCCAAACCTCTGGCTGCTGGAGATGTCGTGCTCGTGCAAGTCCTGCCCGCAGCTGCTGTCGCGCTCGTGCATGTCCAACAGTAAACTGGTCGTGCCTGTCTCAGACATGCGCAGCATCATACTGAAAAGGGAGATGCCACACGCTTCGCAACAGTGATTCAGTGTCGCAGCAGAAAGTAGCGGATGTTGGAGCAAACGCCGCAAAACCCGGTCCCACCGGCGAGCCGCAGCAGGCACAAAACGGACACTGTTCGCGGCTCGCCTTTATCTTCACCATCACCTTCATCACTATTGTAGGTGTCTTCTTCTTCTGGGAAATTCTGCGTGCAGTGGTATGGATGATGCGCCTTGCCAAGCTCTGTGAGGCGGCTTTCCCGGATTCCCTCTACGTAGTAGCCACGCAAGCGCAGCCTCCCAATCTCATTCAATGCCTTTGGGTGGATTTCCAGAAACCGGCTGGAAACAGTGTCAGTACCCGAAGTGGCATCTACGTCCTCGTCGTCGTCCGGGTTGACATTTGTGAATCCAAGCATAGTCAGCACCATGTACTCGGAAACAAGCGCTCCGTAGTACCCCTGAGTCTGTAGGTGCTCCTCGTCCAACGTGCCTCCATTTAATACGGCCAGTAGCCAGCTCTCTTCGTCGAGCTCCCGCGGCAGGCCTCGCGGTTTCAGCACCGACTCCGCCCGCGGGTCGGTCCAACGATGCGGTGTTTTGACAAGTACCTCGAGATGGAGTACGGGAAAGCGCTGCTCTTGGTCTCCTTAGTAGGGCCAAGTCATACATTGCAAGCTCGCTTTCGAGTTCCAGCACAGTAGGCCAGTCGCTGCGCCACCACGCGTTGATACAACGTAGGTCGCTCTGTTCCTCTAGAGGATTACAGCGTTCATCTGACGACCCGAGATACTCCCAAACCATACTAGACGACGCTGAAGATGAAGCTGCTATTCGGCTATCACGAATGCCGTCGTTCTCATGTTCTATTGTGTGCTTTATCACAAACTCATCTTCGCACTGCACGAAGACAGACACTTGGCACCCGTCTGCGAGACGTCGACCCGTGCTCGTCTCGTGCAACAAAAGCAAGCCGGGAGGAACGAAAACATCCTCCAACGGAGCGAGAAATTTTTGGCTGACTCCACCAGTGTCGCTATGGTCGAACGACGACGACGACGACGTGTCGGACCGTTCGCAGACCTTCTGCCATGAAAACGCGTAGGCCAACTCGCAGCGAATGACCGCCGTGGAAACACGAAAGGCGCCATCGTCCAGGAGTAGTGGCACTGCTACGACGGGAAGGCAGTCGCCACTCAACCCGAAATGCGCGCGGACCAAGAGTACGCGATGGCGACGCGTATCCTGTTGTACCTCCCTTTCATCCTGTGGCAACTCCTTCTCAAATACGTCGCTTCGTGCTTCTTCCACTGCCTCTGAGTGTCGTTCTGGCGGTGAGTCGTGAGGGAGATCCATATCCATTTTCGTGGAAGTCGAAGTCATAATGAGAAAAGACCATGCGACGTCGTGGCTGGAGGTACCGATTAGAAGTTAATTCTAGATCTTCGTTGTTGTCGAATCTGCAACAGTGAGTGGATGAAGTAAATTACTGTTCAAGCGAGCACCTCCTGCAATCACAAAAGACAGTGGAGCTAAGTAACCATTGACCGCCGTAGATATTCCTAGAAAATTTGGTTCGTCGCTGATCAGAGAGTGGTCTCTCACTCTTCATCACCGACTTTGAACTCATCAGTAGTTACAAACACTGGCTGAAACGAATACTCTGTGGAAATTGCCGTCGCGGATCGTGAGCTTAGATTACAATTCACTGCCCTCAGATATTCTGTTTACAAGGGCTCTGCGTGAGTGTCGGGGCCGGATCATGATCATATCTGGTATACCACTTTGCTGCATCTTGCTACTACTTCTAGTTTCGTTAGTCGAGTTCGAACGCATTTTTGTTTTGTGGCTAATCGACCATTACGCCGCGCCTGCGGATGCCGCACTGAGTTGCGTCACGCAGTCAGCCATGCTGCGCTTCAGGGTATGAGACACCTCATTAGGTGAGACGACATCTCCCCCCTGCGCCCGAGGATCAAACAAAGAAATGTACTTTCCTTCATTCATGATGTGCGAGGACTTCGATCGACAAATGCGATTCGTTTGCTTTTGTGACATATCTTGCGAATTTACACTGATTTCTGCTTGTTGTTATTTCTTCAAAAGTGGCGTTTACCCATGGTAGATTGCAAATCTACTCGGATTGGAATTCTCGATTTTTCAACAAGGATAAAGAAGTGCTTCGCCCAACGCGGAGAACCTCCTCAGCTAGACTTCGGCGATCCGTACTCTCACAAAGTAATCAGAATTCCCCAGTCAGGACCGTGGACACTCTTGCTGCTGCGGCCTACTGCATATCCCGCGCCTTTTAGGGTAGGCTTTAAGCTGGGCAGAAAATCGAAAAGTCTGGACCAACTCGAGTCATGTTCCGAAGTTGTCTTCTCATCATTGATGTGCCCAAATTGGGAGCTTGCATTGGCGGCCGCTAATACTTTCTTCACAGTGAAAGACGTAAAAGGGAAGCCCGTTTTGGCCTTCTCAAGACATTTGCTACTCACATAAGCTAGAATCTTGGCGCATATTTTCCTCTGCGCTGCCCTGCATTCAGCCTCGACACATACGCGCGAAAGTTTTGGATCGTAGGTCGCGTCTGGCTCTATTGAGTCTCCGAGGAATCGCAATCCCATCCGCTCGATATCTGGTTCGACACGATATTTATCCACCACGATTCGTTTTTTTCCGGCCGCACACGTCCCAGATATTGACGGAGATCCTGTGCGCGCGTCGAACCACATTCGTGGGGAGGTTCTTCGCCTCGTAACTCGTAAGCGCGCTCCAGTACTCCGAGCGAGATTGGCTTGCAGTAAAAATGGGCGCTTCCGGAGCGAGGAGACAACCGAGAAGACGCTCGGTCGGCTGTTTTGCAGCGTTTCCTGTTCCTCGACCTTGGTGTCCATCACCTCCTTCACCGTTTGCCTGATCCGCGTTATTTTGGCGATTACGACCGCCACCGCCTCCACGTCTGCGAGGTGGCATTTTTTTGTACTCCTTTTCCTGGCTCTTGTTATCTGTCAGATGTTGGTAGTTGTCGCAATGAATTATGCGCGTGCGGAGTTCAGGTTCGAAATCAAAATGAAAATGATCTGCGAAAATCAAATTGAGTGGTCTTCGTTGGTAGTGCTGACATACATTGTTCAATCAAGTCGGATCATGAACAACAAGAATTCGTGCACAAAGAAAAGTCTGTCATTAGAAACAAGAACCCGAAACAGCTACAGAGTGGTAGCATATGCATGTGACCTACAAAACAACTGTTTTTTTTTATCACGAACCAAGCATTGACTCAAACGTTTTCGTTTACGCAATAACGCGAGCAATCACGCTGCGCGTCGTAAAAAACATCGATTTAGATCTTCATGGAAAAAAGGTAGGAAGAAACCCATGCGCCTCGTCGCTTTGCAGCGATGTTATATTTGCTAATTTTTCCATAGTTGCTCCAAATTGGACGCTTTGGTTTGCTGGGGAATCAAAGACACACGTTATCAAACAGCAACAGCGACAGACTGAATGTACAACCGCAAACTCAAATATATTCATATGCCCACCGGGCTTTCTTGCGCGGGTGATGAATCATGACGAATCAAAATAGTAATGCGGAAATCGAAATTCCGATAATCTACGAATCATCGATCGCGCATCCGCCATTGCGTGAGCGTTCAATTTTTTCGTGTTCAGATCACTTCTTTGTCTTTGTGATCTTTCTAGTCGAATGCAAATTCGAACTGACAGAAGAAACGCGGGACTACCTGGGCTGTGTCGTAGACTGCGTATTCGTTCAATGCAAAAGTCGTATTCTGAACCAGGTCTACCTTCTGCATCATGCCCACCGACATCACGACGTCTTCGTCTGCGCCACTCGTGCTAGAAGCTCCATGTTTAGAGCTATCGTTTTTTGATCCTGGTAAGGCTGTACACATTCAAGTTCCATACAAAAATATCCGCATTCACTTTCTATGTTGGTCTGGGTACTACGGTGTAGGTTTTCATGCCACTTAATATCCAAACTCCATTTTCAGATCTCAACATTGTTGATCTACTGGTAGAGGCCGGATCAGATCTCTCGGATGTTGAGTACAACCAGCACGCGCATAGTCGAATGGCAATGTTTAGTCAGGTCAAAACTCTCCTGCACCATAACATCTATATCCATTGCTTGCGCGCCCTCGCTCGATGCGGTGTAGGTGTCAAGCTGCGCTTTTCGCCGGAACTGCACATACTGAGTTGGCTGATCCGTACCCACCGCCAGCGCAGAATGCAATTTTCGCATGCGCCCTCCACCTTTTTTGTTTAAAGATGAATAATCGAAGTATTTCAACATTCTTGTTAGACATAGCATAGTCATGATTCCACAAAAACCTCTCATCTTCATTAGTCGAAGTACTTAGTATGCTTTTCTTCAATAGTGGCCAGTACTTGCGAGGTCTGTGGGAGATGCTATCGCTAGCGTGGCAGCATTTAGATCTGGGCGACTCTTGGAAACGGTAAGGACTTCACCCAGTGCCACTTCGCAAAGCATGAGACAGCCCCGATTATCATTCTCGGTTGCGCAGCATTTCCAAGCAGCATAACTGAGACAATCGGTGAAATAATTAGAAGTAGAGCACTTTTGCTCAGTGGAAGCCACGCTAACCTTAGGCCAGGAAGCGGAAGAATTGCCAATCCGATAGAATAGAGATATGTCTTCGTCTTTCTTATCGTGCTGAAGAAGTTACGTACACTTTACTTTTCTTATTCGCAGTTGTTCATGGGTCGCTATGCTGCCATAAAATAAAGCGCCGGCCCTCCAAGACTCTGCGATTCTGTCTCCTCGAATGGCAGTGAAGTCCACCAGTCCTGTTGCATGCTGTTCAGGGCATCCTTCGTGCTTTTTGGTGCTACAGAGGGCAGGGACAACCCGTCTCGCAGTATCGTCGCCCAATCCTTCAGAGGCGCTCCGAACCACAGCAGATGCTTATTGTGCAATGGACTCGACTCGTTCCGCTTCTCGACTGCAAATATTCGCTCGAGCGTCATGCGGAAGCTACGATGGCGCGCGGCTGGTAATTGCGGTAATCATGAGGTTCACCCCAACCGCATGTTTGTATTTCTCAGGTGAAACTTTTCAAATTTCATCAGTTACTAGTGAAAACCGGAAGTATGCGATCCCTGAAAACCATTCCCATCCCTGGCGCATTGAGACTCATCTTCTTATTCATTTTCATTAATTTGCCAATTCCTTTAAGGAAGCTAAGTTAATAGATACCTCGCAGATTCTGTGTGGCGTAGTTGACGAGGACGGAGAGAGGGTGATCCCGTGCTAGCGGAGTTAGTTTTCTGCCGATAGTCGCGTAAGCGTGGTCATGAGGATGGCGCTTATCTGAAGCTGATCGACGCATAGAACGATACCCGTTGGCGACTTGCTCCAGTCGTCGGAGCATCGTTACCTCTGAGCCCAACTTCTGGAACGTATTTACGGCGAAGTTCTGTTTTATTTCAATGTGGTGACGATTTGTTGTTAACGACTGATGATTGGAACTTCTTGCACTTGTGCAACTGCAAAAAAACCGTCAACACACCACAAATGCTAGTGCTTCTTATCGTGTGTCCTCTACAAGACCAAGGGTCACCTTTTTGATCAGGATTCTACGTCATGATAAACGAAACAGCAGCAGCGCATTCAGATTCATTTTGGATGAAGCTGAGAGTGAGACTCAGACTGAGGACTCAAGTACCTTCATATCTTTGAAGCCCATGTTATGTGGTATGAGTGTGAAGTAGGCGCTTGTGAGTTTTTCCAGCATCTCTGGGTTGCGATCGAGCTTCTGCAGTTCTCTATGTATCTGCTCAAGAATTTGAAAAGCATCGGTGATAGTTGCCTGGCCCACCGTAGCCAGTTGCACTTTCACGCTGTCGTAACCGATCTCTGTCACCTCCTGGTCGACCAAGTCTGGTGGCAAGTAGGTTTGTGGTTGTTACATTCATGATCATGATGACGGTGAGGTTAACTAACAAGATCAGAGTTTCTAGTCGCGTCTTTCTTTTGGTACACCGGGGTACTAGACGGAAAGAAAAAGAACAAGTAGAGACGGTGTATGATGGGTATACTACTTGGGGAACAAGACAATTCTGGCTAACAATGCGAGTGGAATCTTTAGGCGATTTCTTACCATCATCGCAGATGAGTTCCATCAATTCCTGCAGGTCGGAGGAGAGAGTTGATTAGACTTGGCTAAGGAAATTCATCTTGAGATGAACAAGCATCCTCTCCTTCTTGGTGGTGTTGTTTGTTTTCTCTCGTTAGCACAACAAGCAGTCTACTAAAAACGTGGTTTTGAAGGACAACTGCTTATGCGATTAACACAAATATACCCTTGCCAGTAGATTGATGCTGCAGGAGATGAATTGAGTGTGGAAGCCTTAAGTTGAGGGTTCAAAGATTTTTTTCGGCCGGCTAGTATTGTGCGTCATCATCTGTAACCAAGTGTATTTCCCGTCCACCGGCTGAAAGACTGATCCCCATGTGTTCGCTGTTTTTTCTCGAAACTTGTCACGGAAAGCTGCAAGCGCCGACTCCTTAGCGTTTCGATGAATATTCGGACTGAAAGTGAGGTCCGCGTGCTGTCCGTCGTAGCCTGTGCGGCCCCATCGCGTCCACAGCTTGTAGGCCTTCGCAGTCCGGTCGTCCGGGCCTTTTGTGCTTAGAAGAACGAGCTCTAGTACTCTCCTCAAATTGTATGTCCCAAGCAGTCTTGCGTACAAACGTGTGCCAACCTCGCACTGAGAAGTAAAGTAGTATAGGTCCACATGCACATACATTAGTGGATGCCCGTTCACTTCACTATACTCCTCCTGGAAATACTTGCATAGTTTCAGTTTGATGAGGTACAACTTCTTCGACGACAGGATTCTTAACTGATCGTGTTCGAGAAGCTGGATGATGTAGTATTTGTTGTTGTTCCGCGACAAATTCACTTGGTTCAACCGCACGTCGTATTTGGTCGCCCCTTCCTGGAAAACGTGGTACTCTGCGCCATGCTCTGGTGAGTCTACCGGAATGCCATTTTTCACCACGCTTCCGTAGGCTGACCCGACGCGCCCACCGACGAAACCCACTGCCTCGGAATCGCCAGGATTGATACCACTGCTCGCACAAGTCTTAGAAGACAGAGACTCAACAGGACATTCCACTGACGTGAATTCTTATTTCTTACTCAGAAATTGATTGCGTCCTAGTATGGCAAAAGAAATGCCACAGAATCTTCAATAATAAACCTTGCACAATACACAAATTCTATCATCAGCATCAGCATCACGCCTTTCATTTTTGTAAGTAAGAAAAAGAAACCTTAACTGGTGCTGCACCGGGCCTTGCAGATGAAGAAGAACTGCTGCCACCACTTGTAGAAGTATTCCCGGGTTGCTTAGCGTCTGGAGGATCCTCGTAGAGGGCGGCAGGGACCGCGTACGTGCAATCCATAGACTCAAGCGGGTTATACATGTATGTGTCGGGCTGCATTAGGTAGTCACCCTGGGGCACGGCCGAGCTCGATGACGAGCCGCCTTGCTGTTGCAAGAAACCGGATGGATGCGCCATTGTGCTTTCGTTATTTAATATTAAAGCAATTAGAGTTTAGAATGGGATGAATTTTTCAACAAAACTTGATCAACAAAACAAAATGGAGCAATTGTTTGTGTTGTAGGATTGTTACTCTTTGCGCTACTTCAACCTCTACTGGCACTTCTATGCACCTTCACTTTGAGTTTGATGAAGCACGATATCTTTAGAGGGTCTTTTATTCGATTTTTGATTTTGTTTTCTTTTCGATTTTATACAAACTAGAGATGGTATCTAAGTAAGTACTCAGCCTCCTTTTCAAGAAAATACAGAGGAGGAGTGAGGACATCGGAGGAAAAATTCAGGAGCAAACTGCCATCAATGAATCATCAGAATTTTTCGCCGTGGTATTCCACCAGAACGAACACTGGTCCTTTACAATCAAGAAAACCGGTGGTTTTAGTTTTACCAAGTCGGTAGCCACATTGGAGTTGTTCCTGTGGAGAAGATGTGAGTTATGCCATTAAAGCCCGCATATCCATATGTGTGAAATTCGATCCGTAATATCACAGTGGAGGGTGTGTGAGTTGACTTTTCAAGAAATTATCTTTATTGCCACATTGGTAGGCGGGTGTCTGTGGTGCCACATCGGAACAAGGACTTTTCAAGATTGCCGAAATATTTTTTGATGAAGATGTAGCTGAAAAATAGCAGAAAGCTGTAGCTGCGTTGTCCAGGCGTCTTTTTTCACCAATGAATTAGGGGAAATATAGCGATGAACTACAGCTACTGCACTACTTGCTACTTCGTAGTTATATCACCTGCTGAATTCAGCTCTACTCCTGCGTTGGTGAAGCTCTATACTGTGGAGCTTTTGCTTTAGATCCTGAATGTTGGCTCCGGTGTTGATAGATGCATCAAAAATGTTGAGCGCCGCGTTTAGACAGTCGGATGCGTCTGCGAAGTACTTGCCACCTTTCAGCATGTACACGGTGCCCAATGCTTTCAGCGTGCGCGCTAGCTGCACTGATTGAGGCCCGCAAATTAGAATATAGTACACAACTTGGAATAAAAAAGAAGTCGTCGTCGTCGATTGGGAGAGAAGGATGACCAGGTATTTCATGATTACGACAAGCGTGTCTGAAAATAAAAGAATACATGAGTTCCCTGAGTCTGAGCCAGACACAGACTGTCTGAGTATGATTTGTAATAAAACTACAACTGTCCTCAGATCATAAAAACAGAGTGCGTTCGAGAAATTGAACCTCTCGGAGGTACTCGAGGGCCTGGTCGTGTTCTCGTCGCTTGATGAGTATGAGTGCTAGTTCTCGCTTGACCTCGACACTCTTCTGCTCCTCACGTCCTAGTTGCTGCAACACTGCAGGATTGAAGAAAGAAAAGAATATTCAAGCCGCGCGTTGTTTAAATGTCAATGACAAGATTACTTCATTCGAAAATTGCATTCCAAGTCATGCTGATTTATTTACATCATCTTCTGGTTCTTGTACCAATCTGTTCGACTGCTTTCAGTTTGTCAAGTGCGGTTTTAGTATCCGTCCATTTTGCGAGTCGTAATACCGCATCCGCCGCCAAGTGTGGAAATTTGTTCAGCTTGATGACTTTATCGACCACAGATGTTTGCAAGGACCTGCAGAAGAGTTGTAGACCGATATTTATTACTCATACAAGCCTAGTATGAAAAGCCATGCAGATGAAAAGTCAAAATCACACCAGTAAAAGTAATACATATGTAGCTTGTAGACAGAGGTTGTAACTATTTACAATGCTTCTTCTTGTTCTCCATTTAAATGGTGGACCCAGGCCATGTCGAGCCAAAGCATAAGCGTCTGGTCGTTCTCCCATCCCAAGCAATGCTCACGGATTTCCCACGCGGTGCTCAGGTGTTCCAGGGCAGCTGAGTATTCCTTACGCACCGTTGTTACTTTTCCGAGAAGCTCATGCGCACGTGCTAGTTCCTTTTGAAAGGAGGGGGTGGCCCACGACATAGGGTGGTCGATGCAGAGCAGATTGGTATTGATGTCGGTCCCAAAGAAAATATAGGACACTACCTACGCCACCTAGAAGAAGCACAAGAAAAAATATTATCTCGTAGCTGGACAAGAGCATAATTGAAGAAGGACCTTGATAACGATTACATGAGGAAGAGGACTACAACATTTTATAATTTATTAGAGCAGTTTATAGGGGTGCCAGATCCGGGATGGGATGGATCGGATGGAACGGATGGACTTTCCACCATTTCAATTAGGATCGGAAGAATCAGGGGGGTCCATCCGATCCATCCAAGTCCATCCTACATCCGTTCTATAAACTACTCTAATTTATAATATAAATATACATTTATTCATTTGAGCGATCATCAACCGGTCCTCTTCTTATCGAGACCACCTACTTGCGCCATCTCAAAACGGTGATAGTCACGACCATTTAGTCTGAAGCCATACTGCAAGTCTTCTGGTCCGTAAGCCTGCTTCAAGAGAGTCGCTGCTTTCTGCAGTGTCGATAGTGCTGTCGGGTAATCCTTGCCTTCAGCAACATACGTGGTATTGAAGCGGGCACGTGGCAGTGAAGAGAGAGGATAGTATCGATTTTCAGAATCAATAGAAAGATGTACTTGCCGGAGGGCGCTTGGTCGACTACAATCGATTTCTTTCTTTTATGATCGTCGTCTGTCGCGTAAGTAGGCGTCGTGACGAGTTCGTTATGAAGCTACGACGTTATTCTCAGAAGTCTAAAAAATAATGTTTCCACAGTGCTGTTTGCTAATTCATCTATGCTAAGCGATTCTGAAATTGAAACTCAGCCTCAACCTCTCAATTACAATTTTCTAGCTGCACTTGTGGTTGTAGTGCGCACTCAATTACGAGTAGGACCTGCTACGTACAACAACTGTTACTTTCTTTCACATCAAATCAAACAATCATACGAAAACCAGTGGCACTCAATAACGAGAGACTATCAAAATCACAAATATTTTCAGTGTAAGAATAACGCCTTTCCGTAACAAAGCCCTCTGCCAACGCCAGAGAGGAGCCTAGTCGTTGTGACGGTCCGTTATCGTATATCTGGCTTTCCACGATCTGCTGTCCGTAGTGAATATGCTCCAATGCTTGTGGGACGTATCCACCCATACTATACGCCTCGCTAAGTAAACAATGCTGATGACACGCTGCCGCGATCGGCAAATCGTGTACATCGACTAGAGCATTAGAGAGGCTAGGTAGATGTAACACATTGCGCTCGTCTCGTGAAAAAGAATAAGTCACCAGTCATACAAGGGTAGTCCATGGCACTCATGCTCACCTTCATCGTCGCATAATTTTTTAGTTACTTACAACATTCCATTCCATTAAGTCTATCACTGGCTAGCATGCCAGCACCTAGACTATGCGATGCTCTGCGCCCGCCTCAGAAGAGAAGACGCAAGACGCAACGTGAGAAAATCTACGAATGAACACAAGCTATCCAAAAACCTGAAGGCTTGATGGGCTTATAATCGAGGGGTCCAGCCTGAGGCAAAGACGGCCCATAAAGAATTGAAGCACCACTCCAAATCTCTACTAATCCTGAGTCATCGCGTTTCGCGGCATAGCCAATTCTGAAAGCAAGATGCAGAGCAGATTGTGACAGAAATGGGAGGAACGAGCTTTGTGGAATCCACATCGTCATCATCATCATCAACATTATCTTATCAGCATTCGGACAGTGTATCGTCATCATTTCAACAGTCACACCATGGCACAAAACACACGAGGAAGCACAGAAAGACCCCGTGAGATCGTACGCGTTGCCCGGAGCGCATCAATACAAACAAACAAACAAACAAACAAAACAGTGTATAGTGCAGAGTGTGACCTTCTTCATTGAAAACGTCTCTCTCCAGCGGCTCACCTACACCACCAGCACCTTCGCATTCATCACTTCCATGGAGTCGAACAACCACTGGACGAGACAGCACTTACCCGATCGCGGGATCTTGGCTTCTTGTTAGCATCTATTGTCGCGCAGTGTTCCGCAGGAACCGTAGGCGATCGGAAACGGAATTCTCCTCGCATATCCCTTAAGACGTCACACATGACCGATGATCTTCACATGATCAACAGCCTCCCTCAGCCGAAACACGAGCATCAACAGAGCACGACAGACAAGTAACAGACAAGACCAAAACGATTTACGGCAGCTCGACTTGTGGGACAAATACAAATTCGAACGAGCCTTTTCTGATAACAAAACGATCTCTCAAACAAACGATAGATGATGAAGCCACGCGTGCAGAAACACTAAGGAAACCGATTCACGAACTTGCGTCTCTCGTGCGATGAATGAATACAAGCAGTCAAGACCTTCACCTTGAGCGCAGGCCACAGTCGCTAAGGCGAGCATGGGAACTATCGTCTTAGCGTTTTTTATGAAACAAAACTTACAACATCAAAAAGAAGTAAGTACATCATGAACAGTTTCAAATTCAATCAGAGGACTTGTACCTCATATTTACTAGTTTCGAAGCCGTACAGAGTTGTGTGAGGGCCAGTTGATGGATGCGCGCCTCGATAACGCCATCCCGATCCCCCGCGTCTTCGAGATCAGCAACCTTCGCCTCTAGCGCATCAATCTGAGTCAAAGGATGCGCCATTTTTCCTGCGACGTGGTTGTTGAAAAAGAAAACCCTGTTCTACAAATCAACGCGACAATGAATTAGAAGTAATTTTTAGCTTTTGTAGATGAAGTGGACATGGAGGTTTTGAATTTGATAACTGTCTACTACCAGCATATCGTTGCACATACAAGGTCAGTCAGGCTGCATGGTTGGGGCGTAGACGTGGTTGTTCTAACTCTAAAACACGATATAATAGACAAGACAACTTTTTTAGAAATATCGTTTGCCTTTTCTCAACATCAATCGATCCGCCCCGGCTTTTTTGGTTTATCCGCTTACCGAGGGAAGTGGAACTTGAAGTCAGCGCGTAGAAAAATATCAATACAGGTGTAGCTACTGATAATGCGGGTGCACTGAACACGTTCTTCGTTCTCAGGATCTGCTTGAGGAAAGCTTCCTCTATGTACTACATACGATGTGAATAGAAGAAGTGTCCTGAATATCTCCATTGATTGGCCAGAGTGTCTTCACTCGCGGGTTACTGCGCTGGTCATGAGTCCCTCGATAAATCTTCTGCTTTCATCATCATCCTTCATTTACATTATTAAAAAGTAGTACTTCTCTTCTAGTACGGATGACAAAATAGTTCCTACTAGATTCTACTGACTTTTGGACACACGGCTGCTAGGAAAAAGAAACGATCAACCGATACAACTCCCGATATTCGTCACTCTGGTCTCTCATCTGTGTATTAGTATATGAAAGTGACAATTTGTTGTCTGGTGTACCGGAATCCGATTTTGCACCGACACAGACCTTCGTTTCGCATGTCCTAGTTTGTGGCCAGAATGCAAATTGCACCATGCTTCCGCCTCGTCGAAGACTACACGACCATTTCATCAAATATCAATTCCGAGCAATGTATTTCTTCATCAAATATCAATTCCGAGCATTTATTTTGAGGAGTTGTTTCACATGAATGCTATACTTGGGAATTGTCGTCATATATGCGATGGTTAGCAGTTAACATGTTTTTCATCAATAAGAATAAATCACTAAGTGATCACTAATTATCTCTAATCTAATACCCGCGGCAGTAGCATGAGCTGGACCTCCAACCAGGAGAGATACCAAAAGAAATCATTCGTGCTATTTGTAGGCACGTAGAAGTAATCAATAAATTATTCCAATGTGCACTCTGCATTACGTGTCTTTGCTCGTGTCGGCACAAGGACAAGTTTCATTTAACTCCATTACATGATTGGAGGGACTAACCTAGGACGACATGAGGGAAAATTATTCATTACATGAGAAATTTGATTGTATTTGTAGCAGTAGCCGTGCGGATCGTCGTAGAAGTGTACTGCTAATGATACCCATTCACGGACGGGTGCAACATGATGTCATGTGTGTGCCCATTCTAATGTGACCGTTCGTAACGAGTATACTGAACGAGGATACGAATTCACTGAACAATTACTTGTGGTACCAGCAAGATGGAAATTAAATCACAACCGAGGAACACCAACACGAACCACGCGCAGGTCATCCTCTGCGTCGCCTGGCGACCATGCGCTCAAGACCACGCTGACGCAACTCACCGCCCAGCCGCCTCGCGTGTTCCACTTGTGCTACAACCGCATCAGGCAGAGCATCTGTATCAAAATTGAGTTCATTTGCCGCTCGATACCAGTCGTCCTCGAGAAGGAGACGCCTGCATCGCGGATCCATTTTACCATCAATCTCGAGAATCCACCTGTGGTTTCGGGCATCATAGGCCCACTCTGGTTCCACTTCGTACACCTGATTAGAGCCTGAAGATCACTGGGCTTAAGTGACATGAAATTGGAGTCAAATAAGTCGCAGAAGTTCAACTTCAAGTATAATTCTTGAAATGATCATCTATCACGCTTTAGACTTTTTTACCCTCTCATGCTTGCAATTTGCTCCAACAACTGTTACTGAGTCCAACAAGAAAAGCAAAAGCCTTAACCAAGGGAGACGTCTTTTCCATGTGTTCATTTATTTCTTCTGCCCTTTGGCTCGGTGCTGGCGGGTAGAGATGCAGCCGGACACAGCGGACGTCCGTCCAAGGCGGCCCTTGCATCCTGCCCATTTCCATAGAGCCGCCTGTTAGACGAACGGAGCTGTCACTGTAGTTACTGATCATTCTGGTAAATGTGTGAGATATTCATTCATTGTCATCCCTTCGCCTTCACTAATAATTGGAAAACAGAACGCGTATGATGAAGATATACCCAGATCGATAGTTCTATTTCATCACTTACTTATATTTGAAGTAAAAAAGTATAATAGATAGGCCTGTGATGTCTGGAGAGAGAGAGTAAACAAAGAGAGACCGAACAACAAGATTTCACTTTTTCTGATCCTAGTTCATCAAGTTGGTTCTCACTCTTTCTGAGTAGAGAAAAGTAGGAGGTTCTCGAACATACAGCGCAGAAGTAAGTAGATTTTTTTCTAAAAGGCCGTAAGTCTCCCATTGGAAAACGCCCCCGCACTTCTTCTTGAACTCTCCGTTCGCGCAGCGACTCAGCCTGTTCCCGCCTCTCTCGTCTTTTCAATCTCCGCCAAATCTCCTCCTCTTCGGCTTTGGTGTAGAATCTACCTTCTATTCCGAAAGTTAGAGCCAGACATTTCTTCTTGTCCTTACACGTGTACGTGAGAATGACCTCCACTGAGTGGGTTGTTTACTCAGTGGAGGTTGGTAATTGACTTTCCGCTAATATATTTGGAACGAAAGCATCATGAAAGAGCCAGTGCATCCTCATCCTCGCTCAGAATAAGCAATTATGCGTCGTCATCGTCGAATCACGGGATTTAATATCTATAAAACTAGCCTTAACTCGGCATCGCTGTCGCCTTCTTCACCATTGTTCAAAAGTCGTGCCATCGACTTCTCCCTCCCTACTGCCTTCCTGTTCGCGTCCGCAATCAACTGCTCTTCTTGCAATATTGGAGGACAAAACAAAGTTGAGAAAAGTCATATCAATTTATCTATAGTATAGATACTTACGTACAACTCAGTCAAGATGGGAGATTACCTTACGCAGATGTCTAATTCGAGGATCTGCATCTGCTTGCATACTCAGTCAACAAAGTGGGAAACTAAGTCAAGTCACAAAAAGAGAATCCTCCATTCAAGATTGCTACAAGCTGGCAAGTTCCCTAGCAGCTAAATAAGCGACTGGCTTGGATTATGTTTGGGAAAAACTCCTGCATTTGACCATCTGTATTCTTCTTTTTGGATCATCGCATTAGAACCAACTAATGCACTTGTTATGGGAGAAGATACTTTTTCACTTTCGTAACTCGAGTAGTCTCTTTTGGTGTGCCAGGTTGCGCGCGCGCGCTTCAGCCCCGCTAAGATGGAAACCACCAATGCCACCGAAACGAACGCGGTCTCGAAAGATCCTTTCTTCATCATAAAGTCCATGCTTACGACCCGTTGCCATCCACCGGCCGGTACTCGGATCACGAGTTACTATGAAGAGAAAAGGAATGCATGGGTTCAGAATTAACTTGTCTGCCTAGTATCCCTTCAAGCTGCCGCATGCAAATCTAAATAGACATTATCAACTCTCATATATTTTGCTGCACGGAAAAGCATTTGAAGATCTCGTGGAAGTGCCAGAGGAACGTTGCCACATATTTGTTATTTACCCTGCTCCTCGCCCAGAACTCATTACTTACGAACATTAAGATACTCATACTTGTTCGAATCAGATGAGTTGTCACTGATCGATGCAGCAAAGGTTCGATTTCGAGGAACGAATACTGCTAAAATAAATCATAGTGTAGTCGGCCGTGTTCTGCACTCTTGCTGCCGCCTTCTTTCGCTGTTTCACCTCTTTAGCAGTCTCAGGCTTGCCAAATTCGTAGGGTGCTGCTCCCATCTTCTCTCCATCCGTGCGTGGCCGCATGGGCCGTGGCTTCGGTGGCTTCTTCGTTGCCGGTTGCGTGTGCGGTGTCCGCAACCGGAAAACATTGTTGCCCACAGCTGACTGAACGAACATTTGTTCCTAGAGGTGATGGAATAAAACGAATATTCTACTCAATGATTCGTGTACTTGTTCTCTTGATTTCTTATACGTAGACGATTTGATATTTATCACATTTTTAGCTTATGATGATCTATCATGATGATGTATCCATTATAGTATAGGAGACTACGACTAGTACCAGTCAAATACTTACACTAACTAGTGGAGTCGTTCCAGGTGAGCGCATGCGCAACGCGCTCTCACATCGCATCACTTGTTTTTTGTTGAACCATGGGTGGCGCGGACATCAACTTACAAGTAATAGCTCCGAAGGCGAAGCACAACAAAAAACAATCAACTGAAGGTGTGAGTACTTAGTCAAATACTAATTCATTCTGCATCTATGTAATGGCACGAAGTACTGACTCGAGGGCAAAAAAATGAGTAAATCATCGTCAACCGTTGCCTGCGTGCCTGTCTGTGATAGATAGAACCCATCATTTTTCTTCTGTAGCAGTCATGACAGATTTCCGATTCCGAAGCTGGTGATTAAACAGCAAAGGAAGCTGAAAATTCATCCACCACTCACAGAGAGTCCCTTATCTTCAAGTACGCTCGACGACAGATTGCTGAAAGGAATCTCTCACCACACAGATTGGCATGTCTTGGATGATCTCTGACAGCGACCATGTTCGTGGTGTAGTTGACCTACAACATCCTGCTTGGGCGGAAACATTCTGGATCCAGACAAACCAAAAAAACATTGGAAATAACACTCATGTTTCATTTCTTTGATGAATGATTGCTCAGCAATGATTTAAGACTTACTTGATGAAGGTCAGTCCTCTCGGTGTCTGATCCTTTCAACTCTCATTAAAAATCGGCCGCTGATTGAAGGATCTCTACTTTTTTCTCACTCTCCATGCTTAACAGAGGGTTTTTACTTTCCGAAAATGTCAAACTCCGACCGATCGTGATGGCCTGGTGCAGGTTTATAGTCGGATGTAGTAGATTCAGCGCCAGTAAGTGCTCTCAAAACTTCTTTCAGATTTGATTATGTTACAAGAAGTGCAGATCAGGAGCATTCAGTGGCTTACGTCGCCAGTGCTTGAACACACACTCACCGTTGCTTCATATCCGTGCCTAGACGTGTCGATCCAAGTTGAAAGGACACGTCATGAATAAGCGTCTTGCCCGACTCTCCTTACAGGTACACTACAGTCACCGATTTTGTCATGAGTACGATCAAGTTTTTTGCTTCACAACTGATATTTGTGTTAAAAAGAAATAATAAATAAGGTTTAGCATAGACTAGCATGCTTCCGAAAGGACGACAGGGCTGCCTTAAATAGGTGCAGTCTTTCTCCTCACGTTGCGATATCCTACCAATAATTGTTAAGCATTTTTAGTGCTCCATTAAGCGTGTGCATATCACGAGTCAGCACGATGATTTAGTTTTCCTTACATATAAAATCCAGTGCGGACACAGAATTGTCAATGTATGACGCAGAAACGAGCGCCAAGCTTCGGCTTTCGAAAAATATGCAATGAGAAAAATATATTGTAAATCAATGAATAAGTCTGTACACCTGTAAGAGATCATATCTCAAACTCAAAGCAGCACTCCAGTCCTTGTCTCCTCACCACATACTGCTGCGTAAAGGATTTTACGCGTCTTGATTGTCAATGTTTGTTTTTTCTTGTTCGAGTGCGAGCAGTGCTTTATTGACTTTTGCATCGTTATCGTCCAGGCCTACGATTTGCGTTCTGTCTTCTTCATTGAAGTTGTAACTCCAGCGGTTCTCCTCGAACTTTTCCAACAATGCTGCAATGAGAGGGGGACTCCTGGCTCTGATGACGCTCTCGATATAGTTGTCGGTGAAGTCCTCCATAGAAATAGTCTGGTATGTAAAGTAAATCCTCTGTACTAGTCTTCTCACAGTGGCGGGAATGCCTCTGGCGCAGCTCCTCGTCGGCTGCATCGATCATTCTGCTCATGTTCGCTTGCCCAAAATGGAAAGTTACTCCATTGAGGCTCTTCGTCTCCACCACCGTGGTTCTAATCAGAGCCGGATTCTCGGTGGCGACAACGCGGTCGATCATGTCGAATTATCGTTGCACCAGTCCCCCTCTTTGAAACATCACAATTGCCGCGCGTGTTGCGCTGCGGTGCTTTTTTGATTGAGCTGCCGCAGCGTTTTCACTCCCTTCGACTGCAAAATATATCTTCCGCGGAAGGGAGAATATGCGCTCCATAGTCTCTGCGTCCACCAAGCTCCAACGGACTCTTTCAAGTCCGAGAAGATCTGCCAGAACCCCTATCTCTGCACTAGTGCAGTGGTCCTCTGTTCCCCCTTCACGATGCAGGTTCCAAGTTCTGTGCAGCTGGATCTTGCTCTTTACCTCCTTTTGAAAGTTGAGTCAAGTGATTCTCCACGTCCTTGGCTGTTTCAGATCTATCGACTAGAAGCCCAAGTAGCTTCTCGATTTTGGTTGTACATGTTGTAGATGATAACGAGCTTCTTTACCTTGTTCCTTCAAGATCCTACTACTCCGTGCTTGCACCTTGTATCATCCGGCATAATCTCTGCTCTGTATCAGCTTTGGTTTTTAGATCATCCGCTGTGCATTCTCTGATCTTGTCCTGTTTTAGATTTTTCTATTATTGCTGGGATCGGATCTCAGGTTCAGAACGATCAGGATCGACTAAGTAAGTAATATCTATTCAGTAGTGCGGATCTTTGTTGAGACCAAAAGAGATCTATTGAACACCATACTAGCAACCTTTGCAATGAATACAACACTTGGAGTTACGGCAATGTTTTGTTTTTTTTTCAAATTTTTGCCATCTTTCATCTCACCTCGAAGCATCACCACTGGTTTTTTCAATGATGATTTAGTTATGAAATCCTCATTGGTTGAACATGTGCCTCTGTCACTGTGTCTAGGTACTTTTCGTATTTCTATAGGAAGAGTCGAAGAAAGCCACAAGACACAACCGACAGGAGAGGCAGCATACTCAGACACAAAACGTGTTTAGTGTCAAGTTATGAGAGCTACTAGTCGCCACAGTGACATTTTAGATACGGATCGATATCACATCTTGTCGCTTAAATTGATTAAGGAGAAAGAACTATTGAGAATGAGGCTTTGCCTACTATTACGTTGATGAGACCGGTTGTCGCAGGGATATTATGGTCGTTTTTGGAAGGGAATTTATTAAGGGCGGGACGAAAAAAGGAAAATATAAATATTTCATCTTCAAACGAAGCAAGAGCAACTTCTACTCGCAATAATCAGTCACTTCTAGGCCCCTTCGAATCGTTTTGCAAAAAGGTAGGTGTTTTTGGCGGCCATGATTGGATCTCGAATGACCGAACACTCGGAGCCTTTTCGCTGTTGTTCGTCCCCCACACTAGGAAATCGAAATCCAAACGACAAAACATTTTTACTAAAACTCAATCACTGAATATGTGTAAGTATGGCCAAGTAGACGACATTAGACAAAGTCTTCTTTTTCAATTTTGCTTTCCTAAGATAGAACGTTTGTTCTCATGTAGTGTAGCAACTTTATCATTTCATCTGTACCATTTCTGTACTGCCCGCCCATAGAAGAACGAGAAATGCCATCTTAATCTTGCCTACCATTTCCATACTATAGCTTCTAGTGTAAATGATCATTTCAATGATGCTTCTGCGATAACCGGTTTTTCAAATAATGCCTCTAAAGAAATACCACCTTGTTCATTTTCGCTGTTTAGAATTTCTGTCGTACATTGATGAAGAGTCGCTTCGGCTTCTATCTCTCCAGTTTTTAGACTAGTCTTTGGTCTTCAAGCCTAAGAAGCAACCCCAAAAATTCAGAAACGTTGATTTATGCTCACTATACTTCTTAGTTGTAATATATTTTATATATAAGGTGACTTCTTGCATGATCATACACTCTTTCTCTCTATTAAACCAATTTGATATAGACCAGAACTCTGTTGGAGTGGTGTTGTCACGAGGGTCGTCGAGATGAAACTATTCTAGGTACTTATCGGTAGGTCTAGGTCATGTAGAAGATCTTCTTGATAATAATGCATATTCCACCTAAAATCACTCACGAAGATTCATTGGAGCCAAAGGACGTTGAAAGAATAGAGAACATTGTGGCTGTTCCTGTTGTAAGAATCATATCAATGAATCAATAAAATATAGCATGATGAAGTACGTCGCATTGTCGAGAAATCTAAAAGAGCAATTTTTGCAAGTTATGATGTTTCTACCTGAAGGTTTTTGACTATCACTAAGAATAACTTGCTGCACGGGACAAGTCTAATAGTGTCGAGGTGAAAACTAACGGCCTAAACCTTCACCAAAAGGTGAAAGCCAATCAAGATTTGCAGCGCACCTCTAAAAGAAAATGGTGGTGACTATTACTAAGAATAATGTTTTGGAAGGTCCTAAAAAACCCAGAACCACTCACATACTGCAGACGATTCCTATGAATGCCGAGTTTCTAATATTGACATAGCCTAACTACTATTCTAAAAACAAAATCATTTCCAGCCCATCGTGGCTTCTTACCATCGGCCACCCCCAAAGCTGTTTCCTCGGTCGCCGAATCCACGGCCACCTCCTTTACCTCCTCCAAATCCTCCTTTTCCGAAACCCTTATTAGAGCTCAAAACAATTATATATTTCTTAGCTTCATTATCTTTATCATTTTCTCAGTTCTCTAGAAAAGAAAACAGTGAGAAATGAATCGTGGAAATGACTTAAATTGAGCCTTAACCTTACCTCCTTTGCCGTAGCCCTTGCCGCCTCCGAACCCACGAGAGGATCCGCCACTGTAGCTCAAACGAGACAACTCTTCCGGGATCTCTTGCTTTGCCTCAGTCAAGATTTGGCAGAGCTCCTTGGCGTATTTGCCGACGTTGGCCCTGTTTTGTTTAGATAGTAGTGAAGGAAGAGGGGATTGGAGTGTGGAATCAGGATGATAGGTGACAAGGAAGCACTAGGAGAATCCATACGATCGGCTGCTATCCTCGTCAACACAAATATCTTTTTGCCACGCCTAAGAATGCGAAACTACAAATAATACCAATCCAAAAAATCAAAATGGACAATCAAAAATTACTGGATGTCCCTTTCGCAGAAGAAGGTGTGCGCCTGACCGTTCATGGCGCCACCACGTCCAGTACGTCCGATACGATGCACGTAATCTTCAATATTCATTGGCAGATCGTAGTTGATGACGCACTTGACGTTCTTCACGTCCAATCCTCTCGCCGCAACGTCCGTTGCAACCATGACTGGCTGTCTTCCATTTCGGAACTGCTCTAAGACCCAGTCGCGCTCTGGCTGAGATTTGTCACCATGCAATGCCTCAGCATTGACACGCCAGTTCTGGTAGATTTCGTGGGCGAGTTGATCACAGCCTTTTTTCGTTTTGGAGAAGATCAAAGTCAATGGCAAGTTGCCGTTGTTCTCATGAGAATGTTTGTCGTGCAAATCATTGAGGATTTCGCCTAGAGCACGAGACTTATCCGAGAAGTTGTTGACAATTCTGACATGTTGCTTGATATTCGGGTTGGCGCGCAAGTTGTTGTCTCCGGCTCCGCCAATACGGATTTCAGTTGCGCCGTTGCGGCCGATCACGTCAGCCGCCAAACGTTGGACTTCCCGAGGCCAAGTGGCAGAGAACAACAGAGTTTGCTTAGTCTGCGGGTTGATGTAGGAGTCAATTTTGCGCAGATCCTTTTCGAAGCCCATATCCAACATGCGATCGGCTTCATCCAGAATGAAGTAGGTGATGTTGTCGAGAGACAAGACACGCATGTCGATCAAATCGCAGAGGCGTCCTGGGGTAGCGACGACAAGGTCGACGCCACGACGGAGAGCGCCGATCTGAGGGCCTTTAGGCAGACCACCAACCAGAGAGCAGCAGCGAAGATCAGTGAACTTTTGGCACTCGAGCTCGATTTGCTGGACCTAAAGAAATTGATTCAAAGATGACAGTGCGTCGCTAGGTTAATGCAGATAAACATGATCACGGACGAATTTCATTTTAAGTTGATAACAATGTGGTTAAAAACTGGAAGAAGATACTCCTCCCCAGTAGCAAAATTCTAGCTCATTGATGAATCAATGTGTACGTATATGGTGAGAAGAATCCAAATCTCTTACCAACTCTCTTGTCGGCGCCAAAACCAACGCGGTCGGCTGACCGCTGCCTCCTCCATAACGGCCATATCCGCTATATCCGTTGTTGTAGCCTCCATAGCCACCCTGGTTTCCTCCGTTCTTCTGCTGTTCCTTGCAGTGCAAAGCAGCTGGCAACAAGAACGCCAAAGTCTTACCGGAACCGGTTTCTGCGATACCAATCAAGTTCTTCCCAGAAGTGGCGATGGGCCAAGCGCAAGATTGAATCACACTCGGTTTCGGGAAGTTACGCAACTTGTCGATCATCTGAGGAGGAAAAGGCGTTTCATCCCAGCTCTGACACACGTCGACCTTTCCGTCTCCGCCACGCAGTTCAACTTCATTCTGACGCAACCACTCGCCGACCGGCAGAGGAGTGTCATCATCAGTTTGCTTACCGTGGATAGCGGAACGAGCAATTGGTCCTTGCTGGGCATTGTCGTCGCCAGCATTGTGGTCCTTCTTGTGGAAAGCGGCGAGACCTCCGGAAGCAGCGAAGCCGCCGGGGGATCCGGCAGTAAAACCTCCAGCGGAGAATCCACGAGGAGAACGAGAACGCATAGAAGATGAGTTGTCCTGGTTCATGCCTATGCCACGCGAAGGATAGTTCATCTCACCACCACGTCCTCCGAAGCGACGAGGAGTGGGCTCAGCGGAAGAATCAAAGGAACTTTCGGCAGGAGAAGCGGTGGTACCGGTGTTGCGCCAGTTGTCCGCTTCCATGCAGCCATAGTTGCTGTTTCCACCGTACATCTTGTTTTGTCCATACATCTCGATTGTGTTTGTGTTGATGGAGAGACAGATACTATTACTAGTTGAAGATACTTACTGAGTTATTGTTAGTGGGGTTTTTAGATTAAGATAGGTCTTGTTTTGTGATAATCAGGAGTTATAGATTCTCGAGCAATGTAGATATTCTTTGCTTAATTCAGAGTAAAAAATTCTAGTAAGCGTCCTTGTTTTCCAGAAAGAGACGAAGAGGAAAATGCATAAAAAACTCTTAGCAAACAACTCAATCTTATATATGTGATAATTCTGCAGTTGGATATTGTAATCCTGTTGTTAGATGTTAGACAGAAATAAAATGGCTTTGTTCAGATCGAAGACGTTCTGGTGGGTACCTTACGTAAAAGAAATGAATCGGGTCGAGTAGCGCGTTGTCGCTAAGGCTAATGTAATGCTAATGCTTGCTTGTCGTTGTCGGTCTAGTTGTTTACGAATTCTTATAAACTCTGAAAATTGGATCGTCTGGGATCGTTGTCGAGTCGCTTTGAACGCTTGCACGAATTCTGTATGTTTTTGGATTGAATTCGAAAGTGATCGTAGCGCCTGATGTTTTTAAGAATCTTTGGCTGAGGAAAATTGGAAATTGATGTAGATCTTCGGCGAATGATCGTTTGCATCATTATTTTCATTGTCTTTCTCGTTATGAGGATCAGCGTGAACGGTGAGTGATCGTTTGTTTCTTCGGAACAACAAATGATCGCCATTGCGTGCTATCTCTCAACAAGTCTAAGCTCCTCGTACAACGAGCAGATAATTCTGCAAGCTCAGTTTTTCAGTTCTCAGGATGATCGCACGTTACTCCGAAACCTCAAAACCGATAGAGGACCAAACTTTCGTCGATCTGATGCCGCACCCAGTGTCTGTGGAACACCTCAATCTTTCATTTCATACATAAGCCACTGCCACTCCTCCTTTAGTTGTAGAACTCTCAACATGTCTAGTCCCTGAAGAAATTCTCACTTCGTAAATACAAACTCGTATCAATCGTTGATTTGCAACATACATTGCCACTGAAGGTCACGGTATAGAGTAGTCGCTCGTCCGAAGTCTGGATTAAACACCATCCATAATCGAGCTCATGACGACAGAGTTTGAATCATGATCGTATATTTACGTTGAGGAACAGAAACCAAGAGTGAAAAAAACCTAAATGAACTTCTTAATGCGCAAGAGTCTGCACACTCAATCAACGGGCAACGGCTAATCTGAGTCTTTTCATCTCCACCGCTATGAATTCATTGAATCAGAGTCACATGTTCGAAGTTAATGGATTGACCTGTATCGGACTTAACCTTAAAACTGCAAAAAACTGGAGAAATCGACGTGGAACCTTCCGAAGTTCATGCTCTTTAAGACGAATTGCAAAAAATCTAAAAAAAACATTCAACGTTGTACTAGTGGTCCGTCTCTTAATTCTAAATGTAAATCTAATTCTGCTCCGTAGGATTGAATCGTGATTCAACAAAGAGAGAGTCACTTATAAATATATACAGCGACTTTAGCGTCAAAGCGTCGCTACGTGCGTCTTTGCCAATGTTGCAAATTTTTCTGAGCTTTTGCATCAAAAATACTCGATGTTTTATCGAACGCCGAGCGTTGGGGTCGTCTCGCTCCTCCCGCGGGGTTAGCGCCTCCCTCTGCAACACCACCACTTGCTGCCCTACTTCGAGTTAGATTGAGGGCAGGTGGTGTCAGAGGCGCCATATGGGCGGGCACTAATCCTGCGGACATAGTGGTCTTCGTATTGGAGGAGGATGCTGATGACGCGCCTCCGCCATTCACTTCCACATGATTACTAGTACTAGTTGCTGTAACGCTAGCAGATCTTACAGCTGTTGCACTCGCAGTAGACGCCGCGGCGCCCTTTTTAGTACCTGCTGTACTACCATTGGTTCCATTGCTCGTCTGAGGCTGAATACCTCTTTTGCCTTCTCCTCCACCTCCGGATAGTCCCTCAGTACTATTTAGGCTGTTCGCAGTCGACCCTACTGCTCCTTTTCCGACACCTGCCTGGAGGAATTGTTTTGGGTTTGTGCTACCAGTTGCAGCCCTATTCTTTTTGCCGTCTGGTGGATGAGCAGGGTCAAATCTCGGAGACGTAATGCGACTTATCCCTCCCGCATCTTGTTCAGCTATGGACTTCTGCATACCTCGCTGACGCGAAGTTAAAGCCGAAGCCGATGCGCGTGATTGCAAGGCAAATAGAGAGGAAGCAGGTGGTGTTCTCACATGTTGTGGAAGACCAAGACCATGACTGCTTGATGATATTCCTCCTTGTCCTACTTGTTGTATTTGTTGCACTGGATGAGGGATAACTTGTTGTTGTTGAAGCTGAACAGTATGTGGACCAACACTGCGGACTCTTGTAAGATGATGCTGTTGTTGTTGATGATAACCACCAGCATGATTATGTAGAGCATGTTGTTGTTGACCCGCCATCATTTGAAGATGTTGTTGACCCGGCAACTGATGGAAGAGAGCTCGAGACGAGACACCACCAACAACACCATTAAGGGCACTTGTAAGACTCGTAATCCGAGGTGTTCCTTGCGCAAGCGACGGAGTGGCTAAATCCGGCAGTTGGTAATCGCTGCTGGAGCTTCCCGACAAGTTACTCCGGATATGGTCATCGTCATCCACAACGCCACTACTGTTGTGAGAAAAAGGATTTCCACTACTAGCGCCACTTCTCGATGACGTACGTCGTGTCATAGGATCACCCAATTGTTGAAACGAAGCTGCCATGCCTCCTATGTTTGATGCAACCGATCCCCCACCAGGAGTGATGATTGGTGAAGCTTGCGCATCTAAACCGTGCTGCTGCATCTGAAGATTGGTCATTTGCAAACTTAGAAGCTCTGGCTGTTGAAGTTGTTGCGCTACTTGGGGTTGACCTATCATCCGAGAAGTACGAGTCCTGCGCTGCGCCGCAAGAAGATGTGGCTGAGGCTGTTGCTGCTGCTGGCGCTTTGATGTCCGGGGCATGTAAACATCGTCGTCGTGTTCCTCAACCGCCTCATCTCCAAGAAGTACAATATCAGAATCTTCACTATCTTCATCGTCTACTAGTGAAGACTTTTTGTTCTTTTTCCTCTTCATCCCGTTTTGGCCCTTATACTTTGGCGCGGTGCTCTTTCTCACGCCTGAGCCCTTTGACTTGCCCTTTCCACTCGGCCGTTTTTTAGCGTGCGCTGCCTTTGCCTTCGGTCTGCCCCTGGCTTTGGGAACAGGAGGTGCTACGACGTTTGTTGAGCGGAGTGTTAGAGTGAGTCACTTGTCGTGCTATCACGAGTAACGAATTGAAATCACATAGATACACCTTTTCACTCTTTGCAAAACCAAAATCTTATTCAACTTAGAAATTCATCATAAACCAACTCTCTGCTCTGCTGGTGGACTGAACATCTGGGCTGTCTTGTGAACGACATTCGGATTCGACCCAGTAGAGCTTCTCGCAGATTTCCGTACTTCAGCTCGTCGTCTTCGCGCGTTTGGATCATTTATGAACATTCCACTACTTCCTGCGAGAAGTGAAGCAGGATGCTGAGCTACCAATGCTGGCGAGGGCATTTCTCCTATTGAGGTGCGGATGTGACCTTGAACACTCTGATGCGGCATTAAATGTTGTTGTGGCTGAAGATGAAGAAGAGGATGCCCTGGAGCTGCGAAAGCGCTTGTGGAGGATGGATTGGCTGCAACCAGTGCATTTATTGAAGGAGATTGCAGCTCCGATGAACAAGGTGGTAAGGATACAAAGTTTCGACTTCCGTGCATGTTGATTGGCTGCATTGGGTGAGTATTTTGCTGGGCATGCACGAAAGTAGTCCCTGAAGCAGCTGCTAAGTCCGGCGAAATGAAGAACCCGCCTACAGCTGCACCGGGATTCAACATGCTTACTGCAACAACAGGACTGGCACCGTTTCTTATTCGTTGCGCGTACTCCCTGCGCGAGTGCTCCAGCATGGTAGCAAGCGGCGGGATTCCTTCGATAGTTGCAATGACATTGTGAAGTTGACGGGTTGATGTAAATGTAGATCTATCTCCTCTAATTTGTGGCTTTGTCGAAGTGGTCGCTGTCTCCACAGCGAGTAATTCGCTCGCGACTCCTTTAAATGATCGCAAACTGAACAAGAGCTGTTGCAGGTAACGAGACAAAAAGCCATTGAAAAATTCGTGGGAATCTAGCTCGCAGAGAAGTGCTATCGCTCTTGCCTGGTCCTCTGCCCTTGTTTCTTCACGCATGCGTTTTCTTTCAAGCTCCTCTTCATCTTCCTCGTCTTCCATCTGTCCTCTCTTCGGTATAATTGATAGATGCCCATCCGCCCCGACATCAATATCTTCATCACTAGTATCTGGTTCGTTCGGGTCTTGACAGATCTTCTTTACTCTATCAACCATGTCTTTGGATATTCGCTCTCCTCGAGATTGTCCTCCTTGGTGCTGCTGCAGATCCTTGGATAACAGGTATCGGTCTTGCGTTGCTTAGAAGGAATCAATAGGACGTAGAAGTACTTACAATTATACTGCTCTGTCCTAAAACTAAAACAGACTCCACTAAAAATCATCACAATCTATTATGCTGCAGCCATCATTCAAATTTCTTCTATCACGTCTATCACTTCCCTGCTGAAGATTATGAAGAACAAGACTTGAAGATGAACAAATCTAGAACTTCATAACTCGACAGGCCATTCCGAGGTATGGTCGTCTGATCTTTCCAATATTGCCAGATTAGTGTGTGTGCTCTATTGCAGTCGATATCCCACACCTTTTCTCCGTAAGACCGGAACTTTATCATCTGAGCTTCAAAAAACCTGCCTCCAGTGGACGACGTTCCTGTTCGTTAGCGAGATGAAAGTGCGTAGTACACGATGACAACGAGAAACTAAAACAGGAGACACTAACACGATAAAGCATAAAAAAACTCAAATCTAATTCTAATCATTACCATATCGCGCTTTAAATTTAATCTGGTACGTTTTCCTCCGGCTGTTCCCTGCTGTTCTCTTCGGTGAAATGGCTTCCCTCCGAGCATCCACGCTGCGTGACAGTAGTAATAATCGAAAAATTTTGGAACGTCCGGCTTTGGATCCTTGGTTTTTCCTCCTTTTGTTAGAGTAGTCAATAGCCATCTGCCAATGTCGACGTAAAAAACCCGCGGGCGTGTGTTTGTATTCTCCTTTGTACTAGTGGATTTGGATCTCGATGATAGGTAAAATCTCTTTACTTGAAAAGTTTTGCCTTGGTTTTGATCGTTTAATTTTGAATTTTGATTTTAGATTTTGAATTTTGGTTTTAAATTTTGACTTTTGGTATTAAATTTTGACTTTTGGTTTTAAATTTTGACTTTTGGTTTTAAATTTTGACTTTTGGTTTTAAATTTAAGGGTTGAATTTGAGATTTGAGTTTTGAGCTTTGGGTTTTGGTTTTGAGTTTTGGTTTTGAATTTTGATTTTGAGTTTTGCGTCTTGATTTTGAGTCTTGATTTTGAGTCTTGATTTTGGGTCTTGATTTTGAGTCTTGCTTTTGAGTTTTGATTTTGAACGCGAACTGTGAAAGTTAGGGCACGAATTGCGAAAGTTAGGGCATGAATTGCGAAAGTTAGGGCATGAATTGCGAAAGTTAGGGCATGAATTGCGAAAGTTAGGGCATGAATTGCGAAAGTTAGGGCATGAGCTGTGGAGTTAGGCCATGACTGAATTTTGAAACTGAAAGTTAGTACGCGAATTCTGAAAGTTTAGCTAGGGCACGAATTTTGTAAGAAAAAAAGTTAGGACATGCCGAATAATTGCGAAAGTTCGGACATGAATTTTGAAACTTAAGTCTAAGAAATGGGTTGCGAAATTTAGGACATGAATTTTGAAAAAAGTTAGAGCTGCGTGAATTTTGAACAAAGTCAAGACATGAATTCCGAAAGTTACCCAGGGTATGAATTTATTTTGAAAGTTAAGACACGAAAGGAAAGAGCTTGGGAAGTTTTTCGGGGCATGAATCTTGAAAGTTGCTTAGGGCGTGAATTTTGAAAGTTAGGACATGAACCCTGGAAGTTAAGGCAAGCATGGCCAAATCTTGAAAGTTAAGCCATGCATTTTGAAAGTTTGTTAAGGCGTGAACTTTGAAGGTGAAGCCATGAACTTTGAAAGTTAAGCCAAGAACTCTTTGAAAGTTAAAGCGTCTACGCACTTGCTGTGCCCCGCTCTCCTCTCCCCCCAAACCCTGGGCGTGCGCAGTTCCAGGCGTGAGTTTCGAAAGTTGAGGCCTCCGCTTTGGCGCCGCGCTCTCCTCTCCCCGAGGCCCTGGGCTCGCGCTGCCCGATGGTGCGAGGCTGCGGCCTCATGCCGGCGCGCCGCTTGCTTGCGTGCAGTCGCGTCACTTGCTTGCAGCGCCGCGCCCCGCGGGCAATGCCCTAGCCCTAAACCTCTGAACCCCCGCGGACCGGCGTGGCCGCTGAGTGCCTCAGTCCCCAGCGAAAAAATTCCCACGGCGTGGCATGTGCCTGCTTATGCCTTCCGCTTGAAGATAGGCCCGCGGGCGCTTCTACCCCTACCAGGCGTCCACATATCCCCCCGAGGCAAACGGCGCGCACTCATAAGGCTCGCCGCTCCGCAGCAACGCGCCCGATGACGCCCCGCCAAGGCTGACACTTCTTAGGCTTGTTCCCAATTGTGCCGCCAGTTCAAGCATGTTCGTGCGTGTGTTTTGTCTAGCAAGTGTCTAGGGTTCCCATCGTATCCTTTCCTTCCCCAGGGGAATCACACCAGGGGGCTAGTATATGCTCCAGTATTCACTTTTCCATTCTTTTCCAACATTATGTATCACGACACTCAATTTGCGGCGCTCATACTGACAACGAGCATAACTTTGAGTTTCTTGCCGACAATTTCCCTGCAGCGTTCATCCCGTGAAGCAAAGCATAGCCGAGGAAGTCTTCCATCGTGTTTTGCCCAAGTAGTTCTGTAAGAATTTCCGCACATTTATCAACCAATTTCTCTGCCAGGTAACTGAGAAGGCGAAAGGAAGGTTAGAGTGGGGCGATCGTTCTTTATTTATGAAGTAGAGTAGTTCATGATTTTTCGAAGGAGTTAACCATGCGCATGGAACTGGGAGAACATCAATCTGTAAATAAAATGGTCAATCTTCGCGTTCCTGACACGCCTTAACCAGCATCTTTTCTGTTGCGGTACCGCAGCCGCAAAGGGCCAGGTATTGGTAGTGCGCCTTCAAAGAACTCTCCACTCATGCGAGTCGAGAGTATCCGATGAAAATCAGCAGCCGAACGCATGTACGTGTCGAAGAGCTCTTTTCGACCTAGTGGAGATAACAGCTCACATCCAAAATCTCGTGACAAAACTCCTTTGATGCTGAGGAGGTCTTTGCGCTGGATAAGAAAGCTTTTCGCTAGCTCGGCAATCTTCGAAATCAAGTCAGGCTTTTGAAATGGTGTCAGGCCTTGTTCGAGAAGCAGTTTGAAATGCTCGCTTTCCAGTCGAGCATGGAGTCTTGGTGTACTCGGCACTGACTGAGATAAATAAATATTAGAGGAGTTCTCGAAATATCTACTTATGGTAAAAAATCGTAGTTCTCATTTCCTATTAAAGTTCACCTTCAGTTTCTCATTCTCAAAAAGTAAGCAATCGGGAGAACAAAAATAGAAATACTGAGGAAACCAAAACTACTTGGCGATGAATCATCCCACTAGCCTTAACCGAAGGCGAAGATGTTTTCTGCCGCTTGGGTTCTACACTTGCTACAACTGAGTTCCCTGGTATGTTGCACACCAATGTAGACCCTGGCTCTGACACAGGGTTCACATCTCCACTGTTACTAGAAACGTTGGACGATCGTCTACGGATTAGTTGTTTCTTGGTAGTGTTGTTGTTCTTAGAAGTGTCGTTGCTGTCTGGATTATCTTCAGCTCCCGTGTCGCCTTGTTCATCATCATTTTTAGCTTCAGCACTGTCTTCGCTCATTTCGACGTCTTTTCTTGCAGCTAGCTGTCCAAAAGCAGCGAAGATGTCATTCGCAGGCTGCTTTGTTGGTACAACATCAGCAGGGGCTCCTGTATTATTGTGTTCTTGAGCGTTAGTACTAGCAAGTGCAGGTGCACGTGGTGGCTCCTCAACCTCAAAGGACACTCGTCTCCTTGCCGTGGAACTTGAGCTACCACCAATTTGCTCGTTTTTGAAAGGAGTTCGGCGTGGCTGTGGTCCCGGACGTGAAGCTGACTGTTGCGTTTCAGGCACATAAATCTCACAACCATTGGGACTGGAAGGCGCTTGTTTCAACTTACGATACTTTAGCTTCTCGCGTGGCTGTAAAGGTGGAGGCTGTGGCTGTACAGAAGGTATTTGCAGAACTTTTTTAGTAACAGAGGGAGCTTTTTCATTCTTAATAAGATGTTGACGCAGTTCTTCCTTTTTGTCAGCTAATCCTAAGCCCTCATCTAGTACTTGTTTCGCAAACGAAGGTGAGGACAGGGCAGCTGGACTGTCCAGAAGATGTTTCTTGTTCTCTGACGTCGTCGGCTCGGGCTCTGGTACTGGTTGTGCCACAGAGACGGTCATATTCTCTCGCTTTTCGTCTTTCTTCTTCTCCTCCTGTGCTGCTTGTGGCCGCTCCATGATCTCCACTGTAGAAGGTCGTGGCCGAGCCTTTTGTATCGGAACAGCAGGCGCAGCATCAAGCAGCTTTCTGAAGCGCACGGGGGAAATTATAGGGTTCGCTCTTTCACCAGAAGAGCCATCGACATCTAGCCCGGATGAGGTATCGCCTCCTTCTGCACGTCCTACAGTTGTCGAATTATCGCGTTCGTCTGCTGAAGAAGCTATGGCTGTGTTCTTCTGCCCGTTCAATGGCTTTGGCTGGTGAGTCTTTCCACTACCGTTTGCTTTAGTATCTCCCACCTCAGCGCCTTCGTCAGCGAACAGTGCGCACTTTTCACTCTCACTCTGGTGCTTTTCTTCTTCTTCTTCGTCGTCGCTGAAGAGAGTGCACTTGTTGTTCTTTGGAGGTGGCTTTCTCTGTTCTTTCGGCTTCTCTGGCGTCTCCTGAGACATCAGGATGTTCGCGTTCAGTGTCAAAGCACCACTACCTTGTGTCTCAGCTTCTCCTTTTGCGGAGTCGGTCCTAGGCTTACCCTTTGGCTTTTGTTGCCGTGTTTGATCATCAAGGTGATGATCAAAAGTCGTTTTAGCGGTTCTTTCGTCTACTTCTTGTTGAAGTTTATTGTTATTATTGTTCGCTGTGGAGCTAGAAGTCTTGTTGGACATATTTTCCCTCATCGTCTTCCTCTGTGCCCTCCTCTTGCTCAACCTTCGAACTTGAGTCTCTACTTCAGCTTTAGTGCCAGGTGACAACGAATCCGGCAGGGCTTGTCCTGGGTCTAGCGTTTTCATCTCCGTGGCATAGTCGAGTATTGCAGAACGCTTTTCTTCAGAAGTAGCATGAAGAACGCCGTCTACTCCACTGTGGTCTTGTTGTGCTAAACGCAAACCAGCATCGAGTTTCCTCAGAGCCCAGGTTTGATAACAGTGAACTACCTGCTGAGCAGTGTAGAAGCGTTCGAGCATGTCTCGCAGCTTGCGGTCTGCTGGCGTACCTTCTAACGTGCGCTCCACGTTCTTAGTTGCTGACTGGACCCACTTGACACTCGTCACGCAAACGTCGGGAGGACACTTCGCATTCAAAATTACCTTGGGGATCTGTGCGCGAAGCAGTGTCCCCGCTGCGTCCTGCTCGAAGTTGTACAGCACCTTGTGACTCAAAGTCTCTGCCGTAGCTAGCCAGGCAGCAAGATCAGCAACATCCGCTGCAGAGGGCGCCTGTACACCTGCAGCTGCTGCTTGACCAGTTGAAGTAGTGGAACCTTCTTCCAACTCCAGATGCGACGAAACTTTTTCTACTTTCTCTACTACTGACTCCAGACTGGTCTGCCATGTTTTGCGCTTTACACGCACAGCTTGATCCCTTGCAGTTTCGTAGGCCAATACAAAATCGCGAATCTCCTTCATAGGCAACATCTCCAACGATTCTGAGGGTAGACGTCGGGCTTCTGTCGTTAGCGAGACCGCAAACAGATGATCTTCACCGAAATGAAGATCCAACTTGTAGTCCGATTTCGCTGCTGATAGTACTGCGGGAAGCAACTGCGTTGTGAGAAACGTGCGTGCGCCTGCTTGTAGCTCTCGCGTAACCGTAGCAACAGTAGAGCTGAGTCCCTGTGTCTGCGTTCGCACACGCGGCAACTCGGTGGCACGCTGCAGTGGAGTCCCGCGAGTGTTACGGCAGTAAAACCAGCGGAAGATACATGTCACAGCACGAGCACGTTCGCACAGCTGATAAAACTGCCATAAAGCAAGACGCCAGGAGGAACCTCCATTATAGGAAGCTCCAACATTAGGTTTATTTGCAACACCAGTTGTATTTGAATTGGTCAGAGCGTTGTCAACTAGAAGTGACTTTCGATTCTCTTCGCGATTGGCTGAGAGCACGGCTTCTGCTTCTGCCTCCCCTATGATGGCATGCTGCCTTTTCAAAGTTCCACTACGCCGCGTTGTTCCAGTGCTAGTCTTCGAGGATGAAGATGAAGAACCGGCTACTAGTGATGAGGTAGATGTGGAAGACGAAGAGTCTGCGTGTTTCTGTTGCAGCGTTGGCGTCTGTTGAGCAGCTGTAAAGGTCGAGCTCATTCGTGATACGATGTTTTGAAGTGCATTTCTGAAAACTTTGCACATCTCATTGTGCAGTGCCTCACTGTTTTTGACGTGCGTGCTTTGTCTCATTTTATCTCGTTCATCCCTCGGAGTTTCGGTTGGTGCGCTCTCCAGCTGTCGCTTCCTATTCTTCTCTTCGCCCCACTCTAGCAAAGCGTCAAAATTGGGATCACTGAAGTCTGCCTTCAAAGCCCGTAATTCTCGCATAAACTCAGCTATGTCTTTGCGATCCGGAGACCCAAAACTGTTTAAAATGTCCTCAGCCAAGTGACACTCATCTCTAACAGCTGCTGGAGGTTGTGTGGAACTTGAAGTGGTAGTGGAGGCAACAAGATTTCCTGTAGGAGGGCGATCACGCGGGTGTGAAGGGTTCGTGGCGGAAGGCTTCAACTTACTTCCGGTGTCGTTTGCTTGCGCTGCAGAGAACTCGCGAGAGCACCTTCTGCAATGCAGATATTCTACAAATGCTCCGCGCTCTACAGATTCTGCACTGATGCTAGATGACGTAGAGGAAGAGCTGCCCCCGACTTGTAAATTCGATGCTTTAATAACAAGTTGTAATGAAGATGAAGACGCAGTTGCTCCTGATTGAGACGACGCTTGTTGTTGTTGTTGAGACGGCTTAATAGTGTAGCTTGTGGTCTGACTCGCGTTGAACGACGCGAGCCTAGGGCGTTTAACAGGAGGTGCACCCTCTACTTCGTCATCCACACTATTAGCCCGCCCGCCAGCGGAGGCGTTCGTGTAAAGCACTCGACGCAATAAGCTCCAAGCTTGCGAGGGCTGAGTTGTCGGGCTATCTTCGGATGAACTCGCTGCAGCTGCTGGAACAATGCCTTTAGTATTAAGGTTGCTTGTCGTACCGGGTCTCGCAAGTCCTCCTCTAACTGCAACCGCACTAGACGCACAGGCCGCATCCCAAGTTTCGAATTCAGATAGAGTCATGCGGGTGAAGCTGGCGGCGAGACTCGACAACTGTTGCGCGCGACTTCTACTCGGACTACTAGAAGATCTAGTAGAAGATGAACATGAAGCACTTCCACCCATCTGTTCTGGTGAAGCTGAAGGAACGTAGCCACGCTTTGAGTCCACAAGCCATTCGAGTGAAGCTTTGACTGTGCTAATCCTGATTATCAGACGCTGCGACAGGCTATCGTGTTCGGCTTTCAGATACAGTCTGATGGCACGTCGAAGATCAGAACTTTCCTGTTTCAAAGCGGCGAAGTTGGAAAATTTCTTATCCAGTGTGCTTCTGTGGGAAAGCTCGATAACTTCATTCTCAAGTTTTGCTAGCTGGGCAAAGAAGGGCTTCGTGTTTCTATCTTGTTGAGAGGAAGAGGAAGTGGGTTCTTCGGTACTCTGAAGTTTCTTCTCCAACTCCTCAAGTCGAGATCGCAGCGCTTCATCAGTTAAAACTGGAACTCGATCTAGTACTTGCCCATCAGCATCTTGTTCGTTTTCGAGACCAGCAATACTCAATGTACTACTATCTGCTCTTGATGAAACGAATGAATTCATCGTGTCATCTGCTGACTTCATCGAAGATTCTCTCGTTTGCGCATCCAGCAATGTCCTGACCAAACCCATCCTTCGCACTTGTTCACGAACTTCGTCCCATTTTTTTACATATTCTTTTTCTTGAAGCTGCTTCTTGATCTGCGGCACAAGGTTACAGGCCTCCGCTCTGATGTCTTGGCGTACATTGCGCCCACAGTCCGTCAGAGCTTGTTGAAGCGTAGTGACGTCTTCTGGTACCACGGTTCCGTTGTCCCTCTTCGCTTTAATCTCAGCGAGTACGTCTTGAAGAAGTTTGTTTTTCAGAGGAGCGGCGTTAGTGCTGTTGGGTGTGTGATTGAAGGCGTGGCTTTCTTGCCGGTTTCCTATTCCAGCATGATTTTGATTCCTTCCCGGTGCATGAGAAGAAGAAGATGCCGCAGGAGCTCCACCGTCACGTCCGAAGGGCCCATCACGATTAGTCGGGAACCCGGCTGCAGCAAGAAGTCTCAAAGACGCTGGCTCACCACGGAAATTCCTCGCAGGTTCGTTGTCGCGCGGAAATCTTGACGGTGTAGGCTGAACTCGCAATGACCGCCCAACAAAGGGCTGCGCTCCTCGTCCCCGCGCACCTGTGTTGCCCATATGATTAGGATGGTAAGGGTTCTGAATCTGAAAGAGATTGCCACCACCTGCTACTTGGAGTTCGTCAACTGCTGTGCTGTTGTACTGGTTCAAGAGCTCTGTCTCCTTCTGCAGTTTGTCACGGGACAAGCGCATGAGTTTATTCTCAATCGTTCTTCGCAGAGTGTCAGGGCTATCTTGAATGCGCGCTCGGACGATGTCGGAGAGCTCAGGACTGAGTAGCACTTGCCGTTTTCCGTTCACACGACATACAAAGCCTTTCCCAGCAGCCTCGTTGTCTGCGCGTAAGGATTCGAATCTTGTGTCTAGTTCCACCATCAGAGCCAGAGCGATCCACAACTTGGTTTGCTCAGAAAACATGCGCTCCAACTTGCGATGCGTTTCATAGTCGAGCTGCGTGCTCAGTGCCGCTTGTTCCGAACCGTTTTTGCTAGGTTTCAGAAGGAAAAACTGCAGGACGATCTCCCGTTCTGAAGGATGAATACCTACACCCAAATCCAAAATGAACTGCGCAGCTCGCCAACTTAAGACTGCAACAGAGTTGAACTCATGTAGCGTCAATTTTGTTGGCGACTGATTCGTACTAGTAGACGATGCTGACCCTACTGGTTTAGAAGAAGAAGATGCCGCGTTGTTATTTGCTGTAGACGAAGAAGCCGCGCCTCCATTCTCCCTTGGCGATGCCATTAGTCCTTTCGCTCTTCGTTCGGCCCTGTCGACCAATTCCTGAATCTCAAGCAAAGTCTGCACAAAACCGGCTCTGTACGCTTCTCCATGCCTAGTTATCCGCTCAGTCTTGGTACCTCGTTCCCTCATTCTGATTTTGTCGAATGAAATCACGTCTGCGAAGCGGCCATCTCCACGATTTGTGATCACGATACTGCCATGTGCATAATGCGTCGCCATGTGGTAAGGATCCTTCCCAGACAAAGTGCTGGCTGTTGTTCCATGTTGTCCGCCTCTATTTGAGTTTGTAGCGTTCGCGCCAGCACTAATCGCACTTCTATTCGTATTCTTACCGCTACCGGATGCAAGAGTTGCGTTATTTCCCGAAGAAGATGATGTTGCTCTACTTGCTTTCGCATTCGAAGATGCTGAGCGACCGTTCCCGGCTTTCACATTCTCTTTCGAAGAAGATGATCGCTCCTTGCTAGACTTCTTCTTGGCACTTGATTGCTTCGTTGGATGACCGACTTTGTTGTTCTTAGCTGCACTACTAGCCGGAGTTTTCTGATGTGCTCCGTCTTGTACTGTCGTCATATTCAGCACCTCTCCACTTCCTGCTCTAGGTGTACGTATTGCCTCTTGTGGCGATTGCGGTTGTTGGTCATTTGACGTAGACACGGCTGCTCCAGGAGGTGGTGGCTTTGTGCGTCCTAGATTCTCTAGCACTTTATCGATGGTCCATCTTTTCTTCGGGTCGTGGTGGGTCATGGATTCAAACGTGTCCTTCGAAAAGCCTAAAGCCTTCGCAATCTGCGTCATCATCCCTACCATCTCGGAGTCGCGCGCACGTATTTTCTTGTAGAAGAACTCTTGATGTCTTTTTCTCTCTTTCTCAGACTCCGTAGTCTCTTTTACCTGGCTGCGTTCCGGCTTCCATTCGCGGTTGGGGTAGAACATCTCGAGCATGAGAACGCCGAAACTGTACATGTCGAGAGATCCGTAAGGAGGCTGAAAATTCAGACGGTTCTGCGGTACAACGCATTCGTCTGGGACTGAGGAGGGGAAATAAGTAAACATTTCTTGACCCAGTAGAAGTAAAGGTACTTAAGTGGATCATGTTGTAGATGTAGAATGGAATCAGAAATAGAAGAGGATGAGGGCCTACATTTCAATCTATTACTCTATTGCTCCATTGAACAGTAAAAGTAAAGACTTCGAAAAGTACGCCAGTAGCTTCCAGGGTCCGCGCTGACGGCGACAACAGGACTACTCGACTTCTCGTAATCTTCGCAGGTGCGGATCATTAAGCCGTAGTCTATGATTTTCACAGTCCCCTCGTGATCCCCACCACCTGCCGCGGGTGCCTGTTGAGATTCTTGCTATGAAGACACGTCGAATTGTCATGACAATGACACTGAGTAAAAGTAACAGTCTCTTTGGAGGACTCAACGCGTCAAGTCTATAATTACGCTCACATCATCCTAGTCAATGAACTCTATGAATGTACCTTAACCCACATCAAATTCGCCATTCGAAAATCCCTATGAGCAATCCATCCGTAGTCTCGACGAAACGACGCTAGATGCTTGAGACCGATTGCGCACTGGTTTGCAGCTGAGCGAATTTGGTCAAAAGTGAAACCACTCCGCAGCTTTTTTGAGCGAAACCGCCAACCGTGAATAAACTCCATCACGATGTAGTCGATTGCATCTTCGTCTTGTTTCGAAATGCCACTTCCTCCAGCGTCCTCGGACATCGCGACTTCTCCTCGTCGTACTGTCTTAGGCCAATGGTGCAGTTGTGATTCTAACTTCCTGTCTTCCATTAGGGTGTTGTTTTTGTGCACCGTGTGGTCCTCCAGCACCCGAACGAAGTTTGGATGGTGGCCTTTGGCGTGGATTTTTTGTGACCAGGAGTATTCGCGGTGAAGCATGAAGACAGGAGCTGTGTTTTTCACAAACTTCGTGATTTTGATGGCTCGAACAGGTCGGGCCGGATCCTTCATGTCGCGAGCCTGATGATGCAAGTCAGTAAGAATCCTAGTTAAAAACGATAAAACCGTAGTGCGTATAACTGAAACAGACTTACCCCTCTTCTATGCATCATGATCAAATCAAAATGTAATGTTAACAACATCCAAAGTTCTCGTAGCCTCTCAGTATCTTACCTTAATCACGTATCCATAGCTGCCCTCCCCGACCCGGTCCATGTAGTCCCATCTCGCATCGGGACCGTTCTCCCCATTGCGGTTCCATTTGTGCGGATATCCACGCGCTTCGTCGCCACCTCCCATCTTCGGTCAGGATTGGTGGCGGGTCACGATCCCCACACGCATACACACGAAATCACGGCTTTCGAGTTATACGCGACATCAGTCGACCTGACTCTGCAGCTTCCATCAAAGTCGTGTGCCAGTCCGTCCTCACAGCTCCCTCCGTGCAGTATAGGAGGACACGGCATGGAGCTTGCACTGTCAACACACTTCCTTTCCGTTAGTGAGTACGACGTTTTTCCGAGTCATGAAATTATCGGTCCGGTCAGTTATTCGTACTTTCTTATTCGTACTTGCAACTTCAACGTCTACAAAAGAGGATATGGAGTGGGGATTTTGCACATGGGGAGCACTAGAAGCAGCTTGGGGAAAATTTTTGAAGTTTGGATGATGATGAGGCGTTCTACCTAGCTATATGCAATGAGTGGGCTACCGAGCTAGGTGGGAGGCAAATGGCCAGGCTCGCGGAAGCTCGAGGATTGCACGCAGCGGAGGGCGTGTGAGCTATGAGTGCGACAGCCTGGCACAAGCTGCCGACGAGGACGCGGCTCTTTCGAGGTTTTGCTCGAGGCCCCGGGGGAAAGTGGTTGATTAGTAGGAGCTTCTTGCCACTAGGTTCCGGGTGGATGCCGCGATTTGGGGATTTTGCACAAGCGCTCGAAAGTTTTTGGCTTGCCTCCTGGAAAATCATGCTTGTGCAAAATCCCCAAATCGCGATCCCCAATTTCTATCCCCACTAGATGACGCATTTGGGGATTTTGCACAAGCACCCGGTTTTTCGTCTCAAATTTCTCGCGAGCCTCAGAAGTCTCCAGAAATTTGAGACAGTCCGAGCCCTCCTGTCCGAAGGGCAGGAAAGAGCGACAGGCCTGGCCATGGAACGGCAAGCCAAGCTCCGGGACATCACACGAAGCAGCAAAAGAGGGCGATCTGCGTCAGCGTACTGCGTCAGCTGTCTCGCCAATAGCCACACTCCCGCCACCTGCATTCTCCAGCTGCCGCGATCCTTTCAGGCCGCGCGCCTCTCTACTGAATAGCTTGGCGAGCTAGCGAAACTGCCCGCCTTTATCTACCTTTTCTGTTCACGAATTTTTTTTTTTTTTCGAGCAGGCTGCTATTGGTCCCCATGTGCAAAATCCCCATTCCATAGAGGAGCGGACGCGGACTACTGTACTTATTCAAATAGCGTCGATCTTTTGTCACGCACGCACGTTTTTCTCCTACCATTTTTGTACATTATCTACTGCATCATCACACACCTTTCCCAGCCGGCCTCTCATCAAGCCACAGATCTAGGGATGGGACAAGTACAATTAGACACTTTGTTAGTTTCTTCAAACAGATGAGTGGTCACAGTTTCCTTAATTTCTTGTACAAAGTTTTTATCTCTGCCAAGCGCCTTTCGCTATCTTAGTGAACAACATTGCAACCGGCTAAGGCTGTACATTCGCGCGCAGAAGCGGACGCGCGGGCGGTTCTAGCGATGTCTTCTATCTTGTTCGTTCAATCCACATATCCAGGGATAAATGTTTATATATGTACCCTACAGATCGGGAGCGCGTCCCCCCCTTTTCTTTTTGCCGTTCTCTTCCACCACTGTGCTGCGCCACAGCTCCATCCACAGGGGGGGGCCTCCCTGTCCCTCCTTGGTGCATATATGATTATCGGGTTTAGCGATAGCAAACTCGGGTAGGTCGCTCGCTTTTTGGGAATACAACATTCACGAAAAGGGATGAATCTTTTCATTTGCGGCGTGCTAAAGAAACACAGCCACAATCACATTCAAGACAAAGAGGACAATTATCAGCCCCCACCAGAAACACAAGGATCCGTCCTTATCGATTTCTCGTATAAGTTGGGCTGTGGACTTTATCTTGTTCTGGCTGTCGTCCATCTCGTTCCCAAGGCTATCTAGCAACCCATCCTGATGCTGGACTTCGTTGTATATCTCGCCGCCGATATGTTTGAGGTTGGATACCTAGTTGTAGTTGGTTCATTCTTGCGTTTGTCTCAATGATCATACCTGAATGATTGATCCTGAATATGAAACGAAGGACATCAACATCATGAAAAATTTTAGAGGCAGATGCTAGAGCTAGACCAACTAATTACCGTTCCCGCCAGCATATCCAATCCCTGGTCTTGTTCTCGGAACATTTGTTGTTGGCCTCTATGATGCATCGGTGGCGATACAGGACCTTCTTCGATGTCTCTTCTAGGTGGACCGCCGCCAGCTCCAGGAGAGGAGTTGTTACTTCTCCCACCAGCTAGAGTTGGATCTCGCATCTCGAATTCCTTACTAGGTGACCCAGTCCCTCCACCTGTAGAAGACGAGGAAGCGCCTCCTCCAAGCAGAAACTCTGTTGTGTTCCGTAGGTATTGGCCTAAATCACTCGTCCCACCTCCAGGACCTGCTGTTGAATTAGAGGAGGAACTGCTGCCGCCGACTTGTTCACATCCTCCATTCCTCAAAGCACCAACACTACCTCCTCCTCGACTTCTCGGCGACTGCAATGCTTCTAGTTCAGACTGCAAGTGAAATATTAGTTCCCCTCTTCGTTGTAACTCTGGACGGGAGAGTTGGTACGCTGCTGGTTGCTCAGAGTGCTGATAAAGTTGTCTCTCCAAATGTCGCAGTGTCGTCGCAAGTCGCTGTCGCTTTTGTGGCTCCGGTGCTTTGGACGATTTTAGAGCGTTCAAGTCAGCGGCGAACTTTTCGCAGTCCCGCGACCACTGTTCCGCATTACGGGCGCTCATTTTTTCGTTGTGTTTGGATGTACTTAGACGAGAATGGATGAGACTGGTAAGAGTTAAGAATGAGCGAAGAACTAGTAGTACCAGGGTGACCACACGATCATGCGAGCGAGTAATGCAGCCGTTATCGTCAAGCTTCTGGCCAAATTACTTCGATCTTGTGGCCTAAAATTTTATTCGAGACTGGATTTCCAAAGGCAAGTGATCAAGACTGTTTGCAACGGCACCTCGAACAGTCAAACCCACCTGTTTTATTTTTTGTGTGAAGTGTTCGCGTTTTTCACGGCAAAGACGCAAGCTCTGCTGCAGAGGCGTCCTTTTTTGCTGTCGGTTTTGATATCCACAACCACATGATGAAGATAAAGATAATCAATTTCTGCCAATGAGATGTTGGCCGCTTTATGTTACAGGTGCAGTCATCACATCCGAATTTGACAGGAGAAATAGCTCTGATGTCAGGCTTCCATCCACAAGCTGCATTTCCTTGATCATTCACATTTTCAAGATGGAACTCACTTCAGATGGAACTCACTGGACAAAAAACTCTTGACAGATGATATTTTTCTTGTTCTATACAGCTAGTCTGCCACTACCGTGGAATACGAATAATTCCCCTGTTCTACGGACTCCACTAGTTTTCCATGATGCAATGCTTTTCTGTACAGTATTTAGAACGTGAGAGATTATGAAGAACTGGTACTAAAACTGGATAGCGAATAAAAATGACCACTGACCTATGGTATTGACTTAATATCTGAGCCTGAAAATTATCTGCGCAATAAGATTCATATGACACGCTCGCTGTGATCTGCTTCTATAGAACAATATCTCTACATGTCTACGTGAAGAAGAAAAGCGAAACGAAGTTACTTATGGCTCCAAAACTTAAGAGCAGATGAATACGTAACAGGAAAATGACCATTTTTCACGTGAAGTAGAACTTCGTGATTGAAAAATTAATTCGAACTAAATGAGTCGAAACAATGATCTTGAGTGTACATTTTTATGCATCCATGTCTAGCATCTGACTTGCGTCGGTCACAATACTGTGTGGCACATGAATTCTGCCGCCTGATGGCGGCACATGTGTGACATGATCTCCATCGCGGTCTTCTTCGGGTACAGGAGATGGAATAACTTCGCCTGCTTGTTCATGATGCTCTAGTAAAACTTGGCTCAAATTGAAACCTGTGTTTTCGTGATTTGAGGCGTCTTCATCATGTAGCTCTTGTTGTTCGACGCTGCCTTTTCGAGGACGTGGCTCCTGTTGGTTGGAACCGGCAGATGAAGGCTTCATAGGAGTTATCCGATACCGAATCTGACTGTTAAACAGCAAAGGAAGCTGAAAATTCATCCACCACTCACAGAGCGTCGTTTATCTTCAAGTACGCTCAACGACAGATTGCTGAAAGGAAAAGGAATCTCTCAGGACACAGATTGGCATATCTTGGATGATCTCTGACAGCGATCATGTTCGTCGTGTAGTTTACCTACAACATCCTGCTTGGGTGGAAACATTCTGGATCCAGACAAACCAAGAAAACATTGGAAATAACCCTCATGTGTCATTTGATGAATGATTGCTCTTGCTCAGCAATGATCTATTACTTACTTGATGAAGGTCGATCTCGGTGTCTGATCCTTTCAACTACTCTCAAAAAAAACTGGCCGCTGATAGAAGGAAGATCTCTACTTTTTTCTCGCTCTCCATGCTTAACAGAGGGCTTTCACATTCCGAAAACGTCAAACCGAACGATCGTGATGGCCTGGTGCAGGTCTGTAGTCGGATGTAGTAGATTCAGCGGCAGTAACTGCTCTCAAAACTTCTTTCAGATTTGAAGATGTTACAAGGACTGCAGATCAGGAGCATTCGGTGGCCTACGCCGCCAGTGCTTGAATACACACTCACCGTTGCTTCATGTCCGTGCCTGAACGTGTTGATCCAAGTTGGAAGGACACCACGTCGTGAATAAGCGTCTTGCCTGACTCTCCCTACAGGTACACTACGATCAACCATTTTGTCATGAGTACGATCAAGTTTTTTGCTTCACTAATATTTGTGTTCAAAAAATAGTAATAAGGTTTAGCATAGACAACTAGAAGCCTGCTTCCCAAAGGACGACAGGGCTGCCTTAAATAGGTGCGGTCTTTCTCCTCACCTTGCGATATCCTACCAATAATTGTTAGGCCTTTTTAGTGCTCCAGTAAGCGTGCGCATATTACGATTCAGCACGATGATTTACTTACTAGTTGTCCTGATATAAAATCCAGGGCGAGCACAGCATTGATGTCAATGACGCAGAGTCGAGTGCCGAGCTTCAGCTGTCAAAAAATATATGCAATGCGTAGAATAACTTGTAAATAAATCTCTATACCTGTAAGAGATATCTCAAAGGATCACGACTCCAATCCTTGTCTCCCCACCACGTGCTGCGGCGTAAAGGGCTTTTACGCGTCTTGATTGTCAGTTTCTGTTTTTTCTTTGTTCGAGTGCGAGCAGTGCTTCATTCACTTTTGCATCGTTCAGGCCAACCATTTGCGTCCTGTCTTCTTCATTGAAGTTGTAACTCCCGCGATTCGTCTCGAACTTTTCCAACAATGCTGCAATGAGAGGAAGACTCCTGGTCCTGATGACACTCTCGATGTAGTTTCTGGTGAAGTCGCCAACAGATTCTAGAGTTTGTAATAGTCTAGCATGTAGTAAAGTATCCTCTGTGCTAGTCGGTCCCCTCACAGTGGCGGGAATGCCTCTGGCGCAGCTCCGTGTCGGCTCCATCGATCATTCGGCTCATGCTCGCTTGCCCAAACCGGAAAGTCACCCCATTGAGGCTCTTCGTCTTCGCCAATAACATGGCTCTAATCAGAGCCGGATTATCGGTGGCGACAACGCGGTCGATCATGTCGAATCGTCACACGAGTCCCCCTCTTTGAAGCATCGCAATTGCCGCCCGTGTTGCGCTGCGGTGCATTTTTGATTGAGCTGCAGCAGCGTTTTGACTCCCTTCGACCGCACAATTTATCTTCCCCGGAAGGGAGAATATGCGTTCCCTAGTCTCTGCAACCAAGCTCCAAGGGACTCTTTCAAGGCCGAAAATATCTGCCAGAACCTCAATCTCTGTACTAGTGCAGTGGTCCTCTGTTACTGCTTGTTCGGCTAGCGTCAGGAGCTCGCTGACATTTTGATCATGCAAATGAAAGCTCGCGCGCTTTCGTATTTCATCAAGTAGTGAAGTTATAGTTACTTCATCGTTATTAGAATTTTGCTCGGCCTCTGTCGATGTCGCGCTGGTGACGGCATCAACCTTTTCGGCAGTAGTTTTTTGGGCGGATTCAACATCTCCTTTCGCTTGTTCTTCGGCTAGATGCAAACTCGCAACGCGCCCGTGAAGGAACTTTAGGATCTCTATGACGAAGCTGCAGGAAGTAAAAATATCATGCGGCCAAAGAAATTCTTTCAGAAAATGCAGCACGAAAGTCGGGTTCTCTTCGCCAATGCCGAGGACGCCAACCAACGTCGTCTCTGTACTAGTGCGTGCTAAGTCTAATAGACTCTGTCGCACCTCATCCCCTCCCACCTCGAGCATTCGGGGAACGAGAGTGCTCGCTTCGGGGAAATCAGAAGTCGTCCAGTTCTTTTTCTTGATCTTTTCCAACATCGTTCTAATGAGAAACGGATTCGCGGTTTCGACAACGCTGGCGATGTACTTCCCCGTGAAGTCGCGCTTGTCATGTAGGACTTCTAGAAGTGTGGCATGCAAAGTATCCTCTGCGCTATTCATCTCAGAATGGCAATTCTTCTGATTCGCCTCCTCGTTAGCTACATCGAGCATTAAGCTCACGTTCTCTTCACTAAAGTAGAAAGTCCATTGGTCGTTTCTCCAGTATGCCTGAAATGAGAGCGAGATTCCTGGTCTTAAGGACGCTGTTAACGTACAGCCCGCCGTAGTCCCCGAATTCGCTGACGCCTAGGGTGCGTGACAGCACGGCATACAACGGTTCTGCTACGGTGCTCGACATCACGGAGGGGGAATGCCTCTGGCGCAGCTCTTCGTCGGCTACGTGGATCAAACTGCTCATCATATCCTTCGGGAAGTGTATAGTCATCTGGTTGCTGCCCTTGGTCATCTCTTCTAACATGGCTATGATACTAGTAGCCGGATTTCTGGTTGCGGTAACTTCGCGAATCACGGTGCTCAGCTTTTTCAACATTCCACCTCTTCGAGACATCAGGATTGCCGCGCGTGTCGCGCTGCGAAGCTTTTCTAATTGAGCTGCAGAAGCGTTACGACCCCCTTCGCCCGAAAGAGACACCCTCGCCAGAAGGGAGACTATGCGCTCCACAGTGGAATAGTCCAACGTCCAACTGCATCCTTCCAGGCCGATGAGATCTGCCAGAATCTCGAAGTCTGTACCTGTGCAGTGGCCTTCCATTACTGCTTGTTCGTCTCGCGTCAAGAGCTCGCTGACAAATCGATCATCCAAATGAGAGAGCGCGCGTCTTCGCACTGCGTCAAGCAATCGAGCTAGCTCCTCCGCAGTTGGCGTAGAAGTCTCTGCCAACGCCATCCGGGCGACCTCAATAAAGTAATCTTTCAGAAAGTGGAACACGAGATTCGGACTCTCTGTGAACTGACTGAGTACGCGTCGTAGCGTTTCCCCGGCTACCCCGAACCCGATCATCCGACTTGAAAAGCCCATTCGGAGGAGATCTGGTCTAACCTGATAATCTACGAGAAATCTGGTACTCTCCGCGACTCTGTTCTGACATGCGTAGTAGCTTGCTAAAAATTCGACAGCATGATCAGGCTCGAGGTACCCGAGTCCAGGGTTGTTTCCGTCAGGAAGCGGCATCTGCAACAAGTCGAAAAAAGTCCGGAGCTGAGTAGCTGCCGCTTCACTGTCGCTCGCGGCGCATTTTTGAGTCCGACCAACTTTAGAAATTTCACGAAGTAGCATTTCTTTAAAAGTAGTCAATCTGTTAATTGCAATGCATTGTTTGCATACCAATATTTCTTGCCAGAAGGGGAAAGCCGAGGATGGTCATGGTCATGCACTTCAGGTCTAACCCTTCCTGGTCAAGTTTGAAGCAAATCTTACACAGAGTCGGCTCATGGTAAGCACTTTACATCGCAGTGCCACTAAAGTTCTGAAATCGACACAGCAACGAGTCAAAAAACGATGAAACTCATTGAGAGAATAGACAGGCAAGTCTAGCGCATCATCATTATCAACACTGTTCTTTCGCGATGCATAATAATTCGAAAAGCTTCTGCTGGAAATTGAGTGGCGCTGCCGCTGGACGCACTCCCAATCTTAGCTGATGTATTCGAGCCCTCTCGAAAGCAGCCACGTGTCCTAGCTGTTGCTCTTGGTGCACCAGAGAAGTGTACAAATCACGAAGCTCCTTGACGCATTCAGAGAAGACCTGATGATTTGAATCTATTCGGCGAGCTGCTTAAGATTCAGAGAAGACCTAATCAGGACTATCTGGTCCTGAGAACGTTCCGCACGGCGGCAGTAGATCTAACACGAGCTCCTGTGCAAATGAAGGAAGCTTATGTTTTTTAACCAAAAAATTTCCTCGAAATTGCATTGCGTGTGCACCCAGGATGCAACAGGAGTGGAGGGCCACAAATGTGAGTGCGGAAGTGGCGCTGGAAAACGCCATCTTGCTAACGCACCCTCCAAATGTCTTGATGTGATTCGCCATGTTCTTAGTCTTCGCACCACTCCAATCCGATGTGAATGTCTGTGACTGAATAATTATCTTCGACAACGGATGGATCCAAACGATATTCATAAATTATATCAATACGATTGAGAATAGAATACACTTACGTGGTTGACTCTTCAGCAATGCAAGTGCTTTGTCAAGCCTATGACTAGTATGGCGAAAAGAACCTCTGACTATCTCGGAAAAGAAAGACAAGAGGGCAAATAATCCAAGTCTACGATTATGAACTTACTATTAGTCACAAAAAAGTTCAGTGCCCAAGAAAAACTTTCCAAGGGAGATGATAAAAAAACAAACTAAAAAATCTACAACCGAAATGTGATCATGAAGAAAAAATTAGCGTCAATCCATATACTCAATTATCACCAGCATATGACTTACGGGTGATGTTAGCGCTCAAACAAGGAAATCTGCCTTCCTTTCTTTACGACATGCTCAGATATTTGGAAATCTGTGGGGTCATTTTTCAGCATCCTAGATGCGAAACCGAAAGATTTCAAATCGCACAACAGTCACTATGAAGACGTACTTTTTTTTTAGAATTCCCTTTGATTCAATCTCAATATTCCCACTCACTGAAGACAGTTACCACATTGAATTCAAGGCGATTGTGCTTCAACATCTTGGATTGGCATGACTCAGATTCACCGAAGTTCTGTATCTATAATTCATCGGGCTGGCAAACAGCATTCAGTGCCGGCACATACATTGAACAAATCTCTGGCCACCTTCGGAATACCATGCAGCGTGAAGTTCCTTGTCACCATCAGAGAAAGAGATGCTATGAATGATTCTACCGTCTGCTTCCTCCTGATCAGTTGGAAGGACCTCCGTCGTCAAAGCCCCGGTCAACATTGGAGGACTGGCCTTATATACCACTGGGACTGCAACTGGTAAGTCAAGAAATAGTAAACAAGTATAGATCGACGATTACTATCAGCAGAGGTCGACGATACTAGTAATAGTAAAGGCTGATCGTGTACTAAGATGGTGGCGTGCTTTAGTCCGCATGTTCACCTCGCGCTGGTCCTGGCTGCTCCAAAGGACCCGTTTGGTATGCTCAATTGCGTCTACTTATTATCCCGCCACAAAGATCGATGCACTACTCCTCATCTTCGCCGCAAGAGTAAGAGTTCGAGGCCTTATTCCAGAGATGCGACTCCCTTTTTTTGCGACTGTGCATTGTCGCCTAGAACGCGGTATTACGTAGAAGCTTAGAATCTACTTCCAGGTCTTCTTCGACAATTTACAAACCTTGTCCACCGAGAATCATGTAGTGGCGCGGGTTTTCTCATACGTCCAGCTGCCATTGAACCGGACCTTCTTCAGCTCTTGCCATCCCCTGTCGTAGAGACGAGTAGTAATCGTCGGCTGATGGAGTTTACAACAGTTGCGTATTTTCATTAGACGTATTGTTCTCTTCCCTCTACTTTAAGGGCTGGTAGTGGCTGTTCAGTCACTCTGACCCACGTGCAACAGGCACTTGCATCCCTGCTGCAAACCCTTGAATGATTCATCACTGATGTTGAAATTTCTTGGAATATCTGTTGGAACATTGTTGTACTAGTTCCTCCTAGTAGAGCTTCTCGGTCAAAGAGATACCTTCGTCCACCTTGCATGTTAAATCAAAAAAACCATGGACAAAGACGCAGCACATAATCATTTTATAAATGTGACAAAACTACTTCTTCATAATTTTGGACTAGAGTCTCGACTACTTGACCCATAGCCGAAACCTGTTCCGCAAGTCGGTCTGTTTCTGCACATAATGCCAGAACTCGGCCCCCGAGATCCTGCCATGAATGCTCAAACTTGCTACCGTCGTGTATTGCACGAAGGACAGCAGCATACTTTCGGAGTTCAGAGGCATGCTGTTCGTGGTTCAATCGTTTAACATTTTTGGCATAACAAATTGCTTTGTCAGCAAAAAACAAATATTGACACTGTAAGCGCCTCGCTACAGTAGAGGCATGCAACAAAGCTAGATCATAACCATTATCTGATCATTGTAGCTTGACAAATCACGAATCATTGTAGCTTGACATGCAATAAAACGAGGTCACGAATCACGACTGCTTGTCAGTACCTGCAAGACATATTCTCGCTTGTCGGCTCGATGTAAGATAATATTGCTGATGTGTCGGTCTTCCTCGTGAGCGAGCGGCTCTATTGCTCTCCATTGTTCCCAGGGTTAGAATACTGAAGTTGGACGAAGAAAGTATGACGAGGAAAGTTCAAAAACTGGTTAACTCTCTTCATGTGCTTTGAGTCCTATTATAAATATATAATTTGTGTTTGTTTTTAAAGAGAAGACTTGGTGCAATTTCATGATCTTCCAGCATCCGCACTGGCACTTTCGAAGGCACGTATATATAATTATACACAATTCTACTAGGAAGACGGACAACGAGAAATGACATAATCGAGCGCCTGCATGCCTGGTGTTCTATGTCGAATCGCGTCCACCTTTGTTTCAAGGGCCCTCACGCGCTCGTACACATTGCTTGAATCGTCCTCGCCTCCAATAGCTTGTTCGCAGATTGCGAGGCGCTGCGCAAGACGCGCTAAAATCGCCTTCTCTTGCTCCTCGGCGGACGCTGGCGAAGCCAGCTGAGGATTCCTCCTGGTCTGACACCGAAGATCGAGTGTGCCAGCACTCATGATTGATTTTTTGATAGTTTTGCAAGAGTATGCCTTAGGGGGAGTATACCGCAGAAATGCAAACGCAGTCGTTGTGTCTAAAAAAAACAAGCCACTTTTACCATCCGTGGGAAATTGCCTAGAGTAGTTAGAGCTGCCGCTGCCCCTGCTACTTCGTGCCATAAGACTACACGCACTCGCATTGAGTCATGTCATGTGTGTGTTCCTGTTATGGCCATTCTCGACCACCGTAGCTTTTTTTTTTTGAGTTAGAACTATACGCCACCGCCCTGTTAATCACTTAAACATACCTGTTACATAATTAAACAAAATGACAGACTGGGGGCGCATAAGGCCGCACATTCGGCCACAAGTCTACATTTATCGGAGAAGCCGCACATTCGACCCCTGTAGAACAACTAAGGCGCAACCCGACGCAGCGGGGCCCCGAGAGCAAGTCAGCACACCTGCAGGGGTATGACACGCTGCGTAGAGACAGAATGGCAGTCAACAGAAGTTAACCCCCACAGCAAGTGTCCAGCCAGGCCAGAGGCAAATCCCTTAGAAAGGGTAGGAAAGACAGGTCGCTGAGCTGTTAGTCTAACCCAAATGGCGAACCAGAATTGGAACCCCTGCAAACCAAGGAAGAAGTCATCACGAACGACTTGCGGCCGAACAGGCGAACCTTACCGTCCAAAAGTGAACGTGCCAAATGACTCACGAAGAACGTAGTAACACGGACATCATCGAAACAGATCTCGATTCGGAATTTGGAATTCGAATTGAGCACATAGATCATAATTTTCTGCAAACCTGTCCATTTGTATATCCCCCACTGATTAACTGCACCGCTATAAGATGTTGCAACATATAAAACCTTTCCGGAACGCGTATGCAAACCTCATTTCTCACGCCAGCCAATTCCTTTTAATCACGACCAAGCACGGACCATCCTGTATCTCAATAACTAATATCCATGTCCTTGCCATCAGGATCAGGTGGAAAGACAAACATAAAAATTGAATCTGACAAGTCGCCTTCTCTTCCATGAGCTTGCGATCCACCACCAACACCTTTGACGCCCAGAGGCATTTCTTATCATGATCTTTCCCTTTTCATGGAACAACCACAGTCGACGTAGTGGTAGTTGCGAAATGTAGTTCTGCTTCTGTAGTCATATTCAGCGCTGTTTTCTCAGCATCCGGAGATGGGCATTTGACGCAAAAACGCGTGGGCAGCCAGCACTGCCCTGGCCGTCCACCCAGTACTGAGTCATTATTTGGTCCTCTCATCTTGTAAGCGTTCCAGCGTGACGAACATCGTGTCCTGCAGTTCCTCATCGCTCAAAAATTCCCATTTTTCATTGAGTATTTGTTGTAACATGCGAGTCAATGATCTATTACGGTGCAACTGCTTGCTACTACCTAGAAGAAATAAGATTCGCAGTCGACGTCAAAAAGATGCAATGTTTTCTTGCCAGGCAGTCCGGTATGCAAAGCGAACACAGCATGTTCTTATCTTCGTTTTCGAAAGCCGAAGGAAGCCCTGCGAGGCTACAAAAGGTCCATTGCTCTCTACCGCTCAACAACCGGCCAGGCAAGCCATGGGCGCTACCACTATCGCGTTGGCAGATGGGGTAAGTCGACTCAACCACATATCACTAGCGCCAGAACAGATGAAGACAAAGCGCCCACGGCATGGGCCGCCACGTCTCGCATTTTCGATCAAAAAAAGACTGCTCTTTTCATATCCACGAAAATCCACCTACTATTCAGGGACCAGCATCACCTCCAACTGGTTGCCAATTGTGTTTGGTCTAGAAGTTACGCTCTATTCCTGATGTCACGCTTCGCAGACGCGACATTCGAGTTCACGTAGTCGATTTCTCGGTCTAGCGCCGTTTTGATGCGAATTTCGGCCGCGCGTGTTTTGACGTCGATTTTCGACTCCATAGATGATATGGCTCGGCTCAGATTCTTCTTGTCGGAGACTCGGCGGCGAGCAACGTTCCTGGCGTCTTGTTTACATTTCTGCACGATTTTTTCACCTTCACAGTCAACCTCTTGATCAAAGGTCTACACCCGATGGGTAGCCACATTGTCAATCTCTGACTTGCAAACTAAATGGCTTCCCGCTTTAGCGAATCCTGTACCATGGAGTCACCCACGTCCTTCTTAATCTGTAACTCTTGATATTGTAGATCAACTAGGTCTTTCAAAATTTGCTTGCGTTGGTGGTCAGAAAATGCAAGGCGGTAATTGTGGAATCTTCGCGCTACGTGCATGCTGTGAGTCTCTACACCGTCCTGCTCGTGGTGCGTCGATACAAGCGCAGGCTGATCCAATTAGACGCACACGTTTGTGATTCTTGTCACCTTCGAGCTGCTTGATGATGATGGTAGTCGGTTCGATTTGAACCCACGACCTCCCCGGATCTCTTCTGAGTTCTACGACTTTCTCTGATGTCGAATTGGTTAACCACTTCGAAGCGCAGTCGTCTCAATTGAGAGGGAGTAATCGCCCGTAACTGTGGCGGCGATCTCTGTCATGTTTCTCTGGGCCTCTTCCCGGAATATCTGAAGCATGGCCTCTACCCCAGTCGATTTTCTTACCTGGCGCGCGCCTATTCCCGAAAGCTGCAAAATATTGCACGCTTTTCGCATCCACTCGCAGGATCCGCTCTTGTAGAGCAGCATGACGGACATCCGTCTCTGCGATACGCCTCTCAGCGTTCTCACGACGATGAGACACGAACGACCGTCAAGAATGCGATATCTATTGAACACGAAGTGTCCAAAGTAGCCGAATGCACATGAGCGGGCGGCCTTGGGTTTCGAGCAGCAGCAGTTTCGAATATCCGCGCACTTCCTTGTGTTTTCAGAGACCTGCAGCCCGTTGTCAATGTCATGATACTCCTCTGCGTCGCTAAGACAGGCGGCGAGCGGGTCTGATCCGACGCATGGCGGCACCATTGGTTTCGACGAGGTCGAACGCGTACTCGGCATCTTGCTTCCACTCGTCGCGCTCGCGGCCATGGTGTCAGTGTTTTCAGTTTCACTTCAGTCAAGCATTGTAGATTCCAGTGAGCTAGTAAACCACACTCAGCAATGCTACATAATCATTTCTTCGTAGCCTGGTATAGAATATTTCAGGCAAAGCTTTTCGTTTTGACTACATATGGCTCGCCTCGGGAAGAATATCTGCCATCCATTACGAGTCAAGAAAACCCCGAGAAAATCTGAATTCACATCTCTCTGACTGCTTCTTGTTTCTCGACCATGCGCACGTCTCAATTGTCATTTCTGTGCATGTCCGATCCCAAGGCCGGCATACTTTGTCACCCAGTAAAAAAACAACTGGTGACCGCGTTTCAGGTGGGTTCCGCACGGAGGATCCGCCATCAAAATTACAGGTAAATTCACGTGTTTTTGCATACTGGGAAAAATGCGGATACGATACGCAAGTCGCAAAAATGCATCAAGGGTAACAGGTTAGAAGTTTATGAGACCCAGAACCCTTCATCTGTTGGGTATCGGATCTAGGAGGGTGTATATCGTTTCGAGTAGTTCTTCTCATATCAACCAGACACATGTTTCTGTAGAAATACAGATCGATGACAACGATCTTCCGCAGTCGTATATTATTGTTATTCGATATTGTAAGGAGCCATGAAGGGGGTACACTTCATACGTCGTGGGCCAAAAATAAATCTATAATATTGCTCAAACATCATGCTTCACGTAGTATTTCGAGCATCACGTTCCAGCTGTACCATCTTCGAGTTAAGTGCTCTGATTTCAAATTCGACATCTGTCATGGTCAAGCATTCACTATGCGTCTGTCAACTTCTTCCCCGAAAAGACGTCGAGGAATCATTAGGTTTATATTTGTTTCCAGTCGTTATAAAGATTCAGAGTTTCTAAAATATTTTCTCCGAAATCGGTTCCAGACCTACTCTGCGCACCACTGACTAGCAGTACAAGGGTATTGACTATCACAAGGCTCACCGTCGACGTGGCGCATCTTCAGGAACCGGCGAGTACCTTAGATTTCGTCTTCATCCTTGTCATCATCGTCTTTGTCGTCATCGACATCATCGTCGTCGCCATCAGCCGGAGTGGTGGTCGTGGTGGACGTAGCTTTCTTCAGCTGCTCCTTCTCCGCGGCAGCCTGAGTATCCCACTTTGCTGCGAATTTGTCGGCTTCAGCTTCGTCGTCCGTAATAATCAGGTTGTCGAAGAACGAGCCGGCTGAAAGAGTTTCAGAAAGGAAGAGTGAAACCTAAAAGATTCAGGTAAGGATCAGGTTATCTATCAAGACCGGAAGCTTACGAGGAGCTTGCTCTCCCTCAGGCAGTAAATCATCTTGACTCGGCACAGAAAATGCGTATGCAATTGGATCATCATAATTTCAACAAGCATCAGGAAGACGATATAAGCGACAGGGTAACTCTATTCTGACAACAACGAAATAGTACTAAAAATAGTACCCTTCACTTGCCATAGGTCGAATCCGACGAAGCCGAACTCCTCAAAGGCATACAGGGTGTCAGCCGCGTTTTCGTCGTAGTCGGGATTCGGAATCTGCTTCTGCACCCACACGCCTTTGTATTCCGGGTTCTTGATTTTCGGAGCGGTCCATGGACCCTTGAAAGCGGGGTTCTTCTTCTTCGGCGCCTCCCATTCACCATCCTCTTCCTCATCCCAGTCCTGCACAATAAGTGAATGAATGACAAGATTATTGGAATCAATCTTCCAAGACAAGTCTGGCTACAGAAAATACTTTCATCAAGGCTCTAGTAACGCAGAGACGTGAACTCGACATATTTACGGTTTAAGGACCAAAGCCACTACCTCCGGCTTCTTCGCGTCTTCATCGACAATCTCCTCCTCGTCAACCCAGTCGTCCGGCTTCGTGGCATCCGGATCGTCCATCATCTCGCTATCAACCTGCAGATGAGCAAGGGTGCTAGGAATACTCTCAGTAGGAATTACAATGTTACAAAAAAAAACCATGAAACAGGCATGTTGGGCATGGAATCAATCTCCCAAATGTAACTCAGGCGGTGTTGCACTATCAATCTACTTCGTTGTAGCCGAAAGTGAGAGGCAACGACGCGAATACCCAGTCAGACGGCTTGACGTCATCCACATCGGCAATTTCCTTAGCCGGCAGAAGATCCCAGTCCTCGCTCAATTTTCCTGAGTAAACGCTCTCCTTGTCGATAGAGACATCAACTGTGCCATCGGGCTTCACAGTAAGTCGGTACAGATTGCTGACGCCATCGGTCTCCTGTTTGTACGGCAAATCCGTCTTCTTCAGTACGTTCTTACCTGCATTATATTGGGTTAGAGGCAGCCTCTACGGGGTGTTCCCGTGTTTACGCTGAGAAAATAGAATTGTTTCTCGCCACTATCGGAGTCTCGGAAAAAGGCGCCACGCTGTGCATGATGTCAGAGTCTTGACAGGAATCGCGCAAGACAAGCGCAGTAATTTTTTACAGGAATAGACTCCTCGTATTCCCTACTTCCAAGATATACACGACTCACTCAGATCCAGGAACAAGAAACGAGGCCACAACTAGTACCTTTGTAGCTGAAGATCAGGTGTGTTCGCTTGGTGTAGCCGCATTTGTCCGGGCCAAACATGATATTGTAAGGCGTTGGGTCACCGAACTCTTCCGGCTTTTCGAGCTTTGGACCTGAGGATTGGTTTCTGCGTCGTTCGCAGTACAGCATAGAACGCACGTCAACCGAGATATTAAACAGAAGTCACAAAAAATACTAAATAATATATCAGACTTCTTCACGAACCTATATAAACTACCCCTCTCCCTACAAATGACTCCCAAGTACCAAGCTTGATGTATCCGCCGCCGCATTCGATGTCTTTGTCATACTTGGCCTGATACTGGATAATCAGCGTCTTGTCCTTGTTCGAGAACGGAGTGAAGCTTGCGGAAGCACCGTAAAACCTAGCATCTTCTGTCGTTGCCAAACTAAGACCCTCAGTTTCGTCCGCATTGAACTTGCCAGCTTTAATCTCGAAGCTACCCATCTCGCTGCCTGAAGATGGGAGGAAAGGATAAGCGTAACACAGTAAATTGTGAAACTGACTCCTACCTGAGCAACGAACGCCCGCATAAAGCGCTGACCTACAAATTGCCTCTGCTTTCATAAAAAAGGACGTCTCCTGAAGATTATACCCCGTAGGCGCAAATCTCTAACGAGTATTACCAGGCTTCGAGGCAGAAGCACAATAAGGAAGTCGACCTACCATCACCTACAGCCGAACCATCCTTAGCTAGGTCACTCATCTAAGGACCTCGACGAATGATAAAGGAAACACGAAAGAAAGGAACTAATTATACCTGTCTTCCACGTGGACGCCTTCCAATTGTCCATGTTGTTCATGGTGTCTGAGAAGTAGACCTCAGCAGCAACGCTGCTTGCAAGCAGTGACGACGCAACGGCTTTCATCTTGGATGGTTTTATGCTGCTTTTCTCAAGCGCCTACGAAAAACTTCTTGCTAACAAGAACTATTACTGAAGTCTGCCGAGGCAGGAGAATGAATATCTATGACTTCAAGATTACTATTACTTCAACATAAGTTTCGTATTCTACGTTGTGTTTTCTCGCAAATCCAGATGATCTCTGATACGTTCATAAAAGATCAGGATGATTGACTCAGAGCAATAAGCTTATGATTCACTAATCACGCAAATGTGACCACTCGACGGAATTACAACAAAGAAGCAAGTTACGGTTACCTCAACCTCAACACTTCTACCACAACTCGATCATCACTCGTTCCCTCGTATCAGAATACAGATCAGATCAGACGCTTGGTCATCAGAGCGTTGAATGAGCCACGCCACGTCCTAGACCGGTCTTACTTTCCTGTGTGCCAATCTAACATTGATCTCCCAGATCACTGAACGGGGTCAGGAACACAAACCTTATATAGTACACATCCGCTGCTTTGTGAGTCCCTTCTTCAGTCTCTTTCCCACGCTTCTACAAAGGGGCTTCACGGCGCCACAGTTTCTTTTCTGATGCCTACCATTCCAGTGTCATTTGAGCGCCTGGAACAGAATTGATGCTAGACATTCAGAAGTATGCGGTAGCGGTAAAGGTTCTCAAGCTAATATGTTACTCTATAGCATATTGCGACTCATCTCCTTGGCACACACACAAACGAGATGTTTACATTCATTTGCAACAACTTCCGTAGAGAGCCTCAATGGCGATTTGTCTGCACTCTTTTATTGTCTTGTTGCAGTGACTCAAGTTCTCTTGTGCCGAATCGCCAACCAGATTGTCCTGCATGGCTCCAATGGTCGATTTGCCTCATCATCCGGCCGTCACTGATCGAGCAAGATGCAGAAAAGCCGCCTAAACTTCCAAGGGTACATACGTATCCCGTTGTTTCTCCAGGAAAGCTGTTCTACAACATCTACAGGTCACCTCTGCTTTGCCGCGTTGAGGTCTGATTGCGTCCCCTCGTCGCACTACGATAGCAGGCACGGCATGGCTCGGCAGTCAAAAATGTGCTTCGCCCTCGCTAACGACCACTCGTCGGTTCGCCGAGCACAGCACAACGCCCATGATTCCCTTTGGTGTCCGTATGCTGATGCATTTGCATGCACACCAGCTTGCGTTTACTTATCGGCGGATCCCTCGGCTCAACTCGTGTTCGGCGGCGGTTGCAGCTGCTTTCCCATCCAACTGAGCCCGAGCACATCACGCAACCAGCCGCATTTCAACCGAATCGTTGGACCGCATCTTCTCTTTTGCGGGTCCCAAACATCAAGCTTGACAAGGATCGCCGGATGCGGCCAAGCAGAGACGAGCTACTGCCACCTCCGTTATTCACGCTTCGAGGAGATGAACCCCGACACAAACTACGATCTGCACTATTCTCTTCGAGCATCTCCGAGGCGCGGTTTGCCTCATGTACCTGTGCAAACGCTTGGTCGGCTGTACTGCGCCCTCCGCGACTGTTAGCATGTCCTTTCGCGCTCGCAGATGACACCCGCTGGTTACTCCTCTTCGCGATTTCTTCGGGTGGGAGATTGAACTCGTGGCCGTTCATGAATGCCACGCGGTTCTTTTTTTTCTTGCGTTTAAGTGTCGGCGGTTTTCCGACGTCAGGATGGTCCACCAGCTTGAGTCCAGCCACCGTAGGAAACTCTGCCGATGCCACTCTGGACAACCTCTTCGCCGCGTGGCCTCCCCTTCTGGTTGAGTGTGAACCATTTGTCATGGTCTCGGAACTCGAAGAGAGGCCGGCTTCGAAGTCAGCACTCGAGGCTCCTCCGGACGATGACGCAGCATCATCATTCAATGCTGGAACTTGCTCCCCGTGCGAGAACGCGACATGACTATGCGCGCTTCTTGATCTCGAAGGGCCCACGGACGTTGCGTACGATCCACCACGGCCGGGAACTCGTCCTGCGGTGCGATTTCTGGTCCCCGAACGGGCAGGATCCGTCCTATCAGACGCCGCACTGCTGTCTGCATTGCTGGCGACCTCTGAGTTACTGCCACTATTCACCTGGCCTTTCACTGATACTTCGAGGCACTCGGAGGCAGCCACCGACGAAGCGCTGTCTACCGGCCGTTCCCGTCTGTGAATTCCGTCCAGTACGCGCGGGATATCATCGTCGTCATCTTCTTCGTCTCCGAGCCGTGCTCGTGACCCTCCTCTAAAGCTTGCCACACCACTTCTGCCACTCGCCGCCCCCGACTCTAGAACAGGCCCAAAGATGCCTTTCTTTTCAAGCTCACGCGTAGCGCGTGAAGCATCCTGTGCCATCATCAGCAGTTCGTCGTCCTCTTTGTCTTGTGGCTGATTCGCGATTGAGAACCGGTCTGTACCCTCCATCCGCCGCTCCAATTGCTCGGATTCAAACAAAGCCTTTCGGACGGCCTCGTCTGCATTCGGCGGACCACCTGAGGTTGGTCCACTTGCAAAAGCGGCCTGAACAAAAAAGGTGTGAAGGAAAGCTATTGTTTTTCATTTTCTTCCGCTATGATTATTCCACTAAAAAAACAAGTTCAATCTGCAAGAAACCCCATCTGCTTCCAAATTTCGACCTTTGGTTAGTCAACATCACGACTAATATGCATAGACCTGCTGGCCCAGTGCCAGTTGCTCTATCACGAGTTCCAAAAATAAATGGTTAGTTCTCAACCTCTATACAACACAGTACCCGAGCCTGTGCTTCTGCCCGCTGACGCTCCTGATCCTGTTCGGCCTGCTGGCGCTCCCTCTGTTGAGCTTCCTGCCACCGATATTGCGGTGCTGGTTGGTAGAATGTTCCCACATCGACACTGGCAGGTGCATTGTTCGGCCGTGAGCGCCGCTCCTCCTCCGTCAACATCGACGTCAGATCGACCTCCCTCCGACTCGTTGCCATAGCAGTCTGCACGTCTTCAACACCTGATGTAAGAGGTGCGGTTGTCTGTTGAAAAATGAAGATACTTAATTCCGTTTTGTTCCTGCCCCCAGATAATAATTCTGCAATCATTTTTTCATTTATTTACTGTGGGTGTGGCCTATCTAGTATAATCTGTCCATCTGCATCTGGTGTCTATCTGCGTACCGAAGGATGTCAGGAGGTTCCACTGACGCTTGTAACGAGACCGAAAAGGAGATTCTGAATGGGACGACATGCTCCAATAAATTACCCGTCCTCTGTTCCATCTGGAACTGATGATAACTCAGCTCCGCCGCCTTTTGCCAGCGTCCTAGCTGTTCCAGCGGATCAACCTCGGCTCTGCTTCGCAGTTCATTTAAACGCTCATCTTTGCTCTCCTTATCGTGAGCCTTCCCACTCGCGTCGCAGGCCTGCAGGAACTCGTCCTCCTCTGCACCAAATGTATCTAGGTATTCGTCCAAACTGGTTGCCAGGGCTTGTTCCGTCTCATTCGCAAGGTTTTTCTCGAGCACGCGCACACCAAAACTGTAATCAGGGACTTGCTTCTTAAACTTCCACCGGTGCAAGCGTTCGTACTTCTCGAACTGCGACTCCTTGCGCATTGTCGGGACGAGGCCGCCGGCACCAAGCTGATGCTCTTGCTGTTGCATCTTGCGTAAAACATCGATCTGAGCTTGCGACATCTCGTTCGCGCTGCTTCCCTGAATATTAAGCAAGCGTAGTAGAATGCAGCCGCACTTTTCGCTACAAGATTGTTTTTGTCCTACTGTTCACACAATGTATAAATACTACAGTCAATGTAGCTTCGACCGTTTTTCATAAGTAGACTGATAAAAAACAATTATCGATGCAAAGCCAAAGGACGCTACCTTCATCGTATTGATTTTGTCTTGCTGTGTTTTCATGTGTTGCTTCACGCGTTCGAGTTTGTCTAGGCGCTCCCCGAGATCTGCGCTGTTGTAGACCCCTACCATCGTTCCGATCAGAAACTCTTCGAGGTAAATCATGAAATATCGCGACGGCACCAACGCGTTTACCGATGCCAACCCGGGATCCGGAGACTCTGATAGCGTAACTCGCTGAAGGTCCTTTGCTGCGAGGTGTCCGATATTCACTTGATGTGCCAGAAGTTTGCTCTTCGCAGCAATTGCATGAAACATCGCCAGCGTGTCCTTCACTTTGAACAGGATTACCTACGAGGTGATTTTGAGAAAAATAGTCAGTGCATCTAGGTGAAGAACGGGTGCCGGCGCTGAGAGATGAAAAAGTAACCCACTAAGCTCGCGCCAAAAAAAATGGTTCAAATAGTTCTTCCTGTTCAATCCTCGTGGGTGGAAAATGAGACACTCCTGACAGACACTTCGTCCTGTTTTCTTCACTAGTGCACTGTAAGAAAGTATGCTTCTCGGCTTTTCCCTAGTACTACACTGTAACAAAGTATACCTCTCTGCTTTTGTCGCCGTAGCTTTTCGGATCGTAGGCGAGAAAAAATGTTGTGCTTGTGCTCAACATCAATTTTGCGATTTCGGGTTCTTGCATACCCGTTACAATCGGAGCAAGCAGAACGTGTCGATTCGCCAACATCTTTGGGATGCGCTTCATGCAATTGAGTGCGATCGAGGCTGAATCACCCCAACAAACAAGCTGGACTCGGGGAATCTTCAGTGTCTCCAAAATCACTCGCACAATATCAACATCGAATTTATTCCATTTTTCCGGCGCGCAACGGCTCTGAGATCCGACTGTGCTTGAGAATTAGAAAGGGAATGACTTCTGACTGTTGTTTGTCGCGAAAGATACACCAGAAAAGCATACCATGAATCTTGATGAGTTCGGTTTCACTAAAAGAACATTGATTCTGTGAATAAACTGATATCGTTATTTTTCACAACGAACTGTCTTTATGGCTTCGCTCAGTCAGTAAAAAATGCTATGAAGGGTAGCCATTTCTTACGTCAATCTCTATCCAGGAGCCATAATTGTTGTATCCCGGAAGATCTACAAAAATGCAGTTGAAGCCCGAATGCGCCATGTGGTGCGCAAACTTCATAAAGCACCAACTAGTGTTAAGATTTTCGTCAGTCCGCCATCCTGGCAAAAACATAACGAAGCGCACACCTCGTCGCAGCTTCGCTACCTGGTTCATCGGTATTTGTCCACTCTCGATCTGACGGCACGTGCTCATTGTTACCGGGTCGGAAATTAGATGATGAGGATTATTTACCGACACTTCTTCTAGAAGATGAAAATGAAATTCATCAGCGGAATAATCTCGTCCATTATAGATACTAGCAATAGACCGGCAACTCTTAACCTGCGATCTAGGCTCTGCCCTACACCAACATGCGGTCCACGAATCAAACTGAAAACAAGATGAATGCAAAAACAACTTCTACTTCCTTGTGCGAACTTCCAAGAAATGGAAATTGATGAAAAAGAAAATCGATCATAAGTAGATTGTTCGCAAGTAAATCTGCAAGTTCATTCCGGTGACAACATCAATTTTTTTGTTACGGATCACCTCCTTCAACCAAATGCTCTCCTCAGGGCGAAACCACTTACTATCGATGATTTTCCCGTCCGCGATCGTCACCGACAAAGTGAAAACGTCGCCTCCAACATCGAAGACCTGGAATTGCTTCGACATCTTGTTGTAGCTCTTTTGTAGTAGGTTGAGAAGTCTAGGTACTAGCGCTGCTAACAATTACTTATGTATTTGTATAACTTCTCTCGTTCTTGCTAGTCTAACTCTAATGAAGATAGCGCTACCTTCTATCTAATACTTGTAGTTCTCTTGTACTTCTTCTAGGTCTAGGTACTACTGCTTAATATTATCATACATAGATAGTGGATAATTTTATCCACTTGCAAATTCTACCGTGCCTAGTGTAAATCCCACTTCTGATGTTGTCTCTGAAATTCTTCTCGATCAAACTACCACCAAACTTCAGGATGGAAAGAGTCCTCGGCGATCATAAGATGTGGAGTCACATATCCGTGCACGCAATGACACAAGCAATTAGGAGAAAAGAAAAAACAATAACAAATATGAAATCGTGCTCAGAAAGATGGTCAAAAATATCAAAGTAATGTATACGTTCCAGGGCTCAGGGCTGAAGGCCCCCCCGGTCTAAATTTTTGAGAGGGGGGCCACCAGCCCCGGACCCTTTTTCTCGAAGGATTGCCAGGCGGGAAGGCCTCCAAGCGCCCACCCTCGCGGCTTCTTGCATGTACCCTACAGAACCAAAACCCCAGAGGCCGCTCAAGCACCCACGACCGGGGGTGGAAGGCTTCCGAAGGCGGCAAAGATGGCACGGCCTGACCCCCTTGCCGTGTTGCATGTACCCGACCGACCTCCCACGCCGTGCTGCATGTACCCTACAAGCCTCCCGCGTGCGGGCTCCCCGAGGGATGGGGGAGTTTCTTGAGAAGGGGATGGCCTCCGAGGGCAGCAGGTGGCAAAGCTTGACCCCTTTCGCCATGCTGCACGTGTCCGACAGAACCCAGGCGGGCACGCGCACGCCTTGCCCCCCCGCACTCCTCCTCACCACTGGTCCGCAACCCCCCGGGCGTTTGGTGGCGGCTGGCGCCTGACTTTGCCACCAGTTGCTTGGGGGGATGAGGGCCAAACGGGCCAGGCCTCACGACCGCCCGGAGGCCGTTCGTTCTCCTTATAGGGTCCAAGAGTCAAGACGCCCGTGGGGTACACGCCCGCGGAGAGCCGTCAGGGGCTTCCGGCTCCGCCTTTTGAGGCCTTCACCCCCAAGAGTCCTGACGTGTCACCATCCACCGCGGAAAAAAAGGGCGCGCGGACGCCACCACCGCTCCACTCACGGGGAAAAGGGGGGTCTTCTGTGTGTGAACCCTGCGAGCGCCGTACCCACCTGAGGGGCGTGACGCGTGCGGGGGTATTAGCGTGACGCGTGACGGCGTGGCGCGCTCCTGAGGAGCGTGACACGCATGAGAGTATTAACGAGGCGCGTGAGGTTGTGACGCGTGCGCATGCTCTAGAGTTGCTTGGCCCAACTTGCGCGGAGACGCTGGGTAAAGAGTTTGCCGCCTGAAAGTCATCGACTTGGTGCCCCCGCTTGCTTCTCATTCGGTGGGCCCCAGTCCGCGGAAACTGAGCGAGCGAGCGAGCAGAGACCGCCGCGCGCGTCACGCCAAGCCCCGCCCACATGCTGAACCACTCCCAACACCTCGCCACACCTTGACAAGGAGCACACCCCAGCCCCGCGCGCACAGCTCCGCCCTGCGGTGTCCTGCGTGATTTCCTCCAAACATTCGGGGAGGCTTCCTTTGCAAGCCACTACAGCCGACCACCAGCGCGCCCAGAGTGGCCCACAGACCGCGGGCGACGCGAGTCGACCAAACACGGCGAGCCGCTTGAGATGGCTGCCCCGCTCTCGATTCCTGACCCGGGTCCACCTGAGATAGCTGCCAGACCAACGCCCAACGCGGATAGCTGACGCAAGCCCACCCACACTCCAGCAAGATAGCTGACCCACCCAGCCAGAACCAGTGCGCCCAACACCGCAACGCGAGCCGCCTGCTGTAAGTGGCTCCCCTGTTGTTCGCTGAACAAACCAAAGAAGTCCCGAGTTTTCTCAGGCCGGCGACGGAAGTGCCTCAGATCATAAGGCCACCCGCGGACTTGTCTCAGATCAGAAGGCCGCCCGTGGCTTTGTCTCAAGTCATAAGGCCGCCCGCGGATTTGCCTCAGGCCGTAAAGCCGTCCGCGGGTTTGCCTCAGTCAGGTCATAAGGCCGCCCACGGGTTTCGATTTGCCTCCGACCCCAAGGCCGTCCACGGATTTGCCTCCGATCATGAGGCCAGCCACGGACCGACTGGCCCCAGGTCATAGGTCCGCCTAAGGATTTGTCGCAGATCATAAGGCCCCCCACGGATTTGCCTCAGGCCATAAGGTCGCCCGCGGGATAAATTTGTCGCAGACCATACGGCCGCCCACGGATTTGCCTCAGACAATAAGGCCGCCCGCGGACTTGTCTCAGATCATAAGGCCACCCGCGGACTTGTCTCAGGTCGTAAGGCCGTCCACGGATTTGCCTCGATCATTAGGTCGTCTCCGGGCAGCTCCGTCGCGCTCAGTTATAAGGCGGGACACATCACGGGCGTCGCGCATAGGGGCGAGCAAGTCTGCGCCCCTATAATAGAAGGGGAAGGGGGAAGGGTTTGGGTCTGCGGTCTACGCGGCGCTTGCCAGCTCTTACGGGGGCCTCCCTCCCTGCCCCTGGTACATAGGTATATAACCTTGATTGTGAATCAATTGGGTTGAGCCCTATCCTACAATGAAGAATGTGTATATTCAGTCATATCTTGTTCCGTTGAGCAAGAGCTTTGTATGCTGCTCCCGAAGCAATAAATGGGGATTTTCGGAGGAGTCGGGGAACTAGTGCGAACGACCTGTGAAAAAAGGACAAGGCGGAAGAAGAAGATCAATGTCAGCTCCGAATGAAGACGCCAAATCCGACTGATGTTGACACATCCCACAGTAACATCTAGCATTAGTTTCTTGATGCAGCTCGCCTGGCCTCTCTTGCTCTCTCACTCTCTCCCGACGATACTCTTTCTAGCAGCGGAAAAGGAGAACATGACGATATCAATGACGAGGAGTCATCGTGATGGTCGTCTCTCACTTTTGAATTAGCCGATTGTTGATTCATCCGTAGACGAAACAAAGGAACGTGAGCACTCTCTCGTCCAGCTAAGTAGGTTAATACGCTCAAACATCGAGACTCCTTCCTTGAACACAGACAAAGATATGGTCCTATCAAACAATGTTTGGACACCAGGAAGTAACAGGGGACAAATATACGACCCTTGGGAGTCAGACAATCGTCTTGCTTATACGCTGAGAAAATCCAGAAAAACTGGCTTTTCTTCTAGGCACTTGTGTTGCACGATGCAGATACTTCCATGCGCGGCCTTCGGCAATGCTGTCTACAGGACATTGAGTGGTCGTCACGTCAAGCAGAAGTACATGTCACTTCGGATTTCTAATTAATAACACTCGCACAGAGCATAATGCCAAGTGACAAGAAAATCCAAAAAATCAACATTACACAGACTTTCATACATCATAGATGCAGTGCCATTGAACCTATCCCTTGTCGGGCGAAAAAATATCATCAGGTCACAACCACAACATGCAAGCAGCAAAGAGCCCTCTTTTAGGAGAGATCGACGTCCTCGGTGTCGTCACCATTGAGCGAACGTGATTCCGCGCTGAGCATTTCTGATTCTACCTCGGGATCTGGTGCAGCTGCGGAACCGAGCACCAAATTGCTCGCGAAAGACGAAGATGAGCCAGCTTCTTCTGCAGATGTTCCTCTCGCGGAAACAAGACCCACCGCGTCGGACTCTGTTCCTGAGTTTAGCCCTTCCCGTCTAGTTGAGCCCTCCGTCGGAATATGCGCCGGAGAGTCCGAAGAAGCGATGTGCTCAACTTGTCTCCTATGAAGCGCTGTACCATCATTTCCACTTGTGGGTTGCAACGAGCGCTCACCTGTAAAACCTGCTGGGTGCAACTGCTCTTGCGGATCCGGGACTCTTCTGTCTCCGGACACCATTGGAAGAGAGGACTCCATCATTCTGGCGTCTTGACGCTCATCCTGGGCGTTAATCTTCGTAGCACTGTCTTCCGAAAAAGCGTCTGAGCTTTTACTGCTGGTACTCTCGTCCATCTGAGCGCTTATAATAGTAGCTGCAGGTGCGATCGAAATTGTAGTGCCATTGTTTTCAACTGTTGAAAACGTCTGTCCTAGTGGCTTCCCCACTGGCACATCTTCAACAACAGTTGGATCTTGTTGCACTAGTGTACCACGTGTATTTCTACGTTGCCTCGGGGGTGCGCGAGTGTATGACGCAAAGTCTGGGACTCTCACGTCCAGCACATCGCCTAGCTGTATACTTCGCCTATAGCTACTTCTGCTCTTCTGCTCCTGTGATGGGTTCGCAAAAAATGTAATCGCCGGTCTAGAAGGAGCGCCGTCTGTGTCAGCCTCTTTTCTGGTTTCAGAAGGACGCGAAGGAGCGGCATCCAGAGGATCACGGGAGACGCTTTCAGGGCTGCTCCACTCCCCAAGAATATCCACATCATCTGTGTCGCCCACTGCTGAGGCGAGATTAAAAAGTGGGCCGCGAGTGGCTCTCCTCAGATTAGGACCTTGGATTTTTCGTGAGGTTTTTTGCTGCTCTTCATCAGTGTTGGACTGTGTCTGCGTGTACAACAAGTCTGTTGTATTTATTCCCAAGCTGCCGATTGAGTTTTCGTTAGCTGTTCTACGATGGGTTTCGCTGTCGACAAGGAAATTACCAGTAAAAGCGCTGACATCGAGCGGCTCTAAAGACTCTGACCGGTGAGCAACTATTTCGCTCTGAGAATCATCCAGAAAGTCTTCAAGACCTCGCTGAGCATTATTGCTTGTAACACCCCCGTCTTGCTGCTGACCTCTGAACATGGAAACGATATCTTGGGGAGCGCGCGCAACCGATAACAAGGCGTTATTGAGCATTTGCGTGGCGCCCATACTAGACGACGCCTTGCGATCCTCGCTCGCGGGACTATGTTGACTACCATCTCTGCTGGACGCCGATCTCTCTCGGGGAAGCGAGCTTGCACTCGAAACCTGGACTGGAATTTGTAATTCTGGATAGGTGGGTGGAAGGGATTGAGAAGTACTTCCTGGGGAAAGCTCCTGATGGGCTAGCCCAGGGTCGGGTGATTCATTCAGCTTTCCCATTATGGAACGAGATCGTAACCTCGTCAGGGGTTTTAGCATCTTGTTGGCAGCATTGTCCATTATTGGCTCCGATGTGGTGGCTAAAACCTCTTCCGGTTCCTCCTCCTTTCGTTCATCTAAAGTGCGAGGCTGGTCGACGTTGTTCTCATCATTAGTGGTCAAAGCAAAGTTTATCACATCCGAAACTGCAAAAACTGCATTCACCAGGCCCCGACCCAGGGCCGTCGCAGCAGGTGCAAGTTCGTGGTCGTCGGCTGAAGGCCGTCCTTCCGGAGCAGATGGCACTTCTAGTCCTGAGCCTGCTGCGCTTGACGTTGCGCCTAGTCCTTTCACTGTGTCCGCCTCTTCTGGTCCAGAGCTTGTCGGTTTATCATTCTGTGCTAATTCGACTAGCTCTGGCTGAGTTTCACTACTATGCCTGACCTCGCTTCGACGCTGAGAACTCTCTTCTAGAGATACTATGCACTCGGTCTGTCGAGGCGGTTGTGTTTCCAGCGTCTGGTCCGCTAGTATGGTGCTTCCTTTGTGCGCAAGCTGCTTGCTGAGTTGCGATTCATCCAGCAGTGCTGGAATCGTCGCCTCACCCAGCAACGCGCTGGTTTTCTGTCGATTCTGGAGTCGAATACTTTTGTCATGGACATGGGAAGACATTTTCTCCTTGGGGGGTTGTTGGGGTAGTAAAGATCTTCCTTGGGGAGCGGTCGGGGAGTATGTTGTGGTCGGGGTTTCGTCGAAGTCCCCACTTTGATGATCCTCCATCATGCCGCAAGATGACGAGTCGCTGGCAGAGGAGCTGCTCGACGAGGATTCTTGCGCTGGGTGATCGTCCTTCAGTGCCTCCAGCTTCGACCTGTCTAAACCAGATGAGCCAGCTGTGGGATCTCTTGAGAGTGAGAGAAAATCTCCACGTCCTTTTACTTTATCTTCTTCAGCGTTTCTCCCATCGGCATCTGTAAGTGACAAAAGCCGAACCCGTTCCAATTCTTCTTCTTCCTGCTGTGCGTCTTCTATAGCGAGGACCGCTTCTCCTTCGCCCATCCTCCTCACATCGGCAGGACGAGACACATCTGTAAGTGCACGTGTCTCTTCTACTTTGAGTTTTGAACGCGCGATGGCCACAAGTGCGTCACCACCTTCGACATAGCGTCGCACGGCCCGATTCACCGCGAGCTCTCGTTTCACTAGAGTCCAGCTTCGCGCATCCTCCAGCACGCTTGCGCCTGCACGCGCACTTTCGTGTGAAAAGGACGGCCTGTAGCTCGGAAGCGGGATCACGCCATCGTAACGTCGCACTAGCGGATCGTCATTGTCTTCGAGAACTTCCGGTGCTTTTTCGTATTCTGCCTGGCCAGATGGAACACGCAGCGTCAAAATGTTGCCTTTTTCGTAAATCGTGGTACTAGAAGGCCCAATCAAGGCGTCGCTTATTGTAGCAGCTGTTGTTTGGTGTTCTTCGCCATCACCTCCATCCTCCTCCTCTAGTTCGGCTAGCGCCCGTGCAAGCATTTCGTCCGTCTGCTGCTGCCATTTCAAGCTCGACCTGCGCGCCTGGTGGGCGCTCTGTGTTGAAGTGAGATAGGAGGCCATAGGAGACATGGGTGTGCTCGCTCCCGGGTTAGCATCGAGGGGACCACCGCTCACTGAAGTGAAGGAGGGCCTTGAACTACCTGGCGGTGAGACAATGACAGCCTCTCCATACAGGCCAAAAAGCGCCGTGCCAATGGGCGACTGCACCGTTTCCGCGAGCAGCTCGCGCAGTCGCCGCTCCTGCTGTACCTCCCCAGCATCGTCTATCGAAAGTACGTCTTTCTTCACTGCGTGCGGGAGCGGTTCCGAGAAGGTGCCAGGTACGATATCATCTACCTCGCGCATCGCTCGTTTGCCAATGGCTGTGGGCTGGACTCCAGCGGCATTACTATAACTCGAAGATGATAGTCCTTTGCGGGTTGTTGTTTCTTGAAGACTCCTGCTTTCATCGTGTAGTTCTTCTGCTGGTATTTGCGATTTCATCACTTGGCCTTTTTCCGCTTGTTTCTCATTTTCGTCCTCACTATCGAAAACTTCTCTGCGCTTTGCCGGCATCGCTCCACCTTCACTTCGAACGAGATGATTTGTCTGATGAACAATCGAAGCCCGCAACGAAACGTCACTGTTCGGGCTTCCTTGTGGCTCCTCAGGAATTGTTGGCGGCCGCTCTCCTGATATCCTTAGGCCACTCGACGACGAGAATGAATGTCTTTCGTTCGTTTGAGAGGACTCAGGCGCAGAAGAGATTGAGTGCCCGCCCCTGCTAGCGAGAACCTCCGCAACGATTTCTGTGCTGGATAATTTTCTCTCACTTGCTTGTTCGGCATTCTGAGATCCTTGCCCCTGAGTGTTGATGTCCTGCTGAGAGGCAGCTTGATTTGTCCCGAGAATGATCTCCCGAGTCTCGGTGTCAAGATTCACACTGTCCTTATAATTGTTTCCTCCATTATTCTGTTCATCATACCCTATAAGCGTAGGCCCAGTTGCTGTTGCCCCTGCTCCAACTGCAGCATTTTCATAGGAAGAATCTGGTGCGTAGCCACCTCTGCAAGCCTCTTCTAGGCTTGCAAGTTGCGCCTTTCGCAATAATGCGTCGTCTTCGTCAGGTGCAAGATTAGCGTAGGCAAAGAAATCACTCCCCTGTGGATACATTCCCGGAGTCATGCAAAGACCTCCCTTTTGACTCATAGAGGACTCCTGCGAGAGACGAGACCAACGTGGCGTGGCTATCCACTTTCCTCCCCCCAATGATGATGTGGTCGATGGGCGAAGTAGAGCTTGTTGTCCTTGATATTGTGGGTCCATCAGAACAATTGCCTGGTCTTTCTCATTTGCACGAGCCCGCGAACTTGGATCGGCCTCTATCATCAATTGTTGTGGTCCTTGTTCTTGTCCAGTGCCGTTATACCTTCTAATTTCCTCCTCGGTTAACATTCGATTATTTGGGCGAGCCCCATCTTCACCACGTTGATTCGCACGGTGCTCAGCGCGACTTCTTCTTTCGGCCTCAAGCACAGCTTCGTGCTCGAAAGCGGCGCTCAGAAAAGCGTCGTTGAGGTGCACCGACAGTGGAATGCCGTCGTCACTCTGTTCCTCATCAATGCCAGGAGCCCCTTGGCGTGCGAGAGCCGCGTCGACACTGAAAGAAGCATCTCCCGCAGAAGAACCCTCTGCGCGCGCACGATTTCCGCTATTGGCATTTTTTGCTACCACAGAGCGGCGTCGCGCAGCTTCCTCGTGGCTATGGGCCTTCACGGCACGATGCTCGCACCAGCAAAAAAGCGCCACCAAACCGAGAAATAGCACTGTCAATCCAATGATCAATAGCACTTCCTCTAGCACCTCCTCGTCGCCGGCTGACCGCGTCGTCTTTGGATCCGCTAGAGGAGGCAGCATACTTGGGAAAGGCGACGTACGATCGGCTACATTCGTGCCAGCGGTGTGGTTGTAGGAGGTAGTGTCATCTTCTACACCGGACCCAGTCCCATCAAGCGCCGCGGACATTCCTCTCCTGCTGCTGCTAGTTTTTCTGAAGGAAGTTCCCCACTGCTCGAGTGACTCAACAGCATCGTGGCCCTGCTGGGACACAACTGGACTTCCGCCAACCCCAACCGGCATGTTGACCACTCTAGATGGAAAAGGCTCCTCAGCTGCAGAGGCAGCATGAGCACGCCAACGGCTGCTGCTCGGCACCAGCGTAAGCACTACGAAAACACCGTGCAGCAGTGGAATCGCCCATGGTGGCCAACGCATGATTGTCGCGAACCACGACATCGTTTTCTAAAGCCACCTTACCTACGTCTATCTTCTCTCTATGTTGGTACAACACTGGAAGTCAAACCGTAGATGGACACCCATGCGTTGGCCCCACATCTTCGTTGAAACGTCTACAACCATCTTTATGCGTAGTTTTTGCGCAGGTCAAACAAAGGCAAAGAAGTAGGGAAAGTAAAGGCCGCGAAGACGGAACCAATGTAATCAAAAATTAATAATGTACTTACTTTGGCGAGGGTTGGAAGCAATTCAATAGCATGGGGAAAGGTCATGTGAAATTTCCATCATGAAGACGTTTAGAATGCTGCGTACCATTTGCGGGGAAGTCAACGTATCGTGTGAAAAATTTTACTACCCACTCAATCGCAACTCTCGATGATATCAGAGAAGCTCGAACTTGCAGGGGGGCAAGAACAACATCAGACAATAGTTTCATGCCAATATTACCTCTCGTGTCTTGACAGAAAATATTTTGATTTTCACCTTTAAAGGCATTCTGTTTCATCTCCCTCCTACCGATATAAATAAGTGATGTGACAAAGAAAAGTCACGGGAATTCTGTCAGTCAAACTCAGCTGTGTCCATTTTTGCCAATGCGTACTCTCTCAACAACAGATATGCGTCTAAACTCAAGAAACAGATGACTTTGGTATTGAAAAGTTGCCTCACTTTTTCTTTGATCAGAAGGATCGTGCACGATAAGGCAATTAGTTTCATCAATGTTGTCTTCAATCGGCAATTTTTGTTGTTTGTGCTCGTGCATTTAAAATCACATCTTCTATTGAGTCCGAGTAGCTGTCGCGGTAGGGTTTGCGTTTGATTTCATCTAGGCCCCCGTGGCCTCCATAGTACAATGAGTAATTATATGCTAGAGTTGTTCGATGTGCCACTCTGAATAGCAGCAAATCGCGCAGTGAAAAACGATTTTGTCACTATTTTTCGATGCAGTTCATACTTCTGCCAGATATTTCTGTACACACAACGCATAAGTTGCTAATCTTAAAAACCGTATGCACAACAGCATTGTTGAAATACTAGATGTCAATAATTTCCTGCCTTTTCAAAGAGATAGCTTTGTTTCGACAGGGCCTTAAATTCAAGATTGTTATTGGATGGATCCTTGAAGAACATGGTTTTCTGCTCCCCAGGCTGCCCAACGAAGCGCAGGTGCGGCTCTATGATGAACTTCACGCCAGCGTTCTTCAACCTAGTTGTAGTTCGGAATATAAAAATAATTCCGCAATACTGGATGCTGGAATTGGTATTATCTCAAAAAATAGTCCGTCAAGTTGTACAACTAGAGATAATCGTAAACACTGCGCCAACAAAATACCTTTCCGCAAGTTGATCAAACTCGTCCGATGTCAAACACGCGCCGAAGTGCGCGACTGGCACTTCGTCACCATCTACATTAGAGCGAGGAATGGACTAAAAGTGTCAGCGAGGAATGAACAACAAAGAAAAGGAGAAGCTCTCGTGCTCGTCACAAAAACTGCTTTTCTTAACCACAGGATTGAAGTAATCAGCGCCGCGGTACTCCTCTCCGACCCAGTGTACTACGAGTTGATTGCCATAGAGGTTGTAATCTTGCCATTTGTGGCTCGAGCGACCTTCTGGGAGTTGCAAGATCCCACCATAAAACGCCTTCGCTTCTTCGAGGTTATGCACAGGAACAGCGAGATGAAATGGCCGCACTAGAGGCGTGGGCGCGGTGTCATCGGGTGCAGTGGCAGTGGTGCTCATTATATTTGATGTAGAGTCAAATAACGACTTGTTATTGTTACATTTGAATTGTGTCAGATAGGTACTTAATTGATAACAGGTCTAGTTCTAGAAGTTGAGTTCGATTTCCAAAAGGCTATTTTTAACAGTAGATCCACTTTTCGTATTCCGTAGGCTTAGGAATGAGGCTGAACTAAGAGATACGAGTACCATGGACATGGGAACGAGCTAGTATCGGGTCGCTCACTTACAAGTCTGGGAAGTCCCGAACCAGGTAGGTTGAAGATACTATACGAACACACCTTACTTTTTTGCACAGAGCGACCGTGAGCGGAACCGTGTAACTCGTTGGAAAATGCCATGTGATCGTGGTCCAGTAGGGTTCCTTTTGTTCAACACTACACACAAAGTACCTTAATATGCGAGCATGGAAGATTCCAATCAAGCAAAAAAATTTAATGACGCCCGCTCTACATAAGCAGAGACCAATATGCGATCACCACTGGAAAATGCATGCATAGCTGTCCTCTGCCTACCACTGGAAAATGCATAAAGAGGTCCTCTGTCAATTCCTAATTCGACAGGTATTTGCTTCGCTTCCTCGTCACACTTTGCGGGCAAACGAAAAAAGAACTCGTCCAGGATCAATGAACAAAATGACTTTAGCCAAACGCATTTGCACAGAACTGTTGTGAGGAGATTCGTGGTACCCAACCGCGTAAGGAGGTGGCTTGACCAGAAAACACAACGTGTGAGAGGCTCGCTCGTAGAGGTACTCCAACGTCGCAAGCTTTTCTGCTCAAAAATTTTTGCTTTAAAAGGGTGCTAAGCAGTTGATGTCCACCCGCGTTCTATCACCGTACCTCTCCTGTCCCTGTTCGACGCACAGGTGGTATTCCGTCCGGCTGCCGCATCATGGTCAGATTATCAGATCATCGAAGACTTTGTTCAACAGCGCAAAAAAAAACGTAGCACGGCAACGGCATCTACTGTGGTAGGTACGTGAATGCCCCTACGATTCTTCGACATAGTCGTCCTCTTTTTCGAGCATCTCCACGAGGTCTTTGTGTTCTATCTCTTTCGCGATGTCGATGGGCAGCTTTCCCGCATTGTTCTCTATTCGCGGAGTTAGAAAAGTTTTTTTACAAAGCTAGGTGCTGCTCCATGCTGCTAAATCATATACATATCATAAAATGTGATTTGAAGTGATAACTTGAAATCAAGAACCCGCCCGAAAGTGATGAAGGGAAGTACTACGCAGGCATGGCTCTTTCCGCAAAATTGAGTACAGTGCAGTCCATAATTTAGATTTTTCGCCACCGTTTTCAACTAAGAGCCATGCGGAATCGTACGCTCCAACTCGGCAAGCTACGTGCAATGGTGTATCGCCTTCGCCGTTTTGAACGTCACGCTCCGAACCGCCCCAAAGAAGCATGCTTGATTTTTTAGAGAAGATCCAGAGAAGTCACATGCATAGTCAAGTCGTGGCACGTCAAAGAAAAAACTGCAATGCCGATGCAAAATGAAATTAACTAAGGTCTACCTCCTACAACTAGACTCCGTCACTTAAGTAGAATCCCATAGAAGATACTCTTAAATTGATGAGGACAATCTGCATAATGACTAGTCGCTTGTTAGCAATGCAGCTGTGGTGCAAAGCTGTATTTCCGTCTCCATCCTGTATTTGCAGATCCGCACCGCATTCAGCCTGTGCAGGAAGAAGAACGATTAGCAGGATATCTCGGAGTGATCCTTAACTCACCAAAATCGTTTGGGCATAATGCTTACTTGCATTTAAAAGCACGCAAAAATGCAGTACCTTCCTGATCTGTAGTGCGCTCTAAATCCATCTAAGGTGCAATACTATTCGCTACCATGCATGGAAGTATAAACAAGTTGTACCAATATTGAACCCACTGTTGCTTCTCCGTTTTTTGCTGCGAGCATCAGCGGAGTTTGCTTGTTGCTATCCACTGCATTTAAGAGCTCCTCGTCCTCGTCGAGCATGGCCTGTAGTTTACCAATGTCGCCCGCTGCAGCAGCATCGTGGATTGACGTTGTTGTTACCATTTTGGAATCGACGAAGTACCTGAAGTACCTCAATTCACAGCCACTGAGCAAGAATCCAAAAGAATAAATTGACAGAAAAAGAGGGAACGACTCACTACACCTGGATATTGTTCGATCAAAGCAAAAAGCTATACTATAGCAGCGAGTAGATTGCGAATAGGGTTACGAACGACTTCCGAACTATCGAGGGAAATTAGCCGGCTAATTTACTTTGTGTGCTTTGAGCGTCGCGGGATCCTCCCAAAAAGGCGATATTTTCGGGAGGACGAGTCTAGATTCTCAGTAGAATGAAGGTATAACAGTAGCCCAAATATTAAAAAAACAAACCTCAAACTGTTCTGAAGCTAAAGGCGGGCACATATGGACTTGCAACAACAACTCCTTCCATAAAAAGAAGCAGAGTTAAACAAATTCACTGCATGGGAATCCCGTGTTCTTTGTTCCTGTTCATGGATCACCTCAGGCGTCAAGAAAACTGTCATGCGGAAAAAATCACAGTTTTTTGAAATTTATGATATGCTAATTGCGTTCTCACTCGCTCTCGTCATAAAATTATCAACATCATCTTCACGCGTCCCAAATCACACAGAAACAAGAGTGGCACAAACCGCTCGTTTCACGTGAGTCATGAAATACGTGAAGACGCCCGTCAGAGCCTGAACAAGCCAAACACGATAGCTTCACAAGCAAGGCTTTCTTTTCTGGCGAAGCCACAACTATTTCGATATTCATTTACTGTGTAAGTGCTCGTCTCAACTAAACACAAGTGAATTTCTCAAGAAGGAGAAGACAAAAAATCTTGACCACAAAACTGGATACACACCAGTAACGTGTTATAGTTCATGATGGACGAAGAGTCTACTCCCCATGCATCACAAAAGTAGAACGACCTGGCGCACTCGCCGAGTCGTCGTCTAGCATCTCCGGCGAGACGGGCGACCTACGTACTTTCCGCGTAGATACCGGCATAGGGAGGAGTTCCTAATATCCTTAACGCGCTACTCTAAAGCCCCTCCGATGTTTAAATGAAATGGACGGAAATTTCTCCCTACTTCCATCTCCTTGTTCCGTGTTTTCGGCATCCGCAACGCAACCCACTGCGCTTCGCGTAGTGTCGCAGGCCACTGCGCTTTGCGTAGTGTCGGAGGGTGCCATAATGAGGCTACCACGAGCAGAGGAGGGAAGCGCCTCTGCTGCATGATCATATGTGTTCATACCCTGCGGGAGCGATGATAAGAGCGAGCCGCCACTGGTGAACGGACCTCTGTCCCACTGCGCGCATCGACTGTGCCTGTTTCGATCACCCTTCTTCGAGAGGCGAATGTTGGAGTGCCGACAAAATTTTGTCCGTTCGGGTAGCTACGTTCAGATCAACACCAACAGCTGCTTCGATCGGAATCTATGCTTCTCAAGTAGCTGCGTCTGAATCTGGAGACGACCACATGGATCGTTCAATATCGTGGACATACGGCAAGAGCTGATCGCTCCATCGGCGGCCAATTACGACCTGATCCGATAGGCGTAAAGGTCTAGAATCTGGCGGTTCATGTAGGCAGATATTCCATGCTCGTACGAGAGCACCTGAGCCGAAGAGATACGCCGGAGTGTGTTGCAAGTTCAAATACGCATCCGTCAAATGCTCTACGAGGTCGCGCTGAAATTGCCAATAGCCGCTACGCGGTTCATGTTGCTGGTGTTGGAAGGAACTGTTTTTCGACGCTCCTAGAGGTGCTCCAGAAGATGAAATATCTTGTGCTCGATCTCTGTATAGGGATGGCGAAGGACGCGTTAGAAACATATCCTTTGCGAGCAAGTGGGCGTCGGTGTTGGAATGTGTGAGACCTTCCCATGAGCGCTCGCCAATAGTAAAGCCGATTGCACTGTGCCCAGACCAGAAAAAATTCAAATTGTTCGGATATAGAAAGAGTTGACGCACCAGGGTTGCTTTCTCCAAAAGATCGCTGAAATACCCTTCAAGCTTCTCACGACCTTGGCTTGCGAGAGCAACCATCTTGGATACGAGGACATCGAGTTCAACAGGTAGTGCCGGTTGTTGGTCTTCTTTGTCTGGATTCTGTAGTTGTCTACTCGTTTCGGATGAGCTTTTTTCTTCGAGAGCTCGTTCTTCGACAGCCTCTCCGCCAAGCATGAAAGCACGCTCTTCATCGTCATCAGAGGACGTAGCGTGCGTGCGTACATGTAGTTTGTCGATGTCCTCGTGCTGCTCTTTCTGTCGAACTGCTAGCCTTTCCGCTTCATATCCGACATCAACATGCTTTACACTCGCCAGTCCAGGGGAGCGCTCAGTGCGCATCCACTCGAGCATCTGCGCAGCTGTAGGGCATCCTCGAGGCTCTGCAAAGTTCTTAGATGCGCATGATCGACAACTAACGTTTATGGTGTCAAGGACACGCCCACTCATTTGTTCAGGTACAAGGCGAGATTCCACCATTAAATAACAAGTAGTACCATGAGTATAAGCAAGCTGGTCTACTTCACGAGAGCAGGTGATACCCTTTAAGCAGCTCACCTTCTTCTTTTTCTTGGCGAATGAAGCGCTCATAATTTTCGCAGGATGCAGACCGCCAGCAATGACTGGCCGGTTGCCTGGCGCAATCTGCCAGTCGTACCTTGTTCTCCATTTTTGCGAGAAATGCATGAAATGCATGAATGTGTCAAAATCCCCTACGTCTGGGAGGCCGCCGGGAATGCTGGTAGGTGTCGTCGCATGAACATACTCAAACGCAAAACCGAGAAGCTTCAAACGAGTTTGGTTAGGTACCGGGTTTTTTGAAGGAACATTTTCGGTGCCGGTTTGAAAGTGTGCGTCAATTTCGGGCAAGACGGTGTTTGCGAAAAACGTCATTGTGGAGGGCTCCTCGAGAAGATCTCGTTTCGGCTGCTTCGTGCTCCTGCTCTCTACTAAATCGATATACCTCTCAGCTTTTGTGCTAACTGAAGTTGTTTGAGATGGAGGACAGCGACATTCCTTAGCATTTCCTGCATGCAGTAGAGTCTCCCCGGCATCAGCTATTTCTGCATCGTTACAAGTAGCCTTCGTAGAGCCATCTATGGTGGGCGACTGCAGTAATTTCTCCTTCGTTTCCATCGTCAGAAGCTCTGCGAAAGACGGCGAAAACTCAACGAGGATTCTGAGGATGTCTTCCTTTTTCTGCTGTAGACCCTTCTTAGTCCAGAGGTGCGCGTAGTCATCTCGCACCGGCACTTGAGACAAGCGGAAAGACAACCCTGGTTCCGGACAGGGGCAACTAAGTGAATGCGGCCAACCGGCATCGAAAATTTCTGAAAGGAACCAGTCAATCAGGAAAGCTTCGAATTCCACCATGCCTTGACGCCAAACAAGCAACGGCAGATCCGTCATGAATACGAACACCATTTGACCGAATATCCGCTCTGTCCCGCCTCGAAATGACCACGCCGCATGATGTGGCGTCACCGCGCGCACTCGCAATTGCAGACCCTGTACGTGTTCTTCCGGAAAACATCGATGACCATCATTCCTGCGACCGCCAGGCTTGACTTGTTCAGTGAAAAACTGTGGTGCAGACACTGGCGCGATCAGACAGGCGTCGTCATCTAGAATGGCTATCACTGGCGCCGAAGTGTAATGATGCAAAACGAACCGCCAGAAGCTCTGTCGGAAGAAGTACGCCCATGGGACACCTTCTGAATGATACGAACGAACAGGAGTACTCCAAACAATGCGGACACGCTCTTAGAGGACTGCGACTCCCAAGAATAAAAACAAATACCTTCATCTCTACAAGCATAGTCGTCATTTCAAATAAAATCAGAATGAGTCGCAGCCTCGTCAGGTTCACCCGATTAACTGTACTCTGATCATTCTGCTATTGACACAATTGCTCGACTACTTGACATCTCGTCGTGTGGCTTCCTTTACTCAAGCGCAACAACAAACAAAGCCTTAATGTTTCTGATCTTGCTCCTTGCGAATACGTGATAAACAGTCGGCAATCTCAATGGTGCGTTGCTCCCAGGTCCCTTCTCCACTGGGTGAAGAGCGCTCGAGTAGTAGAGCAGGTGGGAGAAAACGAACCGCGAGAGAAGATGGCGTACCCCTCGTTCCTCTTCCTACCGCATGATGTGTTTTCGTGTGGATAGTAGTCCGTGTTGCAGCCCTTGATGAGGCAGAGCAGGATGGAGTATGAACATTTCTGGATCTCAACGGCTCAGTGTGACCGGATGGCCAGAAATGCAACAGAGAACTCCAGAAGGCTTTCACTTTGTGTCGAAAAACATGGCGGACTGTGAACGATGTAAAGACGTCCACATCCAAAACAACTTCTCTATCAACACTTTCATCCAAGCCTGGTCTTTCATACTCCTCTAGTAGAGCGTCGTCACGATCGATTTGTCCGGATATTCCTCGTCCAGCGCAAGACCTAGCACTCGAGTTAACCCAAGCGGTTTCGTCCACCTCCACTTCTGCGGGAATAAAAGTTTTGCTGTAGGTGGAAACACGACACCGAAAGCACCCACCCGAGGCGTGCCACGCAAAGTCAGGTGGCGAGGCCAAAGTTGCTGTATCCAGAAGTCCGGCTGCTCTCACCTCCGTGTTGCAGAAAGTAGAAGGTGTGAACAACAGTAAAACCACATGGACAACCCGAGTGAGGCTGCTGCGGGCGTTTTGTACCGAAAAAAGTGGGCCGGAGCCGGACATTCTTTCGTTATATATAATGCGAAGAGCCAGGAAGAGGTCCTGGAACAGCTCAAGGCAGCGATTCCGGCAATTTCACTTAAAGCTGAACATCACAACAGTGTAAATCAGCTCAACAAGTAAGTACTTCTCAATACAGATTCCGACGCCATCCGACTGGGCTCAACTTATGTTGTCCATGTCCTCTCTCCGTCATCGCTTTTCGTAGCGCAACCTTCGTCATATGAAGGCTGCAACGAAACACATAAGAATCAAAAGAACGAAGCTCAGCAATATGAACTACTTCGTGGTGAAATAAGAACTTACCAAAAAGCACATCGATAGTGGACTTCCCAACTCGGACATTGTTCATACCTCTATATTCAGATATACTTGAAGAGAAACGGCGTTTGACTCTTGCAGTGGATTAAAGTGTGATATTAGAGACCACGAACACCGAAAAATGCGGTGTTCTTTACACGTGTCCGACGAGTCGAGCAATGTCCCTCTACATGCATTATCGTGCTCTTCACTGCACGTTCCCCTTTTGCTAGAAGTTATCATAGTGGTGATTTGTCATGTGCGTTCTACATGTCATAATCCTACTGGAATATTCTGGAGGTAATGACGACGTTTACTTTATAGTTGTGGTAGCATCCGGACACTAATCTGGCAAGTACATTTCTTGGAACTTTATGTGCTAGCGGCAGTAATTAGTACTCTTCTCTGAAAATTTCGATACCCCTAGATTCCTTTTCGTGAGTTCCAGGGATAAACTCGATGCTCAGTCTGTAGAGCTGCATGGGCGGGTTTCCGATGTCGAAAGATGCCAAGTGAAAGCGGTATGTGAATCGGACGCGAGCTGATTCACTCGTAGGCACTTCTATCGTCAGGGCAAGGTCATAGACCGTTTCATCTCTGCTATTTTTCAGTGGCATGTCTCTGTGAAGTGCGTCCGCGTCTTCGGTTGAGTTGGCATCGAACTTGTCATCGAGTCCCGGTGGCAGGGCTAATTCAACTACCTTATGCTTTGTTGCCAGTGTCGTCACGCGTGCAGGTGAGTTCGTGGCGGATCCGATATACACGACACACTTCCGATATACACGACACAAGTGTGTCGTGTATCGTCCAGCTTCGTCGGGTCTGATCCGGGTGCGCCAAGTTCTGAAGGCGACGAGTCAGAACAGCGCTTGTTGGGCTTAATGGGAAATCCATCGAGAAATGCCTTAACCAAGTGGCTCAGATTGGTCCGATGTCCCTCTGGCATCAGCTTTGTTTCCCAATAGAAAGCACCTTGATCGTCTTCATATTCAGAACCACTCCATCGTTTGGTTTCCACTGCGGACATTCGTGTGAAATGATCTCCAAAGTGCTCCCGCGCCACAGAAGTAAGAATCTCTGGAGAGCTGTACTACTCGTCACCGCCCGATGCCGCACTGGTTGTCGCATGTTCGCTGATCAGCAAAATCCATCCGTTAACGAGCTGTTTCGAAATCATCTTGAAAACGGGCTGGCTCTCTTCAAGTATCAAGTGGAACATGTTCACGCGTCCCATCTTTTCACTCAGCTCGTTTTCGATCTTCCGATGATCTTCATCCAGCACAAACGAAGGAAACTCATGATCTCGTACTTCTTGAATTTGACATCAAGAAAGACAAGATGAAGATTAAGTTTATATTTTTAAACCCGGTTGTGGCAAATCAGACGAGTCTCTTTGTGACCTTGCAAGCCATTCGCGCATTTGTCTTGCCAGTCTGGCACCAACTTTGCCGCTTGAACCTGTGGGCTTGGAAAACGCAGATCGTACTTTTCATCCGACGGCCACGTCCCTCGCGAAAGCTGGCTTGCAACCGCACGGTCCCGAGCCGAAACCAGGAGGGGCACTGCTGTCGTTCCGTCAAATATTCTCTCCATCATCCAGGCGTCTAAAAATGGACGAGACCGAAACGCGGCGGCCTGGGTTGTAGTGGCCAAACGGCAAACGACCAAACAAATCCCCAGCATGCGGATGCTGCGCAATTTCTCCACCAGCAAGGCCATTTTGCTTTATCAGGTGTTGCTACGTCTTCAAACAGAATGTCGATTCGCAAAACTTTTGAGGCACAATTAGAAGCGAGACAACGAGAAACGATCAGGAAAACCAAATACTTCAAGAAATTTCTTGAGAAACAGTTTGAGCAGTGAAACAAATGCCCAAACCTGAAGGGATGATTTAAGGCCAAAGCCATACAACTCGTACTCACTGAGTACTAATGTTTCATTTGCAAAGGCGTCACGCCTTTGAGGATGAAGATATATATCAATATATATATATATATATGTATATATATATATTGGAGAAAATTCAACTAAGGACTGCAAAAATCCGGACAAAGTTCAATCTTCTCGGGCATGATACGAATCTGCAGAACACTCGCCGCCTACTGCGCTCCCTTCTGGAAAACCCTCACCCAATTGCGAGCCAAGAACCTCGGGCGCCCTCCAAATCCCCGCGCCCCTCCAGAATCCCCCAGCATACATTTGCAGGCTGGTGCGGTGGACTCTGGAGGGGCGCGGGGAATCACATGAAACGAAACCAAAAGACAGAAAAACCAAGAGGAAGCAAGTTGCAAAAGCCGCTAAGCGGAGCACTTCCAGGACGAGGAGGCGACAATAGTGACCGTTTTTGTGCAGTTCTTAGTTGACTTAGCGCCATTCTAATCAGCCATCTGCGGAAGCACCAGAGGCACAGCGAGCACGCCACACCATCGAAACTTAACAAAAAGAGGAGGCGCGAGCCCTTTGGAACTCAAGCGGCAACCGGTCCAGCCCTTCTTGAGAAATGCCACGAAATTGAATAAACCTCTCTATTGTTTGCCGCTTTCCTGCTCGCAAGGCCATTTTTGGAAAAAAATCTGAAGACATCTTTTCACTTTTTTCATCAAAAATGGCCTAGCGAGCAGGAAAGCGGCAAACAATAGAGAGGTTTATTCAATTCTGGCGAAACCCCCGCAAACTTCCCCGCTGAAATACTTCAAAAGAGTGCGAACAACGCCAGCAAACCCCCCCGACAATCTGCGCACAAACGGCGGCGCGCGTGAGTGGTCTGACCATTTGAAGGCGGCAGCGCGTCGCTTCTCTTTGTAACTAATCCCACCCGGCGCGAGAGCTTCGGGGCGCCGGGTGGTCAAAAGTCCAACACTTAACAACATGAAAAGACCCAAGAACGAAGAACCTCGGGCGGAGTGTCTCAAACCTTTCCGATTATGGCGAAAAATTCGACCACAGACAAGTGGAGTTAGAATGGAGAAAATTCAACTAAGGACTGCAAAAATCCGGACAAAGTTCAATCTTCTCGGGCATGATACGAATCTGCAGAACACTCGCCGCCTACTGCGCTCCCTTCTGGAAAACCCTCACCCAATTGCGAGCCAAGAACCTCGGGCGCCCTCCAAATCCCCGCGCCCCTCCAGAATCCCCCAGCATACATTTGCAGGCTGGTGCGGTGGACTCTGGAGGGGCGCGGGGACTCACATGAAACGAAACCAAACGACAGAAAAACCAAGAGGAAACAAGTTACAAAAGTCGCTAAGCGGAGCACTTGCAGGACGAGGAGGCGACAATAAAGACCGTTTTTGTGCAGTTCTTAGTTGACTTAGCGCCATTATTATTATATGTGGAGGGCCCTCGTGCTAGGCAACTCCGGACAGGTACTACTCGAGGAGCTAGCTGAAATGCAACCGAAGGATCGGGCTCTCGAGTTCTACGGCCAATCAAGTCACAGATTGCTCCTGTCTTGTAGATTTACTGGGACATCGCATCGCCGGTGAACACGCACTGCAGTAAGAGTGGGCATGTGGCAACGCGGTGGGCGAGAGGTTTGTATCAAGGTCACCCATGGAATCGGGTGGCTCATGCATCTTTTATCATGCAGTAAGGAGCCCTATATATATATATGTATATATATATATGTATATATATATATATAAAATATATAAGGTTGGGCAGCTCGCATGGCATGGAGTGCATGGATCGCATGGAGCTGCATGGAGCAGGTGCTTCATGCGTTCCATGCGTGAAAATTTTTTCAGTGCGCCCTTCGGGCGCTCCTTCGTCAGAGCCCACACGCCTACAGCTCGGCACTCCAGGCGGGAACGTCAAGCACCCAGACCGCCAGCCCCCGAGCCCACTCACTCGCGGGCCGGGGCCTTGGGGCGTGCAACAAATCAGCTTGCTGCATTGCCGCCAGGTTTTACGTCACGCATCCGCATTACGCACAAGGCAGCGCTCCCGCGGCGTCAGTCTAGCCGACCAACCGACCCCGACTTCTACAGCCCCCGACCCATCCACCCCCGGGCGGGCCGGGCTCTTGTTCGCGACCCATGCACTCCATGCGTCGCGATGCTGTGTCTGCTCCATGCACTCCATGCTGCTCCATGCACCATACGTGCTACAAACTCCTCTGAGATAGATACATTTTTAGACGATTATGAATTTCAGATCCTGCTCTTTGAAGATTGATGCTATGCTTTTTGTTGATCGTACTATTCCTTGCGTGGAGGTCGAATGACAGAAAAAAGTAGATCTGCTGGCTCGTCGACGATGCATTGAAAACATTAGAGCTCGTTTCAGTTTTAGTATATTTTTTCATGTCGCAGTTGAAAGATATCAGCAGTGGGACATTTGTTTCAAAAGTCAATCGCACCCATTATTTATACGCTTCGTGTTTAGTGCTGGTTTGTTGCGTTTTGAACTACGTTGTGTATGTGTACGTATTCAGTTGGCGCATATGTGACGGATGCCCATGGCGGGATGCGATTGGCTATTCGCGTCCACGCTGCGTCTGTCATGTAGTCGGATCTTACGCAGAGCAGCTCAAAACTCTCGATATCCCCGTCCACCCAAAATTCAAATATTCTCCAACGCGAATCGACGCTGTTTCGAGTACTTGTAGAAGATGTGAAGGGCTTCGTAGAAGAAGACAAGGTACCCGGTGAGGTATTTCGTTCATTCATCTCTGCTCCATTTGCTTCACCCTCTCCATCTTTCCAATGTCCTCCCTGAACGTGCTGGACCCAATGACAATCGCAGTCAGAGCGCGGAGGCGGCAGGCGTCGGCGCGACACTGGATGCAGTATTCCTGGCAAGACCTGATCTTGAGAGAAAGACCAGTTAACGAGGTTTTTCGCGGGTATAACCGCTCGAATATTTGCGCCATCGTCACAGGAGACACGCAAGTGCGTGCGTAAAACGTCGGTGTATTCCCCATCTTTTTCTACCTCTAGCTCAACTCCCTTGTTATTCTCCGTCAGCATACGAGGCGATGTTGTTGCAAAGGCGACCTCGTCGTTTTGACGGGTGCGATAGAATCCAACTCCACTAGTACAACCATCCTTTACGGAATCTGAGGTCACGACGTGACCAGATCGAAAGCAGACAATCTTGGCATCTCCATCTTTTTTTTCATCTTCCTCGCCCTGCAACTCTGCACGTCGCAAGTAGTTGATTCGTTCCCATCGCAGCTCAATCCTCATTGGCCTCGGCCTTGACTCCTCTCCAGCACTTGTCACATCGGAATGAACGGTACTTCCGTCGTCTGTATTTCTCCAGGTAAGGCGATCCGCTCCTCCTTCTCGCAATGACAAGGGGATGTACGGCAAAGTATCGTCCACATCTCGCGGAAGCCACTGGTAGATCGGAAAATAGTGAGGAGTCGCGCCCCACGAAAGGCGAGCAGGCAATCCTCCTTTTCGTTCCTTTGTAGCTGTATCCGTATTTTGCAGATAAGGCGGCAAGCCCTTCAAACTTCCTGCGAATTGCATGCCCGGTCTGTCCATCCCGCCTCTAGAAAAAGCGCCTAATATAATCCCGTTGGCGTAGGTTACATCTGGCCCATCGCTCGTTTGCTGTTGCAACGTTGCCGAATCGCCCGTCTGCGTGCTGTGCGCTCTGACCGCACAAGCCCAAGAGGAAACCTCTACTACCTCTCGAGGGGATCCGGCGGTCTTAGAAGCGGTACGAGAGGAAGGTGATTGCGTCGTTCTTGCTGTTGACGCAGGTTTGCAGAAACGATGTTCCGTGTGGTAGGCGAACGCAAGGAAAGGTCGATCAGACGTGAAGTCGTCGCGAAAACCCGGTAAGTAGAAAACGAGAGACAGTATTACAAGGAAAAAACAAGTTTTACTCAGAAAGTGATGCACGCTGCTTGGAAGAGTAGTCGTGCTGGTAGTGACAGAACGAGAGTTAGAGTCCAGTAGCTAAATCCGTTGTGAAAAGTCATCTTTATTCCTGGTGTGTTTATTTTCCCATGCGTGCCCTACTAGTGAATGGCTTCGAGAAAATCCAACCTCAAGACGGCTTTGCACAATCAATTACATAAGAGAAGCTGGTTTAGTTGGTCCTTCCACTATGAATGTGATTGAGGGACGCAATACAAAGAAGAAAGCCAGAAAGACGGCCAGTGAAATTAGCACTATCCACAGAAGATTCGCTGACAGGGTAGGTGGCATGCGACGCAGAAGCGGAAAGGCAGAATCCAAAAGACCAATAAGAGCGGCTACCGTTATGAGCCATGCTGGTGCTGCGACAAGAGCGCACAAAGCTGACGCGCGTTTTGTTGGAGTTCGAGCGTCCGCGCAGTGATCGACATACCACGCGACGATAGTCTAAAGGTAGTCCATTGCTATCCGTGGCTGAGTGGTTTGCTGAGGTTCGCTCTTGGTTTCCTCTTGCATTTAAGGGGAAGCAAATCACTCAGGATCCCTGCCACGAGATAGCGACTGACTACCCGTAAATAGTTATCCGAGTAGTCAATGTTGGAATCCACAGTAAGGTAAGGTAAGTTACGGCCAGAAATTGTCCACTGACGACCAGAATCGAGTGGAACAGCGTCATGTAGAGGAAAGCCGCAGCGTCTCTGAGAAGGCAAACTCCCCACGCGGTGTTCAAACGAAGTTTCATCAGGTCTGTGGGAGTCATGCGAACGGCCTTAGTGTTTGCTTGCGACAGATTTTCCACTGCAAAGATGGTCGTGTCAGCAAGTTCCAAAATCGGGAATACGAACAAAACGACATGAAGCGGTGGAAACATGTAAAATGGGTGGGTGTGGCCTCCGATGAACTCGACTGGGAACCAAATGCCCACGGCAGCTAGGAAAATGAGACCGAAAAATCGTAGTGGTAAACGCAAGAATTCAGACCTCAATGCTTTCGCAGCAAGCAGGGTGAATTCTTTGTCTATGTCTTCCGATAAGAATTTCACTGCCATCGCGATCTGTACTACTACCACAGCGAGAATCACAGTGTGCCAGAATCTTGCCGAGTCATCGTCGAGAAAAAGCATACCCAGGTGAAGCACATCTGTATGACGCGACGTCGACCAAACGTCCTCGAGATTCTGAGCCTCCACCATTTCGCCATCACGTCCATGCACTTTTCTTCTGTCACGGTCCAACTTCCAAGTCATGGCTCGGAAGAGCGCTAGGACGTTGCTGCCGTACCGCTGAAGATCACCACGATGGTTCCACACATGACGCGGGTCATCACGATCCGTATGATACACGTAGCCATTGCCCACATTGAAAAAGTCCGCGCCAGGAAGAATTTTAGAGACAGAGGTGGCACCCATTGCATTGCAATATTCGCAATGTTACATCCTTTGGTTTCTTCTTTTCAACTTGGTTGGAAGAGGTAGAAGGTCAGCAAGGATGCAAGTTGGGGATGCAATATGGGAGCCCTTAAGCATTCCGTACTCGCGAAAAATGCGGGAATCCGTCTCCCCAGGAAGTGCACGCGACTCTTTGGCAAGGAACTGCCACAAGCCGTTCGCATTCGGAAACCGTACCCCTCGCGAGTAGCTATCGGCCAACCAACTATGCCCACCGCGTTCTGCGCCACCATTTGCATGAAAAAGGCCAAAATGCTATTTTGGATTTGGACGATAGCAGCTGCAACAAAGCATCTAGTACCCAATGAGTTCGTGGAATTATTTTGACCACTCTGAGTCAAGGTGAAACTACTACTACGCCCATCGAGAAATAACTGTTGTACCGGCTCATAGTGCCATAAAAGTTGACAAGATCTCTGCCGCCGCTACCAGCACTTTCCACGTTAAGGAAAGCACAGATGTTTTTTCGACGCTTATCCTGCGAAATAAATGCGTGCGCGGCAGAGAGGATTGGTTCCTCAGCGCCATTGAAAAGAAAAATCGTGTCAAAACTTTGCAGTCCAACACGGTTATCGAACGAGTGCAAGACGCGCAATCTGATATGAAGTGGAATCATGAGGTTGAGGGCAAAGCCGAACTTACTGATAGCAGCGATGAATAAAGATCAAGAACAAGATGATGATGGACAGAGGACGTTTTAGACACTGACTTCTTCCATAGGGTAAGATTTATTGTTGGAGTATTGTTGTACTAGTACTTGCTATGAATCATTGTCATCTTTCTGAAGTGTGTATCATACATTTCCAAAAGCATCGCCACCATTGCTAGTGCGTCATCCACACCATGCGAGCCTGTGGATGCGTCAAAATGCGCGCCGAGCAAGATAGCCCGTGGCTCTTCGCAGTGCGCCAAAAGCGAGGAGTTGTCGGGCAATCTTCCATCTGAACCCGTATGAATACCAATACCTTTTGAATCTGGTGAGGCTGGAACGCGTACGACGATGTTCGTCAACTTGTCGTAGGAGTTGATGATCCCTTCGAGAAAATCAAGGTGAAAGCTTCCTGGACCACTTGACGTTACCTCAATCTCGATTTCCACATTATATCCGACATCCCCTGCAGCTGGAGCACTTTTTGAGCCATCACTCGCTTTCCCTGTTATCTTCCGCACCTCATTCAAGATGGCATCGCGCATACAAACTTCATTGGCCCACGAACCAGTGACACGCGTTGGCGGTACGAACTTCGGACGCTGTATTCCATTTTGCAGTCTTGTAGATGTTCGGTCTTCTTCCGAACAGCGTGTCCAGAGTCTCTCTAGAATGTGTAAAGCGTTCTCCTCATCGAAGTCGGGAAGCCGTCTGCCCGTTTCCGCACTCTCTAAGTAGGAGATCTCTACCTGCCGATCTGTCGTTTCTATCCTTTCAGTTTCATCTCCTCGTTGTGCGTCAGAAACTTCTTCATTCTGTAATTGATCCAATTCTAGACTAGTAGCTTGAACTGTTCGCGTGCTAACCATTGATGCGGGCCTTCTCCATGGCCAAGCGCCACTTGGAACAAGCACCTCATCGTAGGAGAGGATTGGCGCCTTCCGGCTCTCTCGAATGGTAACCGCAAGGGCCGCTGTCTTTTCCTGTTCGCTGCTCCCCGAAGCGGTCGGTGTTCGCGTCTCATGAGGAAGATAAAACAACTTCAGCGAGATCAGGGTGCAAACAAGCACCACAATGAAGTCGACCGGTAGCTCTTTCAAGAAGGACATGTACATTTTGGAATAAAATGCGTTCGTGTCAGCGTGCGATGGTATTCTTCTTTACTTTGCGAGAGTGAAAACAAACTAGACTACGATGCGTTTCTTGTTAGTTTTTCCGGCAGGAAAGCGTCATGTATTAGGGTAGAGTACTTCTAGTACGTAGTACGATCTACCAAAAACAACAAACTGGAAAAAGATCCGAATGTATGATGATAATCAGCTTCATCACAGCGAGCGATCCTTCAAGAGAAATTTCTTTTTGGATCCACAAGATCAAGATAAGTCTCCCCTATAGACAATCAAGTCTGGTGCCATGTACTGGACAGAGATCACCGGCTGCTTTATCTCAACAAGTTCTTTAATTCAGGCTGAAAGGCGTGATCCACAACAAACATCTACAGTTAGTTTGCGTAAAAATATCTCGATTGCCGCTGCTGCTTCGCTATATTCGGTTTCGACTCGTCAATATTGAGTCGCCGATCGCTGACAACTATGGCGTTCACGCCATGCGATATTCGGATGAACACGAAGTTCCCACCATAAGAGAGAACCCAGAGGGTCTACCCTCTACCACTGGGAAGTGCTGGCATGTCGGAGGGATGCGCGGGGCGTCCGCACACCAGAACATATGGGAAATTGGCTTCGTATCTTGCAAGGAATTTCGGTATTGTACAACAACGAAATCAGTGGTCGGCAAAGTTACTTATCAATCATCACATTGACGAGATTCAAAAGTGGAATATTGATTCGCTGAATATAAATTTATGATGTAATTGAAGCTGGACATTACTGTGGATGGTCAATAGATACGATGGACAGTGGATGATGTTAGCGTCACTCAGGCATACTTCTTGCGTCACTTTAATGTAAACAACTACTAACTTCTTGCGAAAGTTGTACTGACAACTTCTCGCTTTCGTTAGACGAGGCCAAAACTAGATAGATTAGAACGCGTACCTGTCAAAACCTAGATGTTCGGAAAGCTATATTCAAAATGGATAAGAGGAAACTGGTTTACTACATGACATATCTCGTTTCGGTTTCGGCGATAAAACATATCTTTGCAATTTTTCTGTCTTTATCTATGGTAAGAACTGGCTTCTGAGTTCAAACTGCGCTTGTGATGTAAGGAGATTATGACACAATTACAGTGGGTGTAGTGTGGGGGCACTGCCTGATACTTGGAATTGCGCATGTGGATAAAACTTTTGTACAAATAAACCTGTGCAATATCTAATCCTTCGACTACATTTCGTTGATTTCAGTCATGGGGTACACGTACATTAACATGATAATTGACCTAGAGCTAAGCGAAGTTGTGTGGACTGAGTCAATGCAGCAGTTTCTTTTTGACGGCCATGATATGTTGAAATGGTGATTTGGTACTACAGATTTACTTTGTCACACAAAGGGAAGAGCATCCACATCCGGCAGATGTTCTCAATCGGTCTGTATATTTCATTCTAGCCTCCATCCTGAGGGTTTCTACCTCCTAAGCATGGGCAGATGCGGCTCCGTCTACTCCTGTCGACATCATCGCGTGTTTTTCCCTTCCGGTAACCTCCCCCCTGCGAGTCTCCACCCTGCGAGGGCACTGGATTGATTGCTCCCGCTCCGCCGCTTCCACTCGTCGCAGTACGTGCTGTTGTGTTTTTCCCTGTGATTCCCGTGAGGAACGTACTCTCCCCGGGAGCGACCTTGCGCCAAAAGTCGACAGCCAACAGCTTGCCGCCGAAATTCTTGTCCGCGAGTAGCAGAAATCGATCCAGATCCATGTCGTTCAGAGAGTTATCGGCCAGCAGTAGGCAGCTGGTGAGCTCATCCACCATGAACCATTCGTCGTTCGCATGCGTGTACTGATCTACCATTGCCTTTCGCAGTGCCTGTGTGTGCGGACCGATCTTGCTCTTCGCCCACTGACTAATCTCGGCTAAAACGGTGCCGCTACTCGCAGCACTGAGTGCGGCCATTATGCCTTTGCCACCTGCATTCTCTGTTAAAAAAGCAGCTTCGTCCTTGCTAAAACCAAAAGGGAGATACCCAAGGAGCATGCCGAGTGTGGCGCCGAAACGCTGTTCCGCCACATATTTTTCGCCGTCGGGAAAGAGGCTCAACACGTCTAAGAGAAAAGTGATGCACGGCCGCATGCCCTCGCCTTGCTTATCCTGAACTATTTTATGCAACCTCGCCAGAAGTACGCGCTGTACGTAGTCGGCTGGCAGGCTCGGAGCTACGCGCTGCACATGTTTCAACTGATGCACGATAAACGTGGGCGGGAGCCACCTGTTGTAGCGAGGGAGAAAGTAGTATTCCTGAAATCACATGGGAACTTCTGAAGTAAACCGAGGTTGGATAATGGTCGAGTGAAGATAATTCAAGTAAGCACTGACTCTATCAAACAAGGTACCTTGGCCTATAATTCTGCGTCGGTGTCTTTCTCCAAGAGAGTGTGGCGTACTCGAGATTTCCGTCTCCGTCTTTATCGGTGACAGATATAATCCAATCTAGCTCAGAGCCGGTGAGGTATGCTTCGGTTTGCATCAGCAGCATGCGGAATGTCTGCGGTGGAAGAAAGCCTGACTCTTCCGGATCGGCACTGAGGCACTCTGCGTTAAGGGCATTAAAATGAATGCGGTCAAAATTGTCGGGGCAGCCTGGCGCTTGTGTGCCGTAGCGCTCGGCTGTTGACGCGATGCCCTTCTCCAACCTCTCGATCGGCGCTGTTTTTGAGCCGTCGCCTCCGGGAGCCAGACTTGTGAAGATGCGGTGCGCTTCTACACGACTCAGCCCTAATGGCATTGTACTCACCGCTTCCAAAAGCTCGTCAGCCCGCAATTTGTTATCGATGCCAGGACCGGTATTCCCCGCTTTTGCTGATATTCCAGGGGAAAAGAGAGATAGCACAGCTCGCAGACTTGTCCTTGTGTTGTTGAGTCGCTGAGCTAAGCGCCAGAACAGTATGACGGTGCTGCTACCGCTGCTATCGTTCGCTGCACTACTCGGCAATGTGGTGCTTCCTCGGGCCGGTGTTGACGGCACGCCGCCAGGTGGCGGTGCCACAGGAGCGGCACTAGGGATCAGATTAGAAATAACACGTCCATCATTTATGCAGAACGAGAACAGGAAAAGGGATACGAAGGACAGGTCGATGCAGGCACAACACACTATCTACTAGACCACGTAGACAAGGTAGGCGGGGAGTCGCCTGGGATCAAGGACGTCCCCTCTCGTGGGTGTACACAATATTAAGTGAATAAAGCATAATAGGTGGCATCGTGCCTGGTCTCTGAGTATCGGGTCCTTGCCTACTGGGCGACGAAGGGAAGGTCGGTCCGGAAGGTGCTGGTCCTGGAGCGGCGTACCGCTGTCCTGCCTTGCCTCCTGCCCGCGGACTAGCGCAGGGTGGTTGGCCTCCAGAACTACTGCCCTCCGCTTGTGGTGGTCGACCGCCGCTCAACTTTACGAAGTGCTCATCTGCCAAAAGAGCTCTCACATCTACGTAGCCCTCAACGTTCTTTGGCGCTAGAGCCAGCATGCGCTGTCGGTCGCGCTCGCCCGTTACAACTTCAGCTAGGCAGTCCAAAAATGCCTTCTCCGCTACTACGCCTGATGGGTCGCTACCGCAGATTTTCTGATAGAGGGCCACACTCGGCGTTCGACTCTGATTCAGCTCGTTGCCTTCGCCGCCAGCCTGATCCGCAGGCGAGGGCCCCGTATTCACTACTTGGAGATTCGCGTCTTTGATGGCTTTTAAGTCCCCATCCTGCAGTTGGATAATCCAGCGACACGCGGTTGGGTCCCAGTTCGTTGCCATGCCCTCCAGGCCATTCAGCTGTGGACTATTTCGTAGACCGGAAATGCGTACTTTCGCGCCTTTCGTCACGACATTCGCGTTGTTGCTTCGAAGCGCCACCTTCCCAACTTCTAAGAGCTGTGTGTTGGCCCAGTCCTGCAGCAGACCCACACTCTGGGGTATGCTATTCAATGCTTTTGCGAAGGCCGACACTTGCACCGCATTCGAAACGGCAGGATTCTCTGTCGGGCCCTGCTCTCCTCGCAGTGACACGAAAATGTCTTTGATCTCCTGATGCGAGAGGCCTAAATGCATCGCAGTCATAGCACGGTTGAAATCGGGTTCGTTCAAGATTCCTTCACTCTTCCGATCAAACATCGCAAAAACATGCATCCAATTCAGCTTTTGTGCTACCACCTCCTTTCGAACGCGACTAAGCATTAGAGTCTTCAGGAGCATTCAACATAAAGCGAAGTGTATCGTTACTCCTCACACCTCGTCTCTACTCAATGAATTTGAGAAAAAAGGTGATGTTGTAGTACAAAGCAGTAAGTATAAGTGATACCACGGATGAAAAAGAGGAAAACAAAAACAACAGCCATAACATCATCAAGTTTATGATTAGTCGCTGTTCATCCTCCCGCGTTGTATGCGCCTTGATGGGATCTGGCGGGACTGCCGCTGGAGCTGGCGCCGCGTGATTTACGTAGCTTGGGGAGCCCTGGGGTGATGGAGAGTGTGAGGACTGGGGCTGCTCGTTCCCACCCCACTGCCTTCTTTGCTCATACGCACGGCCTGCTGCTTCACTTCGGGCTCCTGGAGTCGCACTCCCTGCTGCAGCAGCTCTAGGCTGTTCCGCGCTGCGTGGGGGCTGCTCTGCTGGCGGTTTGTCGAAGTTCAGCGGTGTTGGCTTTCGTTTTTTCTGCGCGCCCGGTCCTAGTGACGGCGCAACGCGTTTCGTATACTCCTGCTGCTGGCCACTTCTTCTCGAGGAGGTTGTGGTCGAAGGTCCACCGCTTCTTGGGTCCGAGAAAATGTCGCTGCCCACCTGATTCCGCTTGTTGTAGTTTGACGCCCCTCCCCCTAATCCGCCGCCGCCTTCCAGCTGGCTCATGTGTTTTCGCACAAAGGCGATGGCGTTCACGTCGTCGCCTTTCGGTCGAGAGTGCGCACTCTTGTCCAACAGCCGTGCAATCAAAGCTGCTAAATCCTGTGTGTATGCGGACGGGATGGGGTCGTAGCGGTCGGACACAATCTTGTACACCAAGCCAAGAAGATTTTCACTCTCAAACGCGTGCTTCAGCATGCACATCTCGTACAGCACACAGCCCAGACTCCAGATGTCGCTTTTATACGAGTACGGCTCAGACCGACACACTTCTGGTGACATGTAGTACGGCGTACCCACCACGGTTGCCGCCGCGTCGATGGTGCCTTCAAGCACTCGAGAAATACCGAAATCCCCAATCGCGCAGTCTCTGTCGCCGAGCTTGAGAAAGATGTTCGAGCTCTTCAAGTCTCGGTGCAGAATATGCCTCTTGTGTACGTAGGTGAGGGCTGAAAGCGCCTGGCAGAACCACCGCATGATCTGCACTTCCTTGAACAGCGTCTTTTCTTTCGCTGCGTCCTTGATTTTCTGCCTCAGCTCACCGCCCTCGCAAAATTCCATCAAGATCACGAGCTCTCGAATCGGGTTCTCAGCCAAGTAGTGGTCGTAGTAGGCAACGATATTGGGATGATTCAACTGCTTCAACAGCATCACCTCCTGTCCGGCTGGTATTAGAGGCAGAGTAGCTCGCTTTTCTACTCACAATGATGTAACTCCCTCACAATTAAACTATCTGTACTTAGTAGGATTGCACTCAGATGAACTAGGAGCTGCATCAATTTGCGTGCAATATTGCAAACTTCACACAAAAAGTGAGAAGATTTGGAAAGTAGTAATAGAAACCCTTACATCCATGATCATGATCTTCGTAACTGTAGGTTATCTTTCTCCGACAAGAAGTCTAGGGATATCATCTTTGCGACTGCAAAAGTGCCCCCTTGGTCGTCCCTTCTAATGACTTCGGCTTTCGGGTTCCCAACTCCTGGCCTTACCAAGCATGCAACACCAAATTGGCCCTTTCCGAGCACCTTCAGCGCCGACCATCCATGCTCCGCGAGCCGACCCGCTCGGGGGTCGCTATCGATCTTGCCTCCCTCCCCCTTCATCTTTTTCGCGGATTCACATTAAAACCGTGCTCCAAAGGCGCTTCGGAAATTTGGCGAAGCGTCAGTACACACATGGGTTTCAAACTAGTCAAACTCAAATGGTTGGCCTTGGTGAACAAAATGGAGGTGTAGTGAGTGTGACTGTCAGTGAAAACCTCTAACAAACTACAGAGATTATCTAGTACATCACATGTTAGCTGGTCACGCGACATCAAATACATCAAAAATAGATGCTTTTGCTTTCGGATAGCCATGTTGTCAAATATCGCTAAAAATTCCTCTGCACTCTAGTTCTCTTTGAGCGGAAGTACCTGATGCCTGTTGTCAATGCAAATCGATTAGTAGGCTCACGCTCATTGGGCACCGTAGCTGTGTGGAGTCTGTCGGTATGATGCTCAAGCTTTGAAGTTATGACTCTGAACGTTTGTATTCTAAAACAAATTTCTAATGGGCAATGAACAAAGCAAACGGAGAAACGCTGGGTAGCGGAGGGAGTGGAGAAATAACTAGTTCATCATGGGGTAAAAGACTGGCTGCAATAGAACACTATTTACAGAGCCTGTCAGACCTCGTTTGCATCACATCACTCAACTACACCCATCGTGACTCGTAGCACTCACCTTGAAAAATTCTAGGAGTAGCTTCTCTCGCGGATATTCCAACACACAGGTGGTAGCAGTAGACATGCAGAGGCAGAAAGGCAGAGGAACACTCGTCAGCCGAAGAAGTGGAACTCAAGGACGAAGCGCTTAAATACATACGTCATCTCAGCCTTGGGTGGTCTCGCTGAAAAAAAACGTTCAACATAATTCTTCTCGAATTTTATCACGGATGCCATGATGGGCAGCGGCAGTGTAGAATGTCCTGGTTACTAAGTCTTCCAAGGCATACGCGAGATAGCACTACTAAGGAAGCACGCGATGGCGCAATGGTGCGACTCTCGCCCTATCCGAATCCTTTACTTTGCACAACAAAGCGCGCACAGCCTCCCTGACTCTCGTAGCTCTGATCCTAGGATAGCCGTGCCGAAAACCGCGCGTGTCGGTCCTTCCTTTGTGGAAGACACTGTGCGTCTTTGCACAGAAATCTAGAAACGCAGAGTAAGATCCACGCATGTTGCGTTCGTTGCCAAATCCGCCGCGGCTCCGAGGGTCTGGCGTAAAGGGCGCGAAACGCCAACTTCGCACTAAACGAAGGCTATTTACTTGCCTGCAAATATGCGCACAGTTGTGTCCGACTTCGACGCATCGTATCTAAAAAAAGCGCGCACTGGGCAAAAGCAAAGATTCGTGCTATTTTTGCATGTGGAGGGAGACGCGCGTTGTGTCCTCTCCGGTCCTCATCCGACAATGTGGTCCTCCAGGTAAAGCAACTTAGTACTCGTGGAGCTATCGCGCATCAATGCGGATTTCACTTGCATGCGATCCCGAATCTTCTTCAGGGTTTTTTCGTTAAGCCAGCCAAAATGATCAGAGCGATCTAGAGGCGTCGTTTCCTCGGCTCGTTCCTTCAGTCGTGTAGCGATAATGGACTGAATCACATCATCCTCGATGTCGCATAATTGGTACAGCTGGGATCGATTGGTAGGTGGTACCCGGAAACGCACGTCAGGCTTCGCCACCGTTGACGTAGGCGAAAAGTCATTAGAAGGGGATGTTGGAGGATCAGGGAGAGCGACAATTGGCGCCCGGAGAAGAAATCGTACTAAGCCGGATCCGGGCGGGGCTAAGTAGTCAAGGCTAATTATCAGAACCACAAAGCAGTCACATTTACAAACAAACGCTCAATTAGCAAGACCTAGGACGATGAGTATGGTTGCTGCTATCTTGGGTCGTATATGGTTATAATATATCAATCTATGCGACTATTGTGTATTCCTCTCATCATAACAGCTTTTTTTGAGATGTTCACTTCCGGTCCCTTCAGGATTTCGTCACGGAAGTCGATTACTTGGTATTTTCCGTCTTCCGCTTTCAACCTCGGGTCGTACCCAAGACGACAGTGAGACCCACGAAAGGGCCCGTTTTCCCAGATGTAACTTACTGCCTGCAAAGCCCTCTGCAGCCACCACGTTACATGCAACGAAGCGTCCTCGATGCGGTCCAGAAGTGCAGCGCGAGTCCATATGGGCCGCTCTTGAAACAATCGCATGCACGTCTCCAACAGCTCACGCTCTCTCGTCGCCCCAGTAATCGCGACCCGGTGGAAATACGACGTTGTGTCAGCGCCATCAGGAGCGTGGGTTAGACAAGATGAGGCTCATGCTACTGATGGAAAAATGGCTATATATTTATTGGTTATGGTAAAAATACTCCATTGATTAGAACTTTTTCCTGTTGAGTCAAAAAATATAAAACAGTCCTTGGACATAACCTGTGGGGCACCTCGCGGCAGTCACACTTCATCATTTGGAGAGGGATCCAGCTGCGTTTGACCGTCTCATCGCGTTCTGTCTCTTTTGCTAATGGATTTTCCTCGAAGTTGTAGTCCATCGGCATTGTCGCTTTCGTGAAAACTGGTGGCGGCAGATACAAAGACTCGATCAGAGTCTCCTTCAACGAGACGCTGTTCCCGTGCTTCGAACTTGAGGACGAAACTTGCTTCTTGTCGCTAGTTGTTGTAGAACGCTCTTTCGTCTTACTGGAATCTGGTGCAGCTGCACTTGATGCACCGGACCCACCCTCTAGCTCCCCGAGCTCCTGCGCTATGGATGCTGCGGAGATCACAGATGCGCCATAATGAAGCGACCTTGGCGCAGCGAACTGAAAATCGGCGCACATAGCAAAATCGAAACGGTAACGGCAGTGACCAACAAAACGTAATGCGCCAGTGCACTAATTCGAGGAAGTATCTTTCACGACTTGACAATCATGCTACGTGAGTTGAATCGAACCTACTAGTTTCGTGAATGCTGAGTCCTTTTTTGTCGTAGTCTGATGTTCCTGCTAGTTCATCGTTTGCTGACTTAGTCAAGGAAGAGCCTGAGGAAAAAATATTTCGTCTTATGACTTAGAATTATGTCTGGTATAATCATTTGGATTTTATTCATTTTTCAGGCCTTAAGTTTATTGCGTGCGACCAGTACGTGATTGACTCCTTTTTTGTTGGCTGGTCCGAGTGGTGGGTAAAAAATGTTGCGATCCCCCAACCGGCAGTACAAATTGGCGTCACCGTTGACGCTACTGCTCACAACCGCCTGATGGATGGAATTGATGCCGTTCAAGAGAGCCACAGCTTTGGTCGGATTCTTGACACATCCAGGGAAGGCCACTACTGAAACACAGGAGTCTTGTGAAAAAGGGTCGCAGTTGACGACCTGCGAACCATCCAAGCCTAGCATTTTCGCATCACCGGTCGTGCGTGACGACACCGACGACCCCTGTTGAGGTCCACCTCGCTTTTCCTTGGATGTAGCTGCACTGCTCGCCTTGCTCATTTTTTCAAATCTAGTTTGTGCTCTTGAACGCAGAAGCAAAAGGCATGTTTGGTGTTCGAACAGTATACTTGAACTTGTTACTCATGACATGAATCTAAAGTGAGACAAATATTCAAAAATACAATCAGTTTGTTATCAAACAAGGAATCGCCCTGGATTTGCCTGCTTACAAATTTTTATATTTCATGATCTTTGTTATTCGTTTTCTATGATAGTGAGTGGGTGCATGAGGTCTCGAGGATGCTTCTAGAAACCCATCAAACGCCAAGCTAGTCAAAGACCTCACCAGGAAAGGTGCAATCTTTGCCACATATAGGTGATTTTTCCTCTGTGATCAAGCAAGCTGTGCCAATGCGATTGTCGGACTGCTCTCTTGTTTCAGATCCTGACGCGCGGAAGGATCGCACAATAAAGTATTTCGATCCTTTTCTGACAAGCATTCGGAAACGAAGTTGAAATTGAAACGCGCAGACTGTAGCGACAGCTGTGACGTTGAATATCTGCGAAGTATGTCGCAACTGCTTCGGTCACTTTTCTATGAAGTAGCGAACACTGTGCCACCCTTAGCACGTAGCCGCTCATTATATCACGGCAATAGCGTGATTAGGTGTTTGACACGCATAGAATCTTTTTATTTCTTTTGTGGTCCATTATGTGTTGCTATTTGTCCCTCTATTCTTTCTGCACAACGTTAGTGCGTGTTCGCCCGATTTTGAGCTTATGTGCGCCCGTTTTCCTCGGACTAACAAAACATCCGGCTATTTTTCTAGCCACACCACCTAAACATTCTGATACATCGCGGCACACGCTTCTGTGCATAAACTTATACATACTTCGTTGTTCCTGCGGCACTCTTGGCGAGAGATAGCCACCATCATTTACAATTGCATGCTTTTGCGAGCTTTAACGAACTAAAACCGCCATCCTTACATACTCTCTCTACTTGGAAAGTTTTGCCTTGGTTTTGATTTGTGAATTTTGATTTTAAATTTTGACTTTTGATATATAATCTAAATTTTGAGTCAATTTTGAGTTTTGCCCTTGAGTTTTGAAAACCAACACGCGCGGCGACACAACCGCAAAAACGCGCAGCCGAGATTAAGGAATGGGCGCTGTCGTGGTCCTGTCAGCCCCAGAGGTTTCACCTTCGAAGGCAGGCCGGAGCCCTGTGCAACGTTTCCAGTGAGTCCAGTAGTACTACTATCATATTCAAAAATCTTGAAAATGTTGCCGTCTCTATTGATGTAGCTGAAAAAGTTTCGGAGAAGCGTGCGTGCGGAATCACGTCGCGTTCTTTTGCATTAGGCAGATCAAACAGCAAGCAGCGAGACGCCAGCATACTTCAATTTCGTACAATTTGCTTTACCTACTTCAACAAGTTGTACCAGAGAAATGCTTTCTTTCAGCTGGGAGATGTTCTAACTCATTCTTTTACCAATCAACGTATCAAACGGATTCATAAGTCATGAAAATGTACGTAGATTTAAAGAAACGGCAGTACCTGCGAATTCATTGTTTGCTCTGGTGAAAAAATGTCCTTGATTTGATTAAGAGAAGAGAGAGGCTATGCACTGCAACACACCAGGAGGAGATCGAAGCGTAGGAATGTGCTGACTTGAGACTGTGCACAGTTCAAGAGCAGACGTGCATGGGAATATGGTAGCCACAGATGATAAGACCATCAGAATGACGTGGCTACAAATATTCGGTCGCAAGCAGTTCACAAAAATGACTGATGAACACTCAAACTACGCGCTACAGTAGCATTTAAGCTGCTGTATTTCTCGACTATCCTGCACACCAACTTGACGTCACCGGATCGGCGATCTCAACATCCCCCACTTGCATAGTGTGAAGTAAATGAACACGCAGATGCGAGCTACTCGTCGGCAAGATAGAATACTTGCCGCTTCGTCGTCGGTGCTTTTGTCCTCTTCATGTTTGCCATTGCATCTATCTTAAGTTGTACCCAAGTAAAAGTAAGTCCTACTCCAAAGTGCATGTCACTTTTGATCACCGTGGCGAATTTTAGCCAGTAAACAAATCCATAGCAGTCAATTGCTGTAGTTCCCCAAATGCTGCCGAGAGAAATATGCTGACTGAGACTGAATGTTGTGATATCTAATATATTTGGAATGTTGGGTCCTCTGATCGAAACTTTGCTTATGAACAAGTGCGACGATGAGTCTGAACTTGCGTAAACCTGCAGAGGCAATGGGATGGCAACCACACAAAATCGATTACTTAGGGGTATCAACTATCAAAAAAACGAGAATAACTCAATGCGCGGCGCGTAAAAGAAAAATAGTCTTTGACTTTATATCCATGAGAGTCGCATGAGATCCAGCCGCGAAGGATGGAAACGGGGCACAAGGTGCAGAGAAAAACTCCTCACCACAGTGGCACGCGAGTCGGCCTTGCACCGAAGGAGGCAAGACCGAAAACCGAGCAGCCGCGTCGAAGAGGCAGAAGGGGCAGTTCCTCGCGGTGACTGCCAAAGAGCAAACTTCGAAGCGGACAGAAATCCAAACGGAAAACTATCCAACACCCAAACCCAAGCGAGAAGAGCTGTCAGGAAATTTACGCATGATAAAGAAAGACGCTTAAATACTGAAGAAGTTTTTCGTGCTTATCGAGAAAGTTTGAAGGTGCAGGAAAGACAGAAGTTAAATGTTAATACAAAAACAAAATGAACAATAAACAACCAATTTTCAAAACGCTCAAAAAAAAACACACCGCCACACACACACGACGAAGGCAGACGGTTTCGATCCCGATGGTTTAGATCCCGACGGTTTAGACCCCGACGGTTTAGATCCCGATGGTTTAGATCCCGATGGTTTAGATCCCGATGGTTTAGATCCCGATGGTTTAGATCCCGATGGTTTAGATCCCGATGGTTTAGATCCCGATGGTTTAG